AGATCTTGCGAATGGCCCGGCACGCGGCGTGGCCACCCATCATCGGCATCTGCAGGTCCATCAGGATGAGGTCGCAGTGGTGGGCCGTCATGTGATTCAGGGCCTCCAGGCCGTTGGCAGTGCAGGCCACGTCGACGTAGCCGAGGCGCTGGAGCACGCGCTGGATGAGCCGCCGATTGACTGAGTTATCGTCCACCACCAGAACTGAGATGGCGGCGCAGTCGATCGGCTGCAGCTGTCGATCCGGCGGTGGTGACCATGATGTCATTGTCTGCTCGTCGTTCAGTTCGCAGCGTGACAGCGCCAAGCCATCGGCCGCTTGCTGATCCTCAAGTGCATCGGGGATGATCGTTGGCGTGTTGGCCGGCACGGTGGCCACGAAGGTGGTGCCCTGGCCAGGCGCTGTCTGTGCCAGGACGAGGTCACCGCCCAGCAGCCGGGCCAGCTGGCGCGACAGGAACAGCCCGAGGCCCGCGCCCCCGTGTTGCCGCGACGCCGACGTCTCGCCCTGCGAAAAGGGCTGGAACAGTTGCTGCGCGTGCTCCGGCGTCATGCCACAGCCCGTATCGCGCACGATGCACTCGAGCAATGGTGGGCTGTCAACTGGTGGGGGCCGCATCCGCAGCGCCATGTCGATGATGCCGCCGGCGGGGGTGAACTTGACGGCGTTGCTGGTGAGGTTGACCAGGATCTGGCGCAGGCGCGACGGGTCGCCCAGCACGCGGGCGGGCACGTCGGGTCCGATGTTGATCCGCATCGACAGCTGCTTCTCGCGGGCCTGCAGCCGCAGCACGGACGCCACGTCGGAGACGAGCTCCACAGGGGAGAAGGGCACGCTGTCGATCTGCAGCGAGCCGGCCTCCACCTTGGAGAGGTCGAGCACGTCGTTGAGGAGGCGCACCAACTCGCGGCCGTTGCGCGAAATGACCTCCACGATTTCGCCCCTCTCGCTGGCCGGCATCTCGCCCGCTGCAGCGGACGATGACGACGACGATGCAAGCATCAGGTCGGCATAACCGACAATGGCTGTGAGAGGCGTTCGGAGCTCGTGGCTGATGACGGCCAGGAACATGCTCTTGGCTTGGTTGGCCGCCTCGGCTCGCTCTTTGGCCAGCTGAAGCTCGGCCTCGACGGCGCGGCGATGCGCGACCTCGGCTTGCAGGGCCAGCGCCTGCTGCTGCAGGCGCGCGATGAGGTGCTGCTGGCTGTTGTGGTGCTCACGGAGCGTCTCGTAGCTCTTGGCCGGCACAACGCGGCCGTGCGTACCGCAGAGGTCGAGGAAGGCGCGCGTCTGTTCCTCGCACCCGAAGTGGCCGACGGCATAGCCGCACAGCAGGCTGAAGGGCCGGCCCCGCTGCTCCTGGCGCGCGGCCAACTGGCTCCACAGGTTCTCGAACTCGATGGCCGCCGGGCGGCGATCCGACGACCACAAGATGTCCACCATTTCGCCATAGATTCCTGAGTGGTGTGGTGTGTGTGTGTGTGTGTGTGTGTGTCAGTGCGTGCGTGCGTGCGTGCGTGCGGTGTTGCGTACGCAGGTGCCGAAATCGCGCGAGGTGCGCATCCACGAGCGAGCCAAAGATGGCCCAGAAGCGGCCCGGGTCTGGCATGCCGCCTTCGGCCAGGAAGTCGCGTAGCACGGTGTCGGCGTCGGGCATGGACAGCTGGCCACTGGCGTGGCACGCCGCCACGTCGACTCCCCGCTCGGCCAGCGCCCGCTCGATGCCCTTGCGGTGCAGGCGCCGCGCCACCACCACCACCCCAGCGCCCTGGCCAATGCCCTCTGCGGCGAACTGGCACACGGCGCGGCAGAGGTCGGCGGGATCCGTGTAGAACTGGACCCCGTGGTCCGGATGGGGCGCACCGTGGTGGTACGCTGCCCCTGCGTCCTCGCTGAGGTCGTTGACTTGGTCGTCATCCTCCTCTCGCTGAGAGGAGTAGACTCTCCGCTTATTGCGCCCCCCTGGTGGAGGCTGCTGTGTCTCCTGTGCAGAGCCTGGGTCTTGTCGTGGTAGGCCGCCGCTTCTTGATGATGATGATGATGATGTTGATGAAGCTGATGAGGGCTGATTATATTGATGATTATGATTATGGTGATGGTTTAAAAAAGGAGTGTCGTTGCTCGAGCGGGCAACATTGCTTATTCGCCTTGACGAAGGTAAAGGATGACATGAATTGTGCGACATGCTTGGCGGTCGACCGAACAAAGATGAACGGACGTCGTTTGTTCGTTTTCAAACCAAGCACCGGAGTTAAGGAGGTGATTATCAATCCAATTTTTGCACGCGAAAACTGCGCACGATTTCAACGGCCCGACCTCCACCCCGACTGGAGTTTCTGTCTCCCGGAGACAGGAGGCCCTCCTCACAACTGCTCACACCTTGTCCTGGTTGGCGACGCCCTTCAGGTCATCGAGGGTGGATATCACCTCCTCCATGGTGGGGCGTTTGGCTTGGTCCCGGTGCCAGCATCTGCGAGTAAGAGATGAGCACACTTCTCACTGGGGCTCCAAAACACGCACGCACACACGCACACGCACGCACATACGAAGTACCGTTTGATGAGCTTCTTGAAGACAGGAGGCAAGTCAGCAGGAATCTTGGGCCGCCTGCCTTCCAGCACTTCGATGGCCACCGCCATGAAGTTGCAGCCGGCGAACGGCTGCTTGCGCGCGGCCACCTCCCACATGACGACGCCAAAGCTGTACACGTCGGCCGACTCGCAGTATTTCTCTCCACGAATCACCTCCGGCGCTGCGTTCATCGTCGTCATCAGCAAGGTGAGCGAGGCGACACTGACTGAGGCCGGGTGAACGTGTTGCGTACCGGTCCAGCAGGGTGTTCCGCAGCGGGTCATGGTGACATTCTCCTCCTTGATGCGCGCAAAGCCAAAGTCGGCCACCTTCACGTTCCAGTTCTCGTCCACCAGCAGGTTCGACGGCTTGATATCCCGGTGCACAATCACCTGCGCACGCCAAGGCACGTAAACCGTTGTGAGCACACACACCATCACCACTTGTGCAGTAGGTAGTTACCCCCCCCCCAGGGGGACAGTGACGTACGGGTGAGAGGGAGTGCAAGTAGTTAATTCCCAGGGCAGCGCTCTTGAGCATGTGCAGCTTGAGAGGCCAGCTGAGCTTGATGGTGTGGTCGGCCGCGATCTCCTTGAGACTGCCGCGCTTCACGAACTCGGTTACGATGCACAGATTGGGTCGCTTGACGCATGACCCGATGAAGAGGACGATGTTGGGATGGTGCAGCTCCGAGAGGAACGCCACCTCGGCCCTGAACTCGAGCATGCGCCGCTCGTCGAGCTTCTGTTGGATGAACTTCTTCACCGCCACCTCAACGCCCTTCCACATGCCCTTGTACACCATACCGTAGCTACCCATTCCGACCTGTTTTGTTTTGCGTTTGTCAGCTGGTGGGCCATAGCCGTCTCCGCTGATGTTCTTGGGGGGGTGTACCTGATCTCCGAGCTGGATCTCCTTGAAGTCGATGACCCATCGACAGAGGTTGGCCGACGTGAGGAAGTGATCTTCCTTGTAGGCCATCGCCTCGCCCACCCTGTCCCTCATCGATCCGTCATCGCTGTGCACTGACGAACTCTGTACAGAACAGAGGGTTCAGGGATGAATGACCACCCGCGTGGCAAGAGGCGAGAGTGAGCGGTTGGGTTTGCAACTATTAGGGCGGAAGGGCGGTGATGCCGGTACCGAGTTGCTGTTGTCGTTGTCGCCGTAGCCCTTCTGCAGGGCCATGCGGCCGAAGTACCGGCCCTCGAGGCCCGGCACCTTCATTTCGTAGAGGGTGGCGCCACCCACCATGTCGGGCATCTCGAACCGACCCAGCTTCTTGAGCCGCTTCTCCTCGGTGAGCTCGGTCAGCAGCCGCTCGGTGGAGGCCACGGCCGTCACCTCGACGGCGAGCTTGTCGCTCGCCTGCTGCGACACCACGACCTGGCCGCCGTGTGCCAGCGCGGTCATGCGCGCTGCAGTGTTCACCGCCGACCCCACATACTCGACGCGTCGGGTCATGGCGTCCTTCACTACCCGCGGGTGGCCCACGTGGACGCCCATGCGGACCCGCAGACCACGGAAGACCGTGCGCTCGTCCATGCCGCCGTCGACCTCCTCGGCGGCGCCCGGGTGCGAGAGCAAGGTCTCGGGCCAGGCCACGGCGAGCAGGGCGTTCTGCGCTTCGACGCACCAGCGCAGGGCATCGAAGGCACGCACGAACACGAGGCAGAAGGAGCCCTCGCCTGTGTTCCGCTCGCGGCCCACGCCGCCCTCGTATCCGCCGTACTTGGTCGCCAGCGACCGCAGGAGATCGTTGTGTGCGGCGGTGGCATCGCGCATGGCGGCCGGATCGTGCTCCCACAAAGAAGCCGCGCGCGTGATGTCCGAAAACACGATCGCCACCTCGCCGTCGGGAGCGCGGACGCCATGCGGCACCATCACGCCCGAGCCGTGCGTGGAGTCGCCAGACGACCCGTCGCCGGACGAGGCCGTCGAGCTTGACCGACCCGAGTGGTGGCTGAGCTTGTTGGTGCGATGATCCGTTGTAGACGACATCGAAGAACTGCCGCAGTCGAACACAAACAAATGCGTTAATTAGTAACCTGATGGCGACAGCCCAAAAAGAGAGAGAATGACCAACGCGCATACCTGGACGACGAGTGGGAGGTGTAGGAGGAACGCGACATGCCGCCCTCGAACGAGCTGAGCCGAGTCATGATCTCGAGGAAGGTCGGGCGAATGGTGGGGTCCTCGTGCCAGCACGCCTGCATCAGATCCACGAAGTCGCGATCCGTGTCTTCAATCGACGACGGCAGCGTCGGACGCGTATTGTTTCGAATAACCGCCACCGCCACTGCCGCAGGACTTTGATGGGCCGCCAAATTGTGAGAGTGAGCACACCGGTGGCAGCAAGAGGTGAAGGAGCCCTAGGCGTACCTCATGCCACTGTAGGGCTGCTCGCGGGTGAGGAGCTCCCACAGGATGATTCCGAAACTGTAGACATCGGCCAGGATGTAGTCCACGTCGTGGCACTCGTTGAGCACCTCTGGCGCGCTCCAGTGGACGGTCGCCACCCCGGCCGCACCGCCCCTCTTGATGTTGCTCTTGAACGTGGTCAATCCGAAGTCACTCACCTGGACCGGAGCGAATCAGATACCACAGAAAGGTCGTGACCACGACGGCAGACGAGGAGAGGGAGAGGTGGATGGCGAGGTGTCAACAAACTTGTACCTTGACGTTCCACTTGGCGTCGAGGAGCAGATTGAGGGACTTGAGGTCGCGATGCACGATGCCCGACGAGTGGAGGAAGTGCATGCCCTTGGCCGCCTGGAAGGCCATCTTGACCTTGAGCTTGAACGGAATCTCGGGAATCAACTCGTTGTGCAGCAACTGTTCGTGGTGGTGGTATTGCTGTGAGTCTCCATCCAAGATGGAGGCTGAAAACAAGGGGAGGGGGGCGCACATCGTAGAGGGAACCGAGGGCCATGAACTCCATGACGATGCACATCTTGGGCGGCTTGGTGGATGCCGCCATGAACAGCACCACGTTCGGGTGGCGCAACGTGGTCATGACGTGGATCTCGTCGGCGAAGAACTTTTGCATCTCCTTGGTCACCTGCGTGGTCGAGGCCACCATCTTGACGGCGACTTCGGTGCCGCGCCACTTGGCCTTGAACACCTCGCCGTAGCCGCCCGCGCCCAGCGGTTCGCCCATGTCGAGCTCGTCCCAGTTGAGGTTCCACTCCTCCCGGTTCTTGCGGTTGTACTTGGTGAAGCAGACCACGGCGAGAATGAGGCACAGAAGAAGAAGGCACAGCGCCACCGATATCGGGATAACAATGCCCTGTTGCGCGCACACAACACACAACACACGATCATAAGATCTCGCACATATGGTGGTGCCATCGAACAGAGCTCGCACTGTGTGCTATGAGTGGTACGTACGAGAATGAGGGCAAGATTGTCGGACGAGCTGGTGGCGGCCTGGAAGGTCTGTTCACAGAAGTTCCCTCCATAGCCCGAGAAGCACGCACACTGGTTGTCAACACAACGTCCGTTGTTGGAGCACACGAGACCGTCGGAAATGCACGCCCACACCGACAGCATGTGTTCTCCCTCACACATGATCTGTTGTGGTGGTTTGTATATGCATCAGCGTGGTGCGTCTGTTTAGCAGGGATTTTGAGTACGCACCGTAGAAAGCGAGGAGAGAGTGCTTCGCTGGATAAAGGGCACCTGGCCAGCTGAGATGGTGCCCGACCTGGCGCAGTAAGCGTGAAAAATGTTGGTGTTCGTTCATTACAGCACATCAATAATGGAGCACACTGTGAGAAAACACACTGCTGTACATACCCTTCGGCCAGGAGGAAGGCCTGGCCCTCGGTCTGCGTCCAATAGATCCAGTTGATGAGCGTCTTGGTCTTCAAGCAGTCCAACGTCTCGGAACTCAACCGCAGCAGGAAGGGCAGGCTCGTCACGATCGGCCATGCCGTAGGATGGGTAGATAGAGTGAACTGGCCAATGATGCCGATGTTGGTCTGTGATAGGTCGGACACAGCAGCATATACGGACGAAGCCGTGGCCGCCACTACCTGGGTCCCGGCCGTGTTAAGGAGCGAGGCAAAGGTGATGTTGGCGTTGATGTTGCCGCTAAGGGTCCAGGTGAGTGAGTACGGCGTAAGACCTGTTGCGAGGGGGGAGCAAAGCTCAGCGTTATAAGTTGCCGTGGTGGCTGATACACGGGGGGGGGGGAAATACGAAAGGGATAGGCCAGTGTACCAGCCAACTCAAGCAGAGGTCCAATCGAGTATGGGCCGCTGATGGTGTGATTCAGGGCTTGGATTGGGAAAGTGACACTCAGGTTCGAGCCCACCTGAATTGAGGAGGGTTGTTGGCCATGGCAGTAGTATGAAAAAAAAAGACGTCTGAACGTTCTGAATAATGATGAGAAACAAACAAGAAAAAGAAAATTACCGTTATGTTGAACTCTTGGCTGCGCTTGGCGAGAGCATTGGTGAAAGCGGAGGTCACAGCTGGCGAAAAAGAATGGAAGAATGTTGGTGGTCGTTCGGCTTCAACAGGGGAAGGGAGAGAGAGGTACTTGAGCTCGACGTAGTTATGATGACTACAATCTGCTGCTCGGGGAGAACAACGCCGGGGTTGAGAGCTTGAATCTGGAGCGTTTCAACCCCACACCACATCATCACGTCACGTCAGCCGCTGTTTACCATACGGCCTATCTCATCTGTAGAAGGCGCACCAAGGGATCGTTCCATGAAGTCACGTGGCCGAGGTAGATCTCGGCAAGAACATCGATGCTCAACACCAATGGAGAAGAGGCCTGAAGCTCAGGGATCTGCACATATAGAGTTAACGTGCTTAGTCACTTGCGTTGTGGCTTACTGGTTGATTCTACACGTACGTTGTAGACGGGGATCACAGCAGCGGCGGCGCCGGGGAAGGCCTCAACGCCGTCCAGATTCTCCACGCTGCGCTTGTTCGACAGTGTTACCCTACTTGAGGTGTGCGCGTGCATTAGCCGCTGCTGCGGTCCCACCACACTCTAAACGGAAAATTCCCCTCGGATGGACGTATTCATACCCAGAGGGCAGGCCGATGGCAAAGTCGATGTCGCCGGCATCCAAGTCTTCGATGGCTTTCACCGAGGGCACGGAGAAGTATTTCTGCGTGAAGGTGTTGCCATTGTAGCCCTGAATCCAATCGCTGACAGTGTTGATCGCCGTGCCCTCGCCGATGAGATACGACGAGTTAAAGGCACGCACACCGCCGCACTTGATGCTGCCCAAACCATCGATCATCCGCTTGTAGTACACTGTCGTCAGCGTGAACGCGCCGCCGCGGGCGATGGCCGTGGAGATCTGGTTGTTGACCTGCATCCAGCTGAAGATGTCGGCCATCGATGACACAGTCGTGCAGTCGGTCACCGACGAATTGAACTCCTGGCGGGTGGCCGCCACGATCACGAAGGTCATCGGCCACGAGAGCGCGCCGGGACCGTTGAATACGTCAGTGACCAGATTGCCTGCATTTGTTGCAAACCAAGGCAGCGGTGGTGGTGGTAGTGAGGTCAGCAAAGCACGGCGGACAGTCTCTATAGCGCGGCGGTGTGTGGCTATACCGGAACGAACGACGGCGCTGTAGTCGTCCATGGCGCTCTTGGCAGCGGTGGCGTTGAGCGTAATGTTGTTGCCGGCCTTGTTGATCATGTTCACCAAGGGCAGCCTTCGCTTGTAGGTGTTCGAACGCTCGACATAGGTCATCACGTACTTGTTGTTCTGTCGTGTGCCACGCGCTCTCTCTATCGTTAATTACTGCGCGCGTGGTGTGTCTGTGCGCGTTTCACAGCACAGTCCGTACCACAGCGTAGTTGAGGCGGTCGATCATATTCGCCGCTCGGTAGGTCCGGTTCTGCGAGACGGGCAAGAGATCGTCAAAGGAGAAGTTGGCGCTCTTGAACTCATCACCAAAAGAAGCCAGAGCCCGCTTGAACAGGGTGGAGATGCCGTCGTCCGTCGGCCTGTCGAGGTTTAGGGCAAGGTGTTAAGAGTTTACTGACTAAAGTTCACGAAGTAGTTTCTAAGGGGTTAGAACTGAAGAGTGTGCGTACACGTAAGCCAGGATGATGTCATGGTCGGGAAGCGGCAGTCCGGGGTTGAGGGCCGTCAGCTGCGGGTCGTTGTACTTGGTGATGTTGCCCGACCAGATTCGGCTCAGCGTTGGTCCGTCCAGAGTCTGCAGGGATCCACCCCCCACCTCGAATAAATTAATCCATTGCAACCAATCGGATCTAAGAGAGCTCAATTAACGACAAGAGATCTCTTGTCGCTACTTAACACCACGCACATGTGGCCAATCCCGTGGTTATTGAGGGAAAAGGTAAGTACCAAGGATGCGGTGACGTTAGGGACGTTGTAGACGATGATGATGGCGTGGGCGGCGACGGGCAGCTGGAGCGTCCCCGGGGGCACGACGTCTTGCGGCTGTTCGCCGTCGCAGCTGACGAAGCTCGCCGCACCCGACTCCAGGCTGGCCCAGGCTGACGTGATGAGGGGCACCTGCTTGTAGCTCAGCAGCACGTTGTCCGTCTTGTATGGGAAAGCTGCACGGGCGCCGTTTCGGGGTTTGTATTGTTGCGGTTGGTTGGTTGTTGCGTTATTAGTGATCATGGCTGTAATTCTATCCGTCGTCCCGGCAACGGATGACGAGGTTCTAAAAAGAACAAGTTGCACCATATGGTGGCGAATGGGTGGATCGCAAAGCCTCGAGGGGGAATAGAGAAGTTGGGTACGAACCGTCACTGCACTGGCCCCACATGACGCCCGAGGTGGACTCCCCCTGGGCATTGATGGTGAGACCCGATACACCCGTACAAAAGCACCACCCTAGTCACCGGGTGACAAGATTCTCTCTAGTCAGTACTCACGAGGACGCGGAGGCGGGTCTCACTTCGCTCTGCTCGTTCGCCACGCTGATTGGGGTGGACGCTTACCGAGCAAGAAGACCAAAGGGAGGATCACAACCGGCACCGACATGATGGTGGCTGAGCGTGGTCTGTGGCTTGAGTGACGAGCGGCTTCTTGCTTGCTGCTTCGGTGCGTAGTGTTGTGAAGGTGGTCGGGTTTGTTCTTGCAAAGAAACGTCGTCTGCCGGCGATCAGAGAACGAACAGAACTGTCAGGACACTTCTTTCAGCCAATGCGGACATCACCAGGTGTTCGCGGCACAGCGAACCCGGTCGCAGGTGGTGTGGCCGAAAACTAACTGCCAGTTTTGGTCCTCCATCGGCCACCTTTGGGTGACCGAAAGGACTGTTGTCAAGTCGATGATCGTTAAGACTCTTGCCCAGCACCGGTGCACCTAAAAGGAGGCCAAATTGTGCCCGTCGGGTCTACCAGCATCATTAACACGCCCTGTGACCTGCCCAGCATCATCGTCGTGTTAACTGCTGTCTCGCGAGAACCAGCTGAGGGCGAAAGAAACAGACAGTCCAGTCCTCCAAGAGGGAGTGTCGTCGTGCCTCGCATTGGGTGCAGCACAGAGCCGCACGCAAAGCGGCGCGTATAATTTTCACTCCTGTGGTTGGCGGGCCCGCAAGGGGGGGTGGGGATCCTGTCCTGTCTGTGGCGGCGCAGCTGGGCGAGCCTAAGCGCAAAGCCGCCAGCGTAATTCCCTTAGTGAGGATGTCTCTCGCCGAAGAGCATGTGTCGGCGTTCGAGTAGTACAGTTCAGCTTGCACCTGGCTGTACAGCGCCATCAAACAATGCGTGCAGCAAGGTCGGCAATCAAGGCCGAAGGCGTACAATGATGATGGGGAGCTGGTGGTGTGTTCTTCCACCGGCGGGTACTTGCGGACTCAGCTTCACCACATCAAAATCGAATCAAACGACCAGCAATCCGCAAGAAAATCACCTTTTTTCACAATTTTCTTGCGGAGAGCTTTCCTTCTCCTTTGGTTCTTGAGCGCTCACCCCTGCAGTCCCTACAAGCACCGACGAGAAGAAGCGAAGAGGCAAGGGCACTTGGGGTGTGTAGTGTGTCGCCCCCAGGCAAGGGTTTAATGGTTTTTGTTCAGACATCACACTCTGTGCTGAGCGCCATCACAACTGCGTTCATGTCAGGCCGCTGTTGGGGATCTTGGTGCCAGCAGCTCTGCATGAGCTGGCTGAAGCCTTCAGCACAGTCCGGTGGCACCGGTGGTCGGCCGCCGCCCAACACCTCCATGGCCACCTGCATCACGTCTTGGTCGTGGTAGGGCAACTCCTGGGTGAGCACTTCCCACATGACGATCCCGAACGAGTACACGTCGGCCTTCTCCGTGTATCGAGTCTTGGTGCCACCGGTCGGTGGCGAGAGGATCTCGGGGGCCGTCCACGATGGCGTGCCGCAGCGGGTCATGGTGCCGTTGTCGACCTTGGTCGTGGCGAAGCCAAAGTCGGCCACCTTGACGGTCATGTTGTCGTCCACGAGAAGGTTGGACGACTTGACGTCGCGGTGCAGGATCTGCCTCGAGTGCAGGTGCGCGATGCCCAGGGCGGCGTCCCGCAGGAACGACAGCTTCTGCGGCCAGCTGAGCAGGTGGGCCGACGACTCCTTGGTCGATGAGAGGACGGAGCGCAGGCTACCGCGGGGCACGAGCTCCATGACGAGCATCAGCCGGTCGTCGGCGATGGAGAGTCCGATGAGCTTGACGACGTTGGGGTGATCGATGCCGCTGAGAATGGCCGCCTCCTTGCGCAGGTTGAGCATGCCGCCGTCGTCTAGCCTGTGGCGGAAAAGCCGCTTAACGGCGACTCTCCTCTGCACGAGCGACGACGACGACGACGAAGAGGAGGAGGAGGAGCAGGGGAAGGGCTCCCGCAGGGCAGTCGCTGGGGCAAAGAGGGCCTCGGTGACCTGGCCGTAGTTGCCCTCGCCCAGAATGGTGCCGCCCAGCGTCAGACTGGCTGAGTTGATGATCCACGGACAGGCATTGGATGAGCACAGACCTATCTCGTACTCGTCGATGCTGCCGTCGTCAGGCAGGTCGGCATTGTCCAGCTGCTCCGATGAGTCGCCGAGAAGCACGACATCGTCGAACGGCGTGAAGCTCGGAGGGCTGGCGTCGTGCTGCTGCTGGAGGCGCTCAGCAAACTCGGTGGAGCAGATGACGGCCCCGAAAGGGCACTGCACGTTGAGCTGGCACGCCTGCTCGTAGTCCTTGGCCAGGTAGCCCGTATGCAGGTGGTCGTCGACAGGCGCCCTGGCCCGTTCGGGGTGGTAGGCCAGGCTGACCCGCGAGCGAATGGTCGCGCTCCAGCCCTTGGCGCGCACGTCGCTCTGTACTGCCAGCGCAAAGGCGGCCGCCTGGGTCGGCTGCGCAAAGGCCAGCAAGAAGGTGCCGCCGCTGTGAAGAGTCGACCGTGAGAAGATGTACGCCCCGCAGGCCTCGGCGTGCCTCCGTACCAGCGAAGAGTAGGCGGCGATGGCCTTACTGGCTGCAGCCGGATCGGCCGTCCACAGCTCGTTGAGCCGCGCGAGGTCGCTCACCGCAAAGCACACGTTCTCTCGCGGCGGCGCGGCAGCTGCACCGGCCCGCAGCTGGTGGTGCTGAGACGGCGCTGATGAGGTGGTGCTGCCGGTGTGGAACGAAGAATCGGGACCGACCGATCGCTCCCTCTGCAGGTGCCGGCTGCTGTCAAAGTCGATGCTGCCGATGCTGCCGCTGCCGGTGGTATAGTGGTCGCGCAGGTGGAGGCTGGTACTTCTGCTGCTGCTCGTGGCCGTGTGCGTGCTGCTAAGATAGTTGCCCTGGGTCTCGCCGATGGAGGTGAGGCGGCTCATGATGTCGAGGAACACGGGCCGCAGGGTCTTGTCGCGGTGCCAGCACTCGGTCATGAGCCGCACGTAGTCGCGGATGGTACCATCGGGCGGGCCGGCCGTCGCTACGCAGGCCATGTCCGGCCGCAGATCGTCCCGGATGACGGCGATGGCCACCTGAGCCGCGGTCAGGCCCTCGTAGGGGACCTCCGTGCTGAGAATCTCCCACAGGATGATACCGAAGCTGTAAACGTCGCACAGCACAAAGTCCACGTCGTCGGCCTCCTCGAGGAGCAGCTCGGGCGCCATCCACGGCACGCTGCCGAGCGCCAGGGTCTCGTCCTTGCGCTTGACCGAGTCCTTGAAGCCCGTGAGGCCAAAGTCGCTCACCTGATTCGCGTGGCACATGTGAGAGACCAATTATTAATTGTTTGGTTTGAAGAAAGAACGAACGAAAAAGCGAGCTGAAGATGAAGACGACAACGGTACCTTGACATTCCACTTGGCGTCGAGGAGCAGGTTGAGCGACTTGAGGTCGCGGTGCACGATGCCCGACGAGTGGAGGAAGTGCATGCCCTTGGCCGCCTGGTAGGCCATCTTGAACTTGAGGCCGTGGGGAATGTCCGGTATGAGCTCGTTCTGGAGCAGGTCGTAGAGCGACCCGAGCGCCATGAACTCCATCACGATGCACAGACGCGGCGGTCGCGTGCAGGCGGCCATGAAGAGGACCACGTTGGGGTGCCGCAGACGGCTCATGACTCGCACCTCGTCCCCGAACGCCCGCAGGCCCTCGCGGCCCATCGCGGCCGCGCCGTGGCCGATGGTCTTGATGGCCACTTCGGTGCCCTTCCACAGGCCCTTGTACACCTCGCCATAGCTGCCCTGGCCCAGCAGCTCGCCGCGCTCCAGCTCGTCGAAGTCGATCAGCCACTCCTCCGCGCCGCCGCGCCTCCGCCGGGCCACGGCCAGCGGGATCACCACCGCGCCCGCAGCGACGGCCACCATGAGCACGAGGAGCAGGGGCACGACGGCACCAAACACGATCCCGACCACGGCCGCGGAGGACAGCGAGTCGGATGAGGCCGACGAGGATGACATGACGCAGAGATTGCCCGAGGCTCCGACGGTGGTGCACACGCAGGCGCCGCGATAGCAGTAGCCGTTGCCGCTGCAGACGGTGCCATTTGCCGAGGAGAAGCACGTGCGGCGCGTGAGGTTGGTGGCGGTGATGCGGCCATCGACCCGCACGCTGAGCGGGCTCGAATGGAGTGAGTCGTTGAGAGCCGCGAGCAGAGGGTCGAGCAGGAACTTCTCCGAGTTGACCACACCCTGCGCGTGGTCGACGAACACGCTGTAGCCGTCGCCGCCCCGGCCGAGGTAGTCGATGGTCGTGACCGAGTAGGAGGTGTTGGGGTCGAGCAGCCGCCAGGTGCCACGGCTGACCTCGACCCAGGCGTCGACCACGCGCGTGCCCACGGCTTCGTAGGCGTTCCAGGTGAACCGCAGGCCCGAGACCTGAGGGAAGCGGCCGAAGTTGGAACCCGGCGGGGCCGTGTTGTCGGCGAGCGAGAGGCCGTGCTCGAGGGCCTCGAGCAGGTGCGCGCCCCCGAGCGAGAAGGTCCACAGCTGGTCCTGGCCGCCGTAAGGGAAGGTGAGCAGCTGGTCGCCGAGCGTGATGTTTCCCCGCGCGAAGGGTCCGCTCATGGTGTCGCCGTTGACGATGCCAATCTGCGTCTGGCCCACCCCGCGAAGGCCGTCCACCGCCCAGTCACCGATGGCGCACTCGCCGAACAGGCATCGGTGCTCGTACTGGATCTCGAATGCCGCGCGGCCGACCACCGTGCCGAGGGAGTCCTGCACGTTGTTGTAGTCCTGCACGATCTCCTGGTGGATGGTGTCGTTGGCGGCGATCGCGTCGGAGAGCTGGATCGAGTTGCCGTTCCACGACGTGATGACCCCGTTGTCGTCGAAGGTGACGTTGAGCACGCCCAGGTTCTTGCCGTAGCGACCGGAGCCCACGATGAGCACCGGCTGTCCCCACAGCGTGTAGACCACGCGGGGGTACGGACCGGCGGGCTGGTCGAAGTCCGGCACGGTTGCGTTCATGACCGGGTTGGCGTAGTAGACGTCGCGGAGCACGACGATGTCAATTCCGAGCACGTACTTGAGCACCGAGTCGAGCACGCCGACGCCGCTGAGCGTGACGACGATCTTGTTGACCCCCTGGTTCTGCAGCTTGCCCACGGCCTTGAGGATTCCCTCGAGCTCGGACGAGGAGTTGAGCTGGTAGGTGTTGGCGAAGAGCGGGGCCATGTCGGCGATGGTGGTGGCCGCGTAGCCCACCTTCTCGGTGCCGAAGGTGAAGACGGCGTTGACTCCGATCGTGGCGTTGACCAGCCGGGGGTCCTGGTCCTTGTTCTCCAGGTTGGCCGCCAGCACCGCCGTGTCGTTCCCGAGGGTCTCGACGAAGTAGGCCAGCGACTCGACGCTGTTGACAAACTCGAAGAGGCTCACGGCCATGCCCTGGTAGCCCAGCTGACTGTGGTACTTGGTCAAGACGGTTGAGTTGTACAGGTACCAAAAGAGCGAACCGGTGAAGAAACAGCCCGCGTCGACAAGCATCGAGTTGGCGGCCGTGGCGCGCACGGTCTCGATGAGCGTGCTCCGTCGGTCGAAGCCGCCCAGGCACGGGTCGGCGCCTTGCGTCGAGCGGTAGGTGCCGTTGACCGGCTCGCAGGCGCTGTTGAAGAGGTCCACGGCCGTTACCTGCGCGTAGGTCGTGCCGGTGTGCATCACCGTAAGCTCGAACGAAGCCTGGCCGCAGTGCGACCACCCGACGACCACCACCAGAGCCAGCCAAACCAGCGGTATGGGGTCATAAGAATCGCGCACCATCCTTCGTCACCTTCCTTCGTTTGTGTTGCGAACGCACAAGAGAAAACGGACACACTTGTTGTGCGGCACTTGTTCGGTCATCTCCGCGCGGGGGGGGTCCATCGTGTGCAAGTGGTGGGTGGTCACTACCGCCGGATTCTGCCGCCCTCCCAACACCACAACCAGAGTGGTAGCGGGAAAGACCGTACGCATAAGTGGTGGGTATCATCTCCTAATCTTTTGTTCCCATTCCTTCGGAGGAATAACTGTGCAAGTAACTACTTTTAGGCCTCTCTTTTTATGGCCCTAGGATCACAGCGACGGCTGCTGTCTGACTGGTCAAAACGAAGATGATTTTTGCATTTCCTCACTTTTCTTGGCCACTTTCTCCGCAGGAATGACGAATAAACAAACAAACTAACCAACGAACGTTGGCCACGAAGTGATGACCACATCGTGTTGTTTCTTTATTGGTTCTGGCCTGTAAACAGCAGCTCAAAAGGACGGTCTAAGCAATCACACGCTGCAGGCTATGGCAGATGTCGGTGAGGGAGACCACGCCTACGGGCTTCCTTTGCTCGTCGACCACGTAGAGGCGGTGCACCCTGGTCTCGTTGATCCGGTTCATCACCTCCACCAAAGACTTTTCCCTTTCGCAGTACACCAGCCCTAGATAGAGAGGGAAACAGGGGTGAGCCTGATTGGCGCGATACAGGAAGGCAAAGCACACGCACCTTCGGCCCTCTTCTTGCCAATGACAACTGCGCGAGTGACGGCGAGGTAGTCCCGCACCGACAGCAGCAAGCGCTTGAAATCGGTAAGGGCTCCCTGACGAGGCGGAAGGGCCACAAGAGAAAGAGGAAGGATTGAGCCAAACAGGGAGCCAGAAAGCAAGCAGCCGCGGCGAAGATGAAGGAGGAACCTTGAGGTCAGTCGCGGAAATGTTCTCGAAGATCTCACCGTTGCCGGAAACGACGGCCAGTGAGGACAAGCCCTCCTGAAGCAGAGTGAAGATCAGAGATAAGGTCAGACATCCTCGGCAACAAACGTCTTCGAAGCTCAAGAAGGCCGAACGGAAGGCGCACCTTATGCATCGTCATGAAGGCATCGAAAGCGACCATGTCCGCAGGCACCGTGGCCAGCTTGTTCACTTCGGTCATGCGGAGCGATCCGGCCTTGAGGTCGCTGATGAGGCAAACAATTCGGATTGTGGTGAGTCTCCCATCATGGTCGGTAGAGGAAGCGGGGAGAGGGAAATTGGGAGGAGAGCACGTACTTGATCTCGCGCATCTGAGAGAGATCGCCATGGATGCAGCGGAGGAGCATCGACTGGGTAAGCACCCCGATCAGGTTGTGGTTATCGTCCACAACGGCAACGCTGGTGGCGGGGTTGTTAGCAAGCGATGCAAATAAGCGCCCACGCAACATCTCTCAGCGTAGAGCATTGGCGCGATACCGGTGGATGTATTCGTTGGACTTGCCGAAGAAATTGATGAGGTCTTTGGTGCTCATGTTCTGGTTCACTTTGTGCAGCGGATTGCGCTTGCAGTAGTCTTTGTGGCAGTGTGAGATATGAGAAATATTGTTTAGTTTAGTTCGTGTGCGCTGGCACAGCACCAAGGTCCAAGGATGGGTGCTCGTACCACTGATCTCAACCGTGTTGGTGATCCTGAACTCCTTGGAGCGCCTGTGGAGGATGGCCACGTCGTCGGTGGCGATACTGCGCGACTCTCCCGCACCATACGGGTTGGTCATGATGCGAGTGCCCACGTTGGCCAAGAACGCCACCTTAATAAACAAGGGACGAGATCAGGTGAGAAGCACTTGGTCACTTGAGGATGTGCATAGCATACCAGGTCTACAACGTCAACAAATCCCTTAATGGCGCCCGGCGCGGTTCCTGGACAGCCATGGACACCAATGAGGCCCACCAAGAGCAGCGGGCGAGCGTGTTGGGTGAAGCGAGGAGGTACCGGTAGAGGGCTCGACGACGGGCAGCGCGGTGAGGTCGTGCTTGGCCATCTTCTGGAAGGCCTGGTCCACGAGGTCGTCGGGGCGGACCCACTCCACCTGCTGCCCGCTCACGAGTTCTCTCGCCGTCTTGTTCATGTTCCCTGATAACGATGAAGATGAAATTTAAGTGTGATCAAAATGAGCTAAGACCACACCACACTTTACCAAGACGTTGAGCCGAAGTGGTACCTCTTGTTGTTGTTTGCTGATGAGAGTGTGTTTGGAGTGTGTGTGTTTGCGCTTGTAGGTATGCGTAGGTGGACTGGGAAGCGGGGCGAGCCTATTTAAAGCACTGAGCCTGGGCACGCCAGGCGAAGGCCCACCAAGAAGCAGCCAAGCACTGGTCTGGTGGTCATCTGATTTTCGCCGACGCGGTGTTGAGCCCCCAGCAAGGAACGAACCCATGAGCTCGATGATGGAGGGTCATCATCAGCTGTCAGTTTAGAGTGCTTTGGGAAAGGGTCTAGGAGTGCCAGCGACGTTTCTAAAAGGGAAAAAAGAAAACTATGGAGAAATGTGAATTTATTCAGTTCAGCGCGGTAGGGTGCAGAGTTCGAGCGTTGTCGTCCTTTCGTCGCGCGCTCACTTGTGTGAGTTGTGGCCTCCAGGACACGCCGCGTGTGTGAGACCACACTGCCAGCACCAGGGCTTCTTGCACAGCTGGCAAGTCATAAAATTACAGCCTAACGGAACCATCACAAGCAGCATCACACCTTCAGAAACACACAAACATTGCAACACACACGGGAAACGGGTGTACCTTCGGTCTTTTGCGTCCTGATGTTACAGTGCGGGCAGAGCTTGAGCACGCCGGTGTCGACCAACTCTTGGAATTTGTCATCGGCCATGCCGTTCTCCTTTTTCCACTGCTGGTAGGCCTCGCACGTGGAGTCGTGCGTGTCGTCGTTGCACTTGAGGCAGTACTTCTTGGTGCACACGTCGCACTTCCACTGCCACGCTTTGTCTACATCATCGGCGATGACCATTGTCGGTTGGGGGGGGGGGTTAGTAATCCGCCGTGAGCGAGGTCTCCACTCTCAGAGAGAGCACGTACCTGGCAGACCGGCATCTCGGGCAATGATGACGCCGTTCTCGCAGTCGGGAGTGAGACACCGACAAAAGTCCTTGTCGCTCTGCAACGCACGCTCGAACCGGAACTTTTCGTACTTCTTGAACAGGTCAGCCGGTAGAACGAGCTCTAGCGCGTCGTCGCTCACCGCTTCTCCGCAGTGGGGGCACTTCAAAGATGAAGAAAAAACAGAAAGGGTAAGAAGGGGACGCACTCGCACCTCGCAGGGTTGTTGTTAGGCGGGAGGGAGAGCAGTACCTTGATCGGGAACTCGTTGAGCGAGGTCTTGAAGTACTCGAGCGCGCAGTCTCGACAGAAGTAGTGCCCGCACTCGCCCATGATGAACTTGTCCATCGGATCGAAGTCATCCATGCAGATCTCGCAGTGTGCTGGTTGTGGGAAGGGATACGGAAAAATAGAATTGAGTTGGGGTGGCACCAGCAAGAGAGACCCCCTCCCCAGCGTAGGAAGACGAAGGCACACACATACCCTCCTTGAGTTCCTCCTCTTTGGCCTGGAGCTCCTTGGCGATCTGGGCCGACGTTTCCTCCTCCTCGAGCTTCCGTTTTCGCTCCTCCTCGGCTTCGAGACGCAGCATGTCCTCGATCATCTTCTTGGTGTCGTCGTCCTGCTTCTTCCGCTCCTCGAGCGCCCGGGTGCGTTCCTCTTCGAGCATCCGTCGCGCAAAGTCCTTGGCCCGCTCCTCGTCCTCCTTCTCGCGCTGGAGCCGCCGCTGCTCGGCCGCCAGGCGCTCCTCCTCTTCCATCATGCGGATCACCTCGAGCGTGCTCTGCTCCTCCTCCTCCCGCTTGCGACGCTCGGCCAGCTCCATCTCCATGAGAATGTCGCGCAGGCTCTTTTCTTGGCCCTCGCCGTTGCCGTCCTCGCCCTTCTCTCCTTGCTGCTGCTTGCGGTCGCGCTCCTTTTCGTCGGCAGCCCCGTTGCCTTGCGCGAGCTCCTCCTCTTCCATCCTTCGAATCGCCTCGAGCGTGCGCTGTTCCTCCTCCTCCCGCTTGCGACGCTCGGCCAGCTCCATCTCCACGAGGACGTCGCGCAGGCTCTTTTCTCCGCTCCCACCGTCGCCGTCCGCGTCCTTCGTGCCTTGCTGCTGCTTGTGCGCCTCGCGGTCGCGCTCCTTTTCGTCTACAGCCCCGTCGTCTTGCGTGAGGTCCATCACCGATGAGTCGTTGCGTCCGCCCTTGCCCTTCTCTACACCGTCGCCGTCGTCGTCGTCGTCAACGACGATTATCGTCCGCTCCTTTCCGCTCTTGTCACGCTGTTGCTTCTTTGTCTGTTCTTCACCGGTGCCGGTCTGGTTTGCCTTCTCATCGTCCTCTTCCATGCGCTTCCTCTTCTTGGCTTCATCGAGCTCCCTCTCGGCCACAATGCCCGGGTCAAGCCTGTGGTGTATGGGCACACGACCACCAACCAACGTTCAGCGAAGAGCACAAGAGGGGCTTCACGTTTCAGGCACGAGAAGAGGGAAGGAGCGCCGTAGGCGAAGAGCTGAGCTGTTAGCGGTAGGTGAAGGTGAGGTGGGTACCCGCACAGCCGGATGGTCTCGTAGTAGAGCTGCTTGCTATCAGCCTCGTTGAAGACGAGGTCACGCGGCCTCCCTTTCACCCCCAGGCGCACGCCGCCCTCGCCGCCGCCCGCCACACGGACCCGCTCCCAGTCCCATTGCCACGTTCGGAACAGCTGCACGAGCTTGGTGCCATCGAAATCGTTCTGGACCAGATGGATCATGAGGGCCTCGCGGTGCTGCAGGCCCGGCAAGTCCAGTAACCAGCCGACCGTGTTATCCATCGACCATCCAGCGAGTTCATCCCCAAACGATGAAGATGTCGTCGCCGCCATGTACTTGAATTCAAGGAGAGTCTTCTTCCTACCAGATCATAACAGCCATGTTGAAGCAATTATGTGAGTCTTAAAAGATTTCTCGATTAAAATCAGGGATGGAGGCCCGTACCAAATTCAATCCAATGCCAGGCTGGAGGTGATGGAATAATGGAGCTGCTCCAGTGTTCGGCCGAACGCTTGTGCCCGTTTTCGTGGTTTCAGGTAAATCGAAAAAAAAACAATAATTTCGGGCGGCGTGCCGCGCATTGCTTCAAGCCCTTTGCGGCGGAGTCGTTTTTGGTGGACTGCTCTCGTGTTTTGCTGTGGTGCGGAAGGAGCACAACCACAGAAGGATGACGCGTGCCCCAAAGAACGCTACACACAGGAACTCGATACCCTGGGGTGCTTGGCCGCATGATGCCGCACACGAAACAGGTGGCATTGGGGGATATGGGTCACCAAGCGCATTCAAAAATGAGCAGACGATGGGTGGTCAAGCCAAAAAGAACGGTCACAGGTACGATGCTTCTCGGCAAGAAGAAGACCAGACATCATCACGACGATACCAGCACCACCACCACGCGCAAGTCCACCAAGCGGTCCGGCATCTTTAGTCGATGGCGTAGCACCAGCATGCGCGCAAGCCGGGCCTCTGTCCAGGAGAGCGATTCGACCGACAGCGACAGCAGGCGGCTGCCTCTCGACGCTGGCCAGGACAGAGCGCATCATCAGCACACCACGCGCAACAAGGATATCATCCTCTACACTGCTGTCCACAACACCGATGACATCAAAAGCCAAGGCCGGTACCAGTGCGACGATGTGGACCAGGGAGACATGGGCGCGCTCGTCTGGCTGTCACGGCTCATCGAGAGCGGTCAGGATGACAAGCACTCGAGGCAGCACGCCATCTTCGCGACCTCCATCGGCCGAGGAGGAGCACAGAAGTACCGACACCAGCGGCCTGGCGGCGATGCTGGGCTGCTCGATCTGTCGTCGGCCGTTCGGCTGACCGATAGCTCAGCCCAGGGCCAGCTGGGCTCGCGGATCGCGCAGGTCATCACGCACGTGACGACCCTCGACCTAACCGGCCACGGGTTCGACCACTTCCCGGAGGAGCTGCTGCGGCTGACGAGTCTGCGCAACCTGTGCCTGGCCGACAACCGAATCGAGGAGCTGCCGGCCGGTATCGAACGCCTCAGCCTGCTCGAGCGCCTGGTGCTGCGCAACAACCGGCTGACGTCGCTGCCCCTGGAGCTGGGTCACCTGGAGAACATCAGGGAGCTATGTGTCTGTGGAAACTTGATCGCGCACGTACCCACTGCCGTCGGCCAGCCCTACCGATTGCCCGAATTGCGCCCGCTGTCATTCATGAAGGTATCGCCAGCGCCTAACATGTCGACTTGGCTGGTCGTAAGTGCTTACCGTCAGCGGTCGTCTTCATCAGGATCGCGAGGCCAAATGCAGTGTCAAGCTGGTGATGATCGGCGACCTGGCGTCCGGCAAAACGGACATGGCCGTGACCTACATCCAGGTAAGCTGTCAAGACCACATCCCTTCTCTTTGGGCCACTGCTGCCAGAAACGGGGGTGTGAACGGAAGTTGTGTGATGTGTGTGAGAGCAGGGCAAGTCACCTCGAAGGCCGCGAGAGAGCGCCATCGCGTCGGCCTTTTCCTCCACTGTAGTGCCCCGGGGCCGCATGCACGCCCCAGTCACGGTCTCTGTCTACGACACTTCAGGTGAGGCGCACCGCTTTAATGGCCACCCGTGGCGTTGCGCGCTCTAATGGATCTGACGCCGCGGTGACGCACCCAGGCCAAGAGGAATTCGAAAACATCCGGGTGATGTCGTACGAGAAAGCCGACGTCTTCATCGTCACCTATTCGGTGGTCGACCCGCCCTCTTTCCACAGCATCCGCGACGTGTGGTGGCCTGAGGTGCGATGTGTGTGCGGTGTGTGTGTGTGTGTGTGTGTGTGTGTGGTGCGTGCGTGCGCAAACCTCGCTCCTTCTCACATAGTACCTGTGCCGTGGTTGATGTGGGTAGATTCACGGCCTGTACCCCGAGGTACCGGTCGTGCTTGTGGGCACCAACTGTGGCCGCCGGGAGGACAAGCGGACGCTCCAGAAACTCAAGCTGCAGAGCCTCCGACCAGTCCGGTAAACAGTGTTCACACATCGTCATCAGTCAGAAATGAGTCTAACTTGCCGCGATATCATAGGGTGGAGGAGGCGCACGCACTCGCCGCCGATATGGAGGTACGCACCACCGTTGGTCCTTGGTTGCATTCGTGGTACTTACGCGTGGTGCAGGCTGTGGCCTACTTCGAGTGCGACGTATCGCAGAGCGAGGGCGTTCGCGCGGTCTTCGAAGAATGCGTGGAGCTCATCCTCGCGTTGGCCGATCACGACCAAACGAGAGCGCACAGCGGCAGCAGGATCGGAAGGAAGCGAACCGATGACGACGAGCCGACGGGGTGCTTCCCGTTCCTTGTGCGGCAGACGAGCGGCAGCCCGGCAGCCCGGCAGCCCGGCGGAGGGCGGACACCGTACGGACCACCACCCAGCTCAGTGTTGACGTCAAAGGCGTGCTCGCGCCGGTGGAAGGCGCGGAAGTGAGTTCTCGACCCTCGCCCACGCCGACGGAGTGGAACGCACGGTGGCTGGAGCGCGAACGAAAGCGGCGGCGAGGGCAAGACGCGTGCTACTACCAATCGCACCAGCTAGCAGACTACCACCGCCTAGGTGGGAAGACAGAGACCCACACAAACACCAAGGAAGACAAAGGAAAGGAGAAAGTGGCGCAGGAAGAAGAAGCGGGGCGACCAGAGCGGAGCAAGCGAACGAGGAGCAGAGAAGAAAGACGAGAGGAGAGCAGTACCGACGGGCTGCCAGCAGACGAGCCAAGCGGTGGCAACGTGGTTCGTCCGCCCGAACCGCAGCTGAGGAAGAAACGGAGCTTGCGGCGGCTGCTGGCTGCCGTCTCCCTCCGGCAGCTGAAGCCGGACCCTACACCGTCCGTCGTGTCTTCCGCGCCGCCGTCCCTCTCCGTACTGCCGGCCAGCCCGCCCGGCAAGAAGGTCGGGTGGACCCAGTTCGGCGACGAAGCAGTGCGCCCAGGAGACGCCAGGCTCAGCTCAGACTGAGAGAGAGACTGTACATGCATGCACCGGCGAACAAGAGGGGAGGATGAGTCTATTACGGAGAAGGAAAAAGAGGAGAGACAAAGAGGTGCACAGCGCGCGTGCAGAGGTATCAGCCGGCGCTGGGTGAGTGGGATAGAGGCGAGAGAGAGAGAGAGAGAGAGAGAGAGAGAGAGAGAGAGAGGAGATGGAGCGCCGCGAGGAAGAAAACGGGGCGAGTGCGGTGCCCCGCCCGCCCGACCTGCGTGGCCGCACGCGCCGCTGACGGTCTCACCATAGCGGGAGGAGAAGGAATGGAGCGCCGCCTCCGCCGTCCACAACCAGGGGGAGGCCAGTTGTCAGTTAAGTCGATCGTCGTCTTCCATCGGGTACGCACGAAAGGTCGATCTCGTAGTCTTGTCGTCCTTACTCACCGCGCCTCCCTCGTGTGACTGGGGGGTGCTTCTTGCCTTCGCACACGTGTGCCGTCTTGGTTGTCATGCCAACCAAGTTTTTATCAGTAAAATGAACTCAGTATCTCAAAAGCAATGGGGTCGGCGAGTACCAAGAGGGTGCGGAGCAGGAAGCCAGCGGAGGTGGAGGAGTGGTGTTCCTTACTCGTAGAGCTGCGAATTGAGAGAGTTGTACGTGCCGCCGACGGAAGGGTAGCCCTTCTGCGTCCTACCGGCCCCATCCTGCGAAAAGTCGTCTTCCACAAACTGGAAATCTTGTGACTGCGACGGCTGCGAGATCGGGTAGCTCAGCCTGTGTTCACAGGGGCGCACACATTCGGGTTAGTGGTGACCAAAACGAGAATTGGGGGGGGGGTTGACGTGAGAGTAGTACCCCCTGTCGGATTGCTGGGAGAAGGGAAGAGAGCTCTGCTGGGAAAGGGGCAGGGACTGCGTCAGCAGCGGCTGCGTGAGCGGACCCTGCGAGGAGTACGACATCCCGGCCTGCGTGCTGCTGTCTCCGAAGCTCTCTCTGGGCCTCTCAACTGCGTTACGTCGCATCACGCGAGAGGTTATGTTATGACCCGCGTCTCTATCTCTCATACATAGCGCACAACTAAGGTCTGGTGGAGGCGTACCTCTATCCTTCCTTCCACCTCGGGCACGAGGAGCGCCGCGAGTGCGCTGCTGCTGCTGCTGCTGAGCGTTCCAGGCATCGGCGTGCCGGCCCGCGTGCGCGGCGGCGGGAACCGGGCCAGGGTAGTACCCCGCCTGCGCAGGGAACCTTCCGCGGCCAAGCGATGCCGCTGTGGAGCAGCCAAGCCAAACACAGACCATCATTTAGTCGGCGGGCCAAGAAGCAAGGGACCCTGGGTCCGTTGGGGATGTGTGGAACGTACCGGGGTCGGTAGAGGCAGGAGCGGGGAGGGAGCGGTCGTAGACCGACGGATCCTCGTCGGGCCGGAGGGCGGGGCCAAGACCGGGAATGAACTTACGGTCGTTGTAGTACTTGCGCGGCCTGGCGAACTGGACCATGGACTGCTTCAGGTTGTTGAGCGGACCCTCCACGAGGCATCCGTTCTCCTTGAAGTGGACCAGCAGGTTGTTCCACAGCGGTTGCCTGGACAGCACCTGTGCATGAAAGGTGTGAACATTTGTTGTTGCACAAACAGCGCTAATACGTCGGCGAAGTGTGAGAGGCGGCTACCTTGGCGTTACCCAGCACCACGACGCCGTACTTGGCACGGGTGAGAGCCACGTTGAGACGCCGAGGATCGTTCAAGAAACCAATGCCCTGTGGCGTCACCAAAAAAAGAGGAATGAGCAAGGCCAGAAAAGCGGCGCGTGCCGAACGGAACGATGGGGTGGAGGCCTTGAAGGAAAGCGGAAAGCGACGTCGTACCTGGTGCTCGTTGGACCGTACGCAAGAAAGGATGATGAAGTCTTTCTCACGACCCTGGAAGGAATCAACCGAAGCGACTTCGATCTCCTTGTAGAGCTGTGAACGCAGCGATCCGTTTCTCTGCATGTAGTTCACCAGGTACGCCCTCTGTCCTTCATACGGCGTGATCACGCCAATCTATGTCCAATAGTACACAAAGAGAGCGTACTTAGCCTCACCGACGATAGAGAGCTATTGGAAGTGGACGCAAAATGCACAAACCTGAGCCGACGTGACACCGGCCTGGAGGAAGTGGGTCACAATCTTCTCGCACACTGCTGCTTCATTCCTGGGAAACAAATGAACGCAAGTGGAGTGGTGAGATGATCGAAGCGACAGATAGTGGTCAAGCAGGTCTGTACCTGTTGAGATACGATGTGCCCGATGACGAGATCTCCTCCTGGCCCAGGCAGTTGTAGAAGAACATGGGCTTGTTGGGCACTGGCCACGGGAAGTCCAGCGCGCCCTGGTTGCGCTCTGCCGCAGTGACTCCATTCTGCAGCGTGCCTTCGTAGAACGTGTTCGAAGGGAACTCCGAGAGACACGGGTGCATACGGTACTGCACCTGCAGACGAATGGGACGTACACCTGCAAACGCGGCCCACCCAATAGACATGACGAGGTGGTCAGCCATAGAAGTGTTTTGAACTCATGTCATGAGGAGGAGAGGGTACCCAGCATGATGAGACGCTCAAAGAGCGATTGGGAAAGGCCCGCGCGTGCGGCCTTCTTGCACATGATGACAGGACCCAGCTGGCAGTGATCGCCCACAAAGATCACTTGCTTGGCACCCAGCACCAACGGCAGCAGGCACTCGGGTTCGGTAGCCTGAGTCGACTCATCGATCAGCACTTGCCTGTCACCACCAACCAGGCGAATGGGCAACGCGTTAGTCGGGTAGGGGGGGGGAAGGCTTGGCCAAGCAAAGGCATACCTGAAGCGGAAGTTGGTCAGCCGAGGGTCGCCAGCACCGACGCAGGTGCAGCAGATAACGTCGGCCGATTGGAGGATCTCGCGCTCCATGGATCGCTTCAGGGACTTGAATTTCTTCTCATCGGCAGACGACAGTTCTCCTTGGTCATCCTTCAGCTGCTGCAACTTGGCCAGCTCCCCCTTGTCCTGTAACGCGTCACGAGGGCATGAGCTCCGATCCACCCATTCATTACAGCGGAGCGGAAGAACTGGCAGGTTTAGGAAAGGATCGTACGATCGAACCGGAGGCGAGATGCTTGACCAAGTAGTGGAGGGTGAGGAACTCCACCGGCGAGGAGACGGCTTCCCGCGATTTGGCACAGAGGCGCACGACCTTCAGACCCGTGGCGTGTATTTTCTCTGTTTTTTTTTGTGGCTGTTGGTCAGCGAGGGTGCCGAGCTGCACTGCGCAAGGAGCTGCAATGGGAGGGAGGGGGAAGCCTACGCACCAGTGAGCTGGTCGACGGCGACGTTGGAAGGAGCGCAGACGAGCACCTGGCCCTGGTTCTGCTTGACCAGCTGATACACCGTCGAGGCGGACGTCACGGTCTTGCCAGTTCCGGGTGGACCCTGGATGAGCGAGAGCGGCTTCTGCAGCACACTCTTCACGGCGGCCACCTGAGAGTGGTTGAGCTCGGGAAGGCCAGGAGCGGAGAAGCGCTTGGGGAGAGTGACGCGGAAGGTCTGCTCCTCGACTTCGTGCCCGAGGAATCGGTGGTAGAGGTAACCCGAAAGCGATTGATCATCGACAGCAAACGTCTTCATGGCGCCCTGCATACGGTCGAACGACGTGGCTTTCCAGACAAAGTCGACCGAGAAGCCGTGAGACAGGTCGATGGGCGCTCCGACGTTGGAGCGCAGCTCGAGGGCCACCTCCTCGTTGGTGGTGAGCCTTACGACGTGGCCTACGCAGTTCCACGCTGCGTGGCTGCCGTCACCCGGATGTCGCAGCCTGAGTTCATCGCCGGGCACCAGCCGGAGCTCGTTGTCGGACTTGGGGAACAGGAAGTAGGCCACGCGCTTCTTGTTCAAGCCCATATCCCACCGAATGGATACTCCTTGCTATTGATCGTTGACCACGTGGAAACCATTTCGTAAGTGAACCAGACCGCCGGCCGCAATCATAGATAGAGATAATACGACAAGAGTCAGTGGAGGAAAACCGTACCTGCGTCTGTGACTCCTTCATCCTCTTGTCATACTCCGCCTCGAGCTTGACCAAAGGACCGAAGATGTTCTGTTGGGACGAGTAGTAGAGATGCCTATGAGATCATCAAAGAACAGAGAAAGTGAAATAAAAGTACAACGTCGCAGGTACCTGGTATTGGTAAGCGTCTTCGTATCGCAGCAGAACTGAGTTGGGTTCATCATCCACACCGGGCTTCTGGAGGTCCTCGACGACAGCCTCGGGATTGGCCCGCCAGAGCTCCTCGAGCTTGTTGATCTGCTGCGCCGATACCTGCCTGGCCCGCAGCTGCTCCTGCTCGGACGGCATCTGGACTCACACAGAAAGTCGCGTGTGTCAGAAAGAGAGAGAGAGAGAGAGAGACGTTGAAACATGAAGTTTGGCTGAGGCACCTTGACGAGCCACGGAAGGAAGCAGCGATCGTCGATGAGAGGGAGCCATTGCGCAAGATCCCAGTTCATGTCCTTCAGGCCGGTGGCATTGGCACACGGGTCGCGGCAGAGGAGTACCACCACCGACTCGGTTTTGGCAGGGATGAACCCCAGGAGAAACACGTTCTTGCATCCACAGTTATAGCACTCGAGGATGGTGTCGCCCAGTGGACTATCGGCGTGCAAACACACCTCCTTGTGCTTCGCCCGAACCAGGTGGTTGATGATGTGCGAGCCGCTCGTGCTGCCGCGCCCATTGCAAAACCACTTGCGGCACGACGGCACGTTGCAGCGCACCACGCACGCCGGGTTGTGCACCCCGCAATAGCTGGAGAGAGAGCCAGAGTAAGGGACGGAGGCGCGAGGGGAGTGGAGGGGGGGGGAAGGAGTAGTTACTTGCATGCGTGCGGAGGCAGCTTTTTGTTGAAATCTTCGCCGGCCAGATCGTCATCTTCGAAGGCCTCCTCAAAATGCAGGTCCCTCAGTGCGTCTGCGGCCGTATCGACGTCGTGCGGGAGCATCATCCCATGCGCATGGTGGTGATGAAGGTGCTGCGAGGCGAGGTGCTGCGTGCCGTCGTTGTGCAGGGAGGAGGCCATGGAGGAAGAGGAGAAGGGGTACGTGGAGGAGACGGATGAAAGCTGCGACTGCGATCCATCATCGCCCAGGGCCGAGGCCTGGGAGGCTGTGGCCGAGGTATTTGTAAATTCGGGGTAATCGTATTCAGATCCTTGAGTCGGGATCTCGAGGAAGGAGAAGTCTTGGCTGCTCTCCTCTCCGTCCATGAGGGAATCGGCGGTCTGCGTGGCGCCCCCACCCGGGTGGTGGCCGCCAAATGCCGCCTGCATCGCGTAGTGTTCTGATTGTTGCTGAGCGTGAGAGTGGCTCATCTCCTCTTCTTTGCCCTCTCTTACTTCCGTCCAATCTCACTTCTTCTCGAATCACTTCTACTTCTTCTCAACGAATCACCTCCTCGCACAGCACGATCGCGGGTGGATTTGTCACAAAACAAAAAGAAGAGAAAAGGCGCCAAGAGAAAAAAGATAGAAAGGAAAAGGTTTGCTGATGGCACACGCTTTATCAAGCGTCGCTGCTCGAACCGACTTGCTTCGGCGCCACAAGGGCGTGAATAAACTCAGCCACCACGCGATCAGCCCAGGACAGCTTGTCTCCAATAGGCAGCCAGCCCTCGGGGAAGCCGACATGTCCTGCAGCAGCAACAATGGCCACCCACCGATCAGCAAATTGAGTGCGCAGCGACCAGCACACAGGTGCATACCGCCATAAGGGACAGTGGCAAGGATGGTGTTGGGATTCTTCTCGGCTTCCTCCCGAGGCCGATCCAGAGCAGCGGCCGGAACAATGGGATCGTCCATGGCGTGCAGGATCAGTGTAGGCACCGCCACGTCTGCGTACAAGCGACGAAAAAAGACACGGCGTGAGGAGAGGTCTTGAACTCTCGCCATTCGAAGGGAAGGGAGTACTCTGAATATAGTTCACCGAGGAGGCAGCATCATAGTATTCGTCCACCGTCTCATAGCCAAAGATCTGTGGTGACTCGCTCAAGCCATCAGCACCAACGTAATAATTTTACTGGCTTGTGTTTTGAATACCTTGATCGTGAATTGCCGATCGAACTCGCGCAGACGCCAGCACTGACAAACGCAAATGCAGTTAGCGCTGGCAATCCAGAGCTTGTCATTAAAGGGAGGTCTACCTGGTAGATTGCCTCGATTTCCAGTTCCTCGTGCTGGGCGAAGATGTGAGCGTGCCGCGAAAATGTTCCAATGCAGCCCTTGGTCAGCACTGCGTTGTACAAGGGCATCGTCTCCAGATGGAACGAAGAGGCCTGGCACAGAAAATGGTTCAGATATAGAGCTGCAGAGCAAGCAGGAGCATTCCTTGGCTAAATTTAGTGTTAGTCGAGTTGAGGCACCTTAAAATCAAGAGGATTCGAGACCGAGATGGCACCATTGAGAGGCACATTCTCTCCCTCTGTATACGCCGCAAGGGACAAACGGTTAGTGACCTTGCATTACAGCACCGATGTTTGTTTTCCCAGAATAGTAAGTACCTTCGCCCACGTATTTGAGCATGATGTTGGCCCCCAAGCTGTAGCCAAGGGCAATCAGTGGTGCCTCGTCCTGAAGAGCGAAAACAAGCATGGTGAGGTCCGAGAAAAGGCAAGCGGCTGAGGCGGTGTGGGTGAGACTCACTCCGATTACATCGCGCACATGGCGAATTGCCACCCGCGCGTCCTCTGTGTATGCTCCGCAATAGCCCTTCGGGGTCTGCAGCACGCACGCCCAATATGTAAGGAGAAGAGACATCACATGTGAACGCGGGCAAGAGCGACCGCGTTGGGGTGAACTGGAATGCGCACCAGCAGCTCAGAGCCACCAGCTCCCCGGTTGTTCATGACCACAACCCGGATTTTGTCACGGCCCAATTGGTCCTTGATGGCATTGATGACGTGACGAACGTATCTATCATCCATGTAAGGAGCGTCATCAGGATCGTATGTCCACACCAGCAGAGCAGACTACGTACACAGAGCTGCTGCCGCCGTTAAGACCGTGGAAGATGATCACGGTGGGCTTGTTTGGCGTCACATCCGTATCATCGCCATCATCGAGCACCCAATCGAGGCACAACTGGCCTCCGTCGTCCATGCTGAGCGTATCCCTGTGCAGGAAGCAGGAGCAGGAAGCGTACAGTTAGTGCTCGATCCAGCCCGCGGCAGAGTAGTGGAGCGCTCCTTTGTCGTCCACACACCTCACCCACACGACCTGCGCGCAAGCGAAGAGGGTTCGGTGGTATACCTTCGGTAGTGAATGGTGGGCATGCTTCGGAAGTAGGTCCCGGCCACTGTGGCTATGTGCGTGGTGTAGAAGAGGAAGCTGTGTGTGTGTGTGTGTGTGTGGCGTGTTGCCAGCAGAGTTGGCTCAAACAAACAAGAAGAGAGAACAAAAAGGCGGAACAACGCGTTCAGGAGGGTGAGCTGCACGCACCTCGGCCAGTATTTCTCCGTCAGAATGGAACACGCGCGAACAAGAGCTTCGTTCCTAGGCGTCCACACAATGTGTGTTGTGTGAGTCGCGGGGAGCTTGGCAGACTGGCAGAGATCGCGCGGCGCAGAAGAGACGTACTTGGCGTTATGCTGATAGGACAGGCGTGGCCTTTGTACGGCTCGTCGGAAGTAAACGAGGGTGTACCACAGTCCGTTTCCACCAGCAAGGACGGCCCCGCACAAGAGCAGCTTCCCAACAAGCGACTTGGGCAGCAAATCGGCCATTTTACCGGAGATGAGCTCCGATTTAAGAGTGGACAGCCAGGATTTTGCTGATTCCATGTAAGAAGGGGGATCTATACGCCTGGCCTGTGGTTTAGATCGATTCACTCAGCAGAAGGTTCGCAATCGATATACAATGCTGATTGAATCAAGAACGGGGGTGGTGCATTTCCCAGGAGAGTTTCCGTACCGGAGAGTTTTTTCTTTTTTTCTTTCTCGGAGCTAACACGACGCCCGTCAGCGCAACAAGACGGGCGCAACCCGCAACAATGTTTCAATCAACACAAGCTCCACGCCGGAAGCCTGACCGCTTGAACTACGTCACTTCTGTCTTGTCTTTCACTCCGCGACTAAATGCGATTGGCGTAATCTCTCAGCTTGGCCAACTACAGCATTTCTCTTTTCATCTTGCACCGCCTACCCACATACAAACGGCCACATCAACACTCACACCCGTAGAACGAGCGCCAAAGATGAAAGCGTGGAGTGTGTTATCTTTCCTGTCTGCTGCCCTCCTCTGCTGCGCCATGGTGCAGGGCTACGCCAACGTGACCGAGTTCTGTGAGGACAGCCAGTGGGACCCCGTCCAGCCTGCGTTCGCCAGCGCGAGTGAGTTCAACGGTGAGCGGCACCTCTTCCTGGAGTTCAGGGACTACTTCGTCGAGATAACGTCCAATGTGGACCTCGGCAACACGACCGTAGAGGCCAATGTGATCAGCCAGCTCAACGCCAAGCTCACCAAAAAGGGGTTCAACAATACCGTCTACAGCTTCACCATCATCCGCTCGAACGGTGACATCACGATGGACACCATTCTCGGCGTGAACCCGGTCATCGACAACCATGGTGGCCGTTACTCTCTGGGCAAGGTTAGTTAACCCACCCATCCTTCTATCTTGAAGCCCTGCGGCATCATCATGATGTTTGTGCATCCATAACGCTGTGGTGTATGGCCCCTTCTAGCCCATGCTCTGCCGTGACTTCCAAACCGTGGTCTTCGACTACACGTACGTGAACTCAATCTCTCTTTCGCGGCATGCTGAAGCAAGTGTTGCTGACATGTACGCTCGCTCCTGGTTCTGCAGGTACGTCACGCGCACCGGCCTGCAGTACCGATTCTGGTCGCAAGCCGTGCAGACCAGCGTGCAGAAGCAGTTCTTCTCCTTCCGGTTCAACATCCCCGTCCAATAGGCGCGTGGAAGCAAGAAGAGAAAAAAAGGAAACAAATAAAAAGGACAAAGATGTTGATTCTGGGAGTCACTGGTGGATTATCAGTTGAGCACACACACATGGAAGGGGACCATGCATCAATGACAAAGCGCTCACTTTGCGCCTGCAAAAAGAAGAGGAAGACCTGTGACTTGCACTGCAGTTGTTGTGCAAGTCACAGGTCTGATGCAGCAGTCAGATTGCTGTTGAGTGTTATCCTGCTTGATGATGAAGAGCATGTCCATGAACTACCCACCACCACAACATCCACAGAAGATGAATTGGCTGACCTCATTCTGCAGTAGGAGGTAATCCTCCATCTTTTAGTGATTTTGCCCACAAGCATAATATTCTTGTGTGTACAGGAGTGCCAGATGACATTGATGGGGCACAACTGTGGTCATGGTGGGGCAGTGGATGAAGCAATAACATTAGAAGGGGTGGACATGCACTCACTGTTTCTTCACTTCTATGGTTGCTGCTTTTGGGGCAAATTGGAGCTAAGTTGAGTAAGTGGATGACACTGGATGGGCTCAACACATTTGCTTCCTTATGGGTCTCTGTCTTAAATACAAAGCTAGGTACATCATTCAAGCTCAGCTCCATCATCAAGCTCAGTGCATCATTCAAGCTCAGCTCCATCATCAGGCTCAGTGCATCATTCAAGCTCAGCTCCATCATCAAGCTCAGTGCATCATTCAAGCTCAGCTCCATCATCAGGCTCAGTGCATCATTCAAGCTCAGCTCCATCATCAAGCTCAGTATGTCAATCAAGCTCAGCTCCATCATCAAGCTCAGTCACTTATGCATACTCCCTTCTACTATCAGGCTTGGTGTGTGCAATTCCATTGTCAAGCTTGGGAAGTTGTTCACACTCTCTTCCATCATCAAGCTCAATATGTTGTTCAAGCTTGGCTCCATTGGTATGTTGTTCACACTCTTTTCCATCATCAGGCTTAGTGTGTTCAAGCTCAGTTCCATCATGTACAGGACCAAGGCCACTAATATTGCCAACATAGCTGTCTACCATTCTTTCCATGACCAGGTACAGATGCAACAGCCCATGGTGCATGGACCTTCCTGCAGGCTACCAACATGCACCATGCCCAACCCTGGAACCCAACCAGCCCCTAGCACTGCACCTCAAGGCAGAGAAGAGAGGTCAATGATGACCTGGGGTACTTCTGCACTCAAAGTGTTGTGGAGGAACACATGAAGTTGAGCTGTGCTGCTGTCTGCCTGTGGTCAGGGCCATGTGGAGTCCTTATCTTCAGGCTTGCACCTCTTCACAGTGCTCCTCAGACTTTTTATTTGAGCCAGAGTCACTTCCACCACCTCAGAACACAACAGAGAGGGCAAGGTTCATCTTGCAATCTCCATTTGTTGGACTCTCCCAGCTTGTTTATGGGTTAGAGGCGCCTTGATGGTGTTGCTAAGGGCCGACATAGCAACAGGGTTCGCAGTTGGGGTATCCTTAAAAAGACTGCCTAACAACCAAACCTTTTTTTCGGAAACGAGAATTCGGAATGGGAGGCAGGAGTTCCTTGTTCGGTGATCAAAGAAGGGGAGAGACCTAGGAGAGGCGCCCAGCTGGTGGTGGTTTACCTGATACGCTACGACAAGAACAGCTTGGTTCCTTCTCCACAGCCGCAGCAACTCACAAGCGCTACGCCACACGATGAAGACTGCGCCACGGGACCTTGAGGAGCAGCTACACTGTAAGCAGCACAACAACCACGACTCGACGGACACCTCCCCGGTGGAGGAGGAGGGACCCTACACAACGACCACTACCCCAACAGAGACGAGGAAGGCTTCGCTGAGCCTGGACGAGCTCAGGAAGCCGCTGAAGACGATAGAGAAGCGGATGAAGAAGAAGGGCACCCAGAAGACGAGCGCCGCGATGGAGATGATGAGACGTGAGAGACGGCCATCCATCGACTGGGCCTTCTGGTGGTCCGCCGCTGCCCGGTCCGCTTGCATGCCACCGGCGGTCAAGAATGAAGGAGAAGAGGGCGCCTTCAACACTCCGGACCGAAGAGTTGAGCCCAGCGGCGCGGTGCAATGGACGGCGAAGCAGCTCGACCACATCATCAACAACTCTCCCTTCTTTGTTCCCGAGTACCCTGCCCAGCGCCTACGATGACTCCGCCCCCTCCCTCCCTAATCCCTGGAAGAGCAGCAGGAGAAGAGCCACACCAATTTTGACTTCATCTAAAGAGAAAACCATTGCCTACGCACATCCTCTGTTTCTTGTTCACTGCTTCCTTCTGTTCGTTCCTGGAAGGTGCAGGCGAGACTCGAACCCGAGCCCGTGGCCTAACAAGAACCAACCATGCCACAGGGACGGCGAAACTTCACCACGCAGCTGCCCGCAACCTCCCCATCTGTTCTCTAGCATGTGCCCCTAAAACGAAGCGGCCCCTGCTCGCGTCGGAGAGTGCTGCGGAAGTTGGGGTTGGGGTCTGGCGGACGACCAGCACGTGTGTGCGGGCGCATTGGCCGCCACAAAGTATGTAGCATACCTTTTCGTCCTTCATTACTCTTCCTTCAACGCGTCCTTGTGGCCTTGGGTCCCGTTCCAAGTCATAACTTCAGCCGCACACCCACCACCTCCCCCCAACTTCCTCCTACTTCCCTACCCTTCCATCGCTCCTCAAACTGTACGGCCCTTCCGCCAAAACAAGAAGAAGACTCTCTTTGAGTTGTCCCTCTTTTCAGCAGCATGCTCACTCGTGCACCCCTCCCCCCCCAACCTTCTTCTCGTTGGCGTGTGGGCCAATCACCAATCACCGCGTTTGGCTGGACCCATGCTTCTCGTTAGTTGTTGTTTACCCACTGACGCACCTCACCGCTCGCAAGGACCCAGCCCAACAGGCCTTGAGCTCAACCACCGCCCCAACTCGCGCCTCCTTGTACAGCAAAAGGTACCTACCTACCACAAATACTTCGCATTCCAGCACAAATACCAAAGCGAGGTTGAAGAAAAACTGCCGAAATCTAGCCAGAATCGCTTATCAATCACGACTGCACAGAGCAAGTGTGAGATAGCTCCAAATTTCGGCCACTAACTGGCGTCTGCAGGAACACAAGATATTCCTGAGTACACACACACATAGAGCCGAGCGCCAAGGGCTTTCACTCCTCCACCACTCCGCAATCCGAGAAAGACGCAACTTGTTCACCACCAACCAAGAAGCAACAAACTGAGCGTAACACAAGCGAGAGACAGCGATCGCCGCTGTTTGTTTGATGATCGCCTACCCCACGATGTGGTCGGCCACTGCAGTTTTTCGGCGACTCGGGGAGGCCTCCCTCGCACCGTTCCGGTGGTACCATCGCCGCCTCACCGAGGCCCCCCTCTTGGTCAAGTCCCTCACCTCCGGCACAGTGATCGCCTCGGCCGACCTACTCTCCCAGCGACTGCGCCGCCCGCCGCCCCTGTCCGAACATGAGACCCACCGCGCCAACAAGGCCGGCGAGGTCACCCACGAGCGCTGGTGGAATGCCAAGCAGACCATGTGGATGGCCCTCTACGGCTCCCTCTTCGTCGCCCCGTTCAGCCACTCCTGGTACCAGGTACGAACCACCACCCACCACCCACCCCGACGACCACCACATTGCAGCGCAAGCTCACAGTCTTTCTTGTGTCTTGGACGGCCGAGCAGTTTCTGGAGCGCAGGCTTCCGATGCCGGTGGCACCGTCGGTGACGGTCAAGCTTCGGCGGGTGTTGCAGAGAGTGGCGCTCGATCAGGTCGTCGTGTCTCCCGTCTTCGCCTCTGGCCTTTTTCTCTCTCGCGGACTCATCGCCGGTATGCACAGACGCTTATGATCGCACCACACGGCACACACAACACACACACACAACACACACACGGCACACACACGATCCTCACAACTCGAGATAATGTTGTAGGTGAGGACATGCAAACGATATGGACGAAGACAAAGGCCGACTTCACGCGCGTCCTCCTGGCCGGTGCGACCATCTGGCCGCCGGCGCAGATGGTCAACTTCTTCTTCGTGCCGCTGCCCTACCGCGTGCTCTTCATGAACATGGTGGGCTTCGGCTGGAGCACCTACACCTCGCTCGTCGCCTCTCAGGCCTTCTACCATCCCCACCTCGCCAAGTCCGAGGATCGTCGGCGCAGGTACTGCGTTACATTATATTACCATATTATTGTTTTATTGTATATTACATTATTGTAAATTAGTTGGATTATCATATTACGTTTATTATGTTGTATTTGATTTGTGATGCGAATGGTGGCTCAACCGGCTGATATGGACGGATCGGTCTCCCGTGACTGATCTAGAAACCACCACTATCCCCGCTAGCAGGCTCGCCCCGCCGCCGCCGCTGCAGCCGCCTCTCTTCTTCATGCCCAGGTACATGTGGATGCACTCCCACCCCTACACCGGACGCGTACCCGCTCGCCCGACCTACCCCACGATGAACAACTGAACGGCGCACAATCAACACTTGATGGCCCGACCGCGGCCGGCGAGCTTACCACATGTACACCATTTATGATTCTGAAACACACACACGCAACCACAGGCGTGTGAGCTACACTGTAAATAAACCATGTACATTTCTCTGTAGAGAGAGAGCAAGCTGCAACAATATACGAGTATGTTGCACATGTTGAGATCTCTGCGTGTCATTGGGGGGGTCAGGCTGGGAAGTAGAGGCAGTCGCGGAGGAATAGGAAGGTGTTGGCCGCGCCGACGACCTCAGAGGCCGAGAGCTCGATCCAGTCGGCGAGAAGGATGTCGGCGATGGCCCGCGCATACCGCGAGTTCTTCAGGGACGGTTCTACCAGCCGCTCGAAGCAGTCCATGGTGATGTCGACGTCATCGCGCAGGCCTTCCAGCATGTCGCGGTCACAGGTGGCCTCCCATCGAGCGTCACAGCTGATCGTCGCCGTTTCCTGTTGAGCGATGGTAACGTGTTAGCAGTCAACACAACACACGACACACACGACACACACGACACACACGACACACAGCCGTGTCGTTGTGGCGTACACGGACGAGGCTCTGCATCGGTTCAGGCCATCTGCTGCGTAGAACCGCCTCTACGAATTGCTGCGCGCGTGAGCCCAACAGCCGCTTCGCGAGCATCTCTGTGCATGCGCGGTCAGTTCGGAACTAAACCGCTTCGAGATAAACAGGAAACGGCGCCGCACCGGTGTAGAGCTTGACTGCGATGATCTGGTCCTTGCCGCGGTAGTGGCGCCACGTCAGCGTCTCGTAGTGCACCGTGAAGAGCTCGTGCATGGGCTTGTGCGCACTGAACTCGGACCACGACGCCAGAGACACTGACGCAGTGCGCGGGCACCGGTCACGTGAGCAGATATCCCAGTGGCTTGCACCCGTAAAAGGAAAACACAATATATTGTGGAGTACCCGATGGCGTGGTGGATTCTACGTGGTGGAACCAGTACGGCGGGACATGCAACACATCGCCCGGCTCCAGCAACACCTGACACATTACATTACCACACACACCACCGCATACGCATCACCGCACACAACGCGATGGTAAGAGACCAGCGAGCGACAGCAGGAGAGGTGGAGCCGACCTCGTATGCGCGGGCGCGCGGCGCGTTGGGGTAGGTCTCGAGTGGCACGGCGTCGAAGGACAGCTGGCTCTTGTGCCACGACGGGTGGATGCGCGGGTACAGGTACAGATTCTCCCACTCCCAGGGCGGGAACAGCACAAACTTCTTGCTGCCATTCAGGTGGACGAAGAAGTTGTGGTCCGAGTCAAAGTGAATGGCCGGACGCACGTCGGCCTGAACCCGCACTGGATGAGACTTGATTTGGGCTTTTGTGTGTGTGCGTGCGTGCGTGCGTGCGTGCGTGCGTGTGCGTGCGTGTGCGTGCGTGCGTGCGCGGTGTTGCGTGCGTAGGTGCGTGCGTGCGTGTGCGTGCGTGTGCGTGCGTGCGTGCGCGGTGTTGCGTGCGTAGGTGCGTGGGCGTGTGGCAGATTTGACGAGGCATGGTGTACCCCGCTGAGCCAGAGGAACAGGCCAAAGTGCGCGGCGTCGTCCCTGGTGCGCCATAAGGGATCGCTAGGCGACACGTCCGCCGCCAGCGAGCCCCTCACCCGGCCATAGTGGTAGTAGTACTTCCCTGCCCACACAAACAACGCTGTAGTGGAGCCGGGGGCATATCACGTAGAAGTGATCGATACACGCCATTGCGGGCGCACCATCAGGCGCGCCGTGGATCCGTCGGAAGAAGTCGGTGGCGTTCATGTGCACCGAGGAGTAGTTCTGCTCCGGCATGTTGGGCACTCCTTGCGTCCACATGTCCTGCCCCTTGTCCTGCACAAGTGGTTCATCATCGTCCACATCATCATCACGATCACCATCGTCCCTGTCACCATCAGCAAACGCCAAAGATCTAACATACGACGTAGAGGAATGTGTTGGAGTGGCCTACGTCCACCGTCATTTCCTTCAGCTCCTGTGTTGTCGTGTATCGACGTCAGTCAAGAGGGACCGGCATCGGGAGTGTGGGCCGAGAGGAAGGGAGGAAGGCGTACGGGCCGCGAGGCCAGGTACTCGGGCGAGCGCCAGAGGGAGAGGGCCGGCCAGCGCTCAATCATGGCCGTGCGCCGCAGCACCACCGGCACCGGCCCGCCGCCGCTGGCCTGGGCGATGACGTCATCATCGGTGGCACCACCGCGGTCGGAGGACCCGCTGACGAGGGCCCGGTGGTCTGCGATCGCCGCAAAGAAAGAACCGCCGCCCGTGCCCGACCAGCCGTCCACCACCGGCACGCCCAGGTCCCGCCGCACGTTCCGCGCAAGCGACCACGGCCGCTCCGGGCCTCCGCTGAGTGGTGTGTGCCACCAGTACCACGCGAGCACACCAAGCACTACGACGACCACCGCGACCAGCAGCGCCGAGGGAGGGGTGGTGCCGGGCTTGTATGGGGCATGTGTCGAAGGAGCAGCAGTTGGGGGTGCCTTCTTCTTCGTGCCGGCGACCTTCGACCCCTTCCGCTTCATTGGCGCCCACACACAATAAATAAAAAATTCTTGAATTAACGAACGATTTCTCTTTATTTCTTTTGTTCTTTTGTGCAGTTGTCGACGATCGGAAGACATCGGCAGTGCACACGCGAGTGGACGAGGAAGAAGATGCGAGAAGCGGGGGTGGTCGGGGCAGTGGTGCTGGCGATGCTGGTGCTGGCAGTCGTCGTGCTGGTTCATGTGGCAGACGCACAGACCCAACTCGGAGAGTACTTCGAGAAGAAGGAGGGCCGGTGCGCGCAAGACAATCCACACCCCAAGCCCTTCAAGGTGCCGGCCTCGCCCCATTTTTCTACTTTGTTAAATTGTAATTTAAATAAAACACACATATTATATAAATGGCTACCACAGCCGAAGAAGAAGCTGGCGTTCTGCCACGACTACCAGGAGCGGGGCTGCTGCGACCGAAAGCTGACCAAGAGCATCAAGGCCGCCGTGGACGCCCTGGTCGACCCGGCCTGCTCCAACTGCTACGCCGTCGTGGCCGACTACAAGTGCGCCGAATGCTCGCCCGACTCGGGTACCCACCTCGCACCACTGCTTTCCTTGCATTCCTGCCAAACTCTGATCAATCGGCCCCGCCCACGCTACAGCCATGTTCCACGAGGGCCTGAAGAGTCAGATTAGGTTCTGTTGGGTACGGCAACGCACTGCAATCCGATCATTCCGTTGTCGCTGTTGTGCTTCGCACTCACCGTGATGATCAACATCATCATCATCATCAACAACAACAACAACAACAACAACATCAGGACTACTGCTTGGCCATATTCAACACGTGCAAGGACATTCCCCTCTCGCTCGGTGCGTACGATAGAAAAATACCAGGCGCCGCACGCACCGCACGCACGCACGGTGCTGACCCCGGAGGATGGGTGGTGGGTGGGTGAGGTGCAGGGAACGATCCGTTCTATCTCAACGAGGGCCGGATGACGGCCGAGGAGTGGTGCGCGGACAAGGTGGACGAGGAGCCCTTCTGCTTTCGTGGGTTCATTCCGACGGAACGCGACAGCGCGTGCCTGTGTCCCTCGCACGACTGTCACCTCCCGTCGGCCTACCACGACGACTACGAGCTCTGATGAGCGCCTGTCGTGGTTGTTCTCGACTGTAGCATTTTATTTTTATTATGTTATTTTTATTTTATTTTTCGGTGAACAGTATGGGCCATTGGGTGGGCGTACTTTTATCTTCCCCACAAAGAAGCGCAAGAAGAAGGAGAACAAGGATGGGAGAGAGGGAGGTGCCGACGGAGTTGGTGCGCCACATCCTCTCTTTCCTCAATGACGATCCAGCCGTCTGGGTGCGCACCACGTCGGGCGTGTGTCAGGTGTGGCGCGCCGTGAGCCACGACCTCCTGCGCCACCACGCCGCCCGCACCTTGTCACTCCTCCCCCCAACGCTGCCCCACCCCTCCTGTGCGCCTCCCCTTATTTGCCCAACATTCCGCTGCATTCCATTGATGACCCATGGTTGGGGGGCAATCATCAGACACAGCGAGAGAGAAGCCAGCCGGAGAGGAGCCCACCGGCGAGGTCCTGTACGCGTGGAGGCACACGTTCTCGGAGAACGAGGCGGAGGAGGATGAGTGGTTCGAGTACTACACGCAGCTGGTGGCGATCAGCCGCGCGGATGCGGCCATCAACCAGCCGCGCACCCGGCACACCAAGTACTACTCGGGCTGCCCCAAACGGGAGAAACTTGCATCGGGCCAGGTGTGGACCCGCCAGCCCTGGGCCAATGTCTTCGAGCGCTTCACCGCCCATGGCTGCTCGTCGCTGGTGTGTGTGTGTGTCGTGTGTGTCATGTGTCGTATGTGTGTGCACGTGTGTCATGCGTTGTGAGCGCCGTTTGCGTCGTGTATAGCGGCCGACTGACCAACCCATGCAGAGCTCGGGACCGCTGGCATCAATGATCCGGCTGCTGCTGTTGGCTTCGGAGAGCCCCGTGGCCCTCACCGACGCGCGGCGCGGCGGCCACCCCTTCGTGACGACCGACTACGTGGACCTCAAACTGTTCGTCACCATCCGGGCCTCGGCCCAGGCCTGGCTTCCATGGTCGCCTCCCGCCCAGCCTTTTTCGTCTCGCACCCTGTGCCTGCACCTCAGGGACGAAATGCACCTGTGACCATGATCACAGTACACCGTGTGCGCATCATCATATTCACATTTATATTGCATGGCCTTACATTCGCCACATGTGGCTTGTTGGGTGCGCGGCAGTTGAGCCTGGTGGCGGTGGTGGGATGGGATTCACGAATGAAGCAGACGAGGAGAAGGTGGAGGAGGAGGCGGCGGGCACCTGGCTCGGTGCCGCGGCAGGAGAGGTGATGAAGATGTTGGTGTAGTTGTAGATGTTGATGAACGACGGCCTGTCGGGCAGCGGCGTAATCGGCGAGGGCGTCAACGAGTACTCCGGCGTCGTCCGTGGGTACGACTGGCCGTACGAGCGGAACGCCTCCAAGGCTGGGCGGGCCGACGCCGTCTGGGTCGTGTGGTGAGCTTCCTGTGGTTGAGGCTGCGGGTGGCCCGCGAAGGGCTTGCGCGCAGAAGGAGTCGGGGCTGCAGCCTCACCGCTCGCCAGGGGGAAGCCACCCGACGGCGGAGGCAAGGGCAGGGCCTCGTCGTCGAGGAGCGATATCGCAGGGAGACCCGATGACGTCGCCGACGCTGTCGAGCGGTGGAGCGCAGGAGGATACGATGGTGATTGTGGGGCGAGCTGTGTGGTGGCGACGGGCATAGGCCCGAGAGTGGGGGGATCGTTGTGTAGGTACTGCCACACCCGCTCGGCTGTCTGGTAGCCCGTGGTCTCGGGCGGTGGAGGCAGGGCGTGGCCCCGGAGGCCAATGACCTCCGCCCCCCATGATGGCATCTCGGTCTGCGGCTCGTGGTGAGGAAGCTGGCCTGTGGTGGCGACGGCCGGTTCGCATTCAGAGAGTCGAGGCGGCGAGAGGGGTGACGGGGGCGGCTGCTGCGCAGCTTCTACCAGCTTTCCTGGTTCGCCCGCATCACCGTACTTGCGCTTAAGGCCCGGCATCAGCGTGTGGTGGAGGAAGTCCCAGTCTTGCATGCACTGGCCTCGCACTTCCGCCTCCTCCGCGCTGCATCCCATTTGCAGCACCTGGTGATTGATTGAGAAAGACAATATCGCCGAACCATCAGCACACGACACACGACACCACACGACATACGACACACGACCCACGGACACGACACACACCACACAGCACACACTACAGGTGCGCACCTCCAACAGGTATGCCAGCATGGGCAGGAAATAGGGTTGCATGCACTGGAATATGGATGACTGCTCTCGCATCAATGCAGAGACGGTGCGAGCCCTTTGACCAACACACCGGCAACGGTTAGCAATCAAGGAGAGGCGGAGACAACCAAGAGGCGACAAAAGCCTCTTGACAAGGGAGGAGCGTACGAGTCGAAGGCCAGCTGATGCATGCCCAACAGCAGGTGGCATTTGGCCTTGAGCGAGAGCAGCGCACCGAAATGCTGGTGGATCGATTGGTTGGTCGGGGCCTCGCCAACACGGGTGGGACGCGGCGGATGAACATTGGCGGTGATGGATGATTACCTGATGGTGGTAGCGCCGTGGAAGGAGCAACGAGGCTTGGCGAACGATGGCCTCCTCGGGTTCGTTCAAAGCGGCGTCCGCTTGCGGGCATGCCTCCATCTCCGCTTGCGCACGCTCCAGCACTTTGATCAGCCGCAGGAGATTCTCCCGCGCCACCTGCTCGACGCTCGGGGGCTCTGCGCAGCGCGAATCGGAGTCAACGACTGATAGCGAGGCGAGGGCGCCCTCAAGTTAACTCCTCCCGCCGCGGCCTGGCGTACCTGAGTCGTACATTCCTGGCGATGCTTTTTCTTTCTTCGGTCGAAGCAGGGCGTCCTCTCCTGTGCCAGGAGTCGTTCCGGTCGATGGGGCGCAGGCCGTCATATACAAATCTATGCCAGCGTTGACGCTCAGGAATATTCGCGCCAGGCTGCTCATGGCATAGACTTGAAGCTTAGCTGTAATGTCGAACAGAAGAAGAAGGAGAGTAGACGCACCTGTCCACGGTGGCAAGATGGCTGTAGTTGAAAGGTGTGGTTGGTGAAGAAGAGCTTTCGGGAATGGGAACGGTGTAGGCGAGCGAAGACGTGTTGAAGTAGTCCTCTAGGAGCTTCGCACGGCGCTTGATATCTCTGCGCTCACCTCTGCCCCCCCCCCAACCCGTTGTTAGTTGCGGGCGCCCAGAGTGTCGCACACGCCATTGGGGATGAGGAGGAGTGGGCGTACCCAGCAAGAGCGATGGTTGTGCGCAGATAAATGGGAGACCGGGTTTGATTGAGGGCAACGAGCATGCGATGGGCGAGGGTGAGATAGTAGATCATGGTAGACACGTTCTCAGCACCGGTGCAAAAGTAGGCCAGAGCGAGCAGACCCTCGGCGACCTGCATCGTCGAGTTGAGTTCGTGCGTAGGTCAGTATGGCCAACGCCCAGCGTCGAGATGTGCCGAATTCGCGCCAGCTGGCACCACTGAGTGCTACGAACGCTGTAGTCGGTCACGTCGAAGAAGGTGGAGCCGATCGCACGCGCTCGCATGAAGAACTCCTTGGCCGGACCCATATGGCCCACTGTGCGCGCACCTGGAAAAATCACCATCACCACCAGTGATTGTTAGCTGCCCAGATCTGACAATGGCACAGAATGAGAGGCACGCCATGGTACCGATGGCCATGACCATGTTGACGGCCAACGCGAACGGGCTCATGTCCTCGGCGCCCTCTTTTGTCTCAAACATGTAGGTCACGCTGAGCTCCTCCAACGCCGCCGGATCCAGGGGAAGCTGTCGGGATGGCACAGTAAGGTCAGCTCTTGAGACCAATGTCGTACACACACGACGCCGACGTGTCATACCAATAGCCACACGTTCTTTTGAAAGGCGCCGCGGTACCGCTCTCGGAGCGCTCTGAGCTGAAGTCCTCGATCCCTACGCGGTGCCCCTTAAGCAACCAAAGAGGCAGACGGTGTCAGCCTCCACAGCACATGACTGTGACAGATTGCAGGGCACTCATCGGCACGTACCCAGGGATGAGGTCGTCCGGCAGACTGGCTTGGCTTCGCTCTCCGGTGCCGCAAGCTCGCGCTGCATGATGAGGTCCAGCTCGGTTTCCAGATCGAGTTCGGCCTCCAGGGAGTCCCACACCTCCTCATCGCGGAGGTGATTGTCGCTGTGCTCCGGAACCAACTGTTGGAGGTCTGCCTTGTTGCATGGCTGCGCTAACCGCCAAAAATCACCATTGCACCCATACCGTGGTCGTACCGGTTTTCTTGGGGGAGGTCTGTGGGGGGAGGCTGCGGCGGCTGAAGCTTCAAGTCGGTGGTAGCGCGCCTCCCACTCCTGCCGCACGAGCCGATAGCGGGCCACCTCGGCCTGCAGCGTGTCGGCGACGGTCTGGAGTCGCTTTTTCTTGTCTTTTTTGGTCTCCTTCTTCATTGGTGTGGGTGCTGCCGTCGACACGTCGCCTGCTGCTGTTGTCGGCGAGTCGTCCGCTCGCGCCTTCTTCGGCTGCCGCTCCCCTTGCCGCGTCGACCCTTAGGTGTGCACTCAGACGGGTGAGAAATTGCACTGCGTGCTTGTTCATCATGCCATGGCATACGGGACACGTACCTGGAGAACTGGTGGCTGGTGTGCTCATGTTGAGCCGAACGAAGCACGGAACGAAAAGCAGCTGGCCAGGTGCGGAGGCGCACAAAGAAGATAGAGAAACTTTGGTAGAATTGCATTTTCCTTCAGCAAACCCAAATCGAAAAGATCATCGCGATCGCGAAGGATGGCGAATCTGTACAGGGAGCAGGCTCAGCAATCGACGTACAAGGATGTGCGGTTCGAGGGCTCGCAGGAGGACTGGGACGCACTGCTCAACAAATCGACGACCTTCTACGTCGGCAATCTGTCATTTTACACAACTGAGGAGCAAATCTATGCCCTCTTCTCAAAATGTGGAGAAATCAAGCGTATCATAATGGGCCTAGATCGCGTGTCGAAGACGCCTTGCGGTTTCTGCTTCGTAGAGTACGCCCCCCTCCCAATGCACGCTGAACGTGTTTTCCGATCGTGCTCAATCGTTTGCGCCACGCCGCGCTCGCTGCCGCTACTTGTTGTCACTCGTAGGTATTATGCGCGAGAGGACGCTGAGGCGTGTTACAAGTGGGTGAACGGCACTCGGCTCGACGACCGCACTATCCGCGTGGACTGGGACATTGGCTTCAAGGAGCTGCGCCAGTACGGTCGCGGCAAGTCTGGCGGACAGGTGCGCCCCATTGCTTCAGCAATGGCCGCTTGGGGAATGCGTGATGGCACTGCACACTTCGGAGCGCGACCACTGATGGTGAACTTGGGCGTTTGTGTCGCACCCACCGGTCACTGGTACAGGTCCGTGACGAATATCGAACGGATTACGATCCGGGCAGAGGCGGCTATGGCAAGCAAACCCAGAGAGAGGTACCAAGGACCAGTCTCTTTCAGTCCTCAGCTCTGCGCTTGATCTCACATCTCGCATCTTCGTTGTTTTTCGTGTGTGCCGCCCCGAACAGGAAACGCGACAGTTGCAAACGCCTTTCCTCCACGCGACGACGGCCTACGATCCCAACTCATTGCCCGCGCAGTCTGAATCGGGTGCTTCTCCCTACAAACCCAGAGACGACAAAGGTACGTGATGAAGGAATGTTTTGATGATTGTGTGGCTTCCAGCGGCTCAGTGTGCTTGGCCTGGCTTCCCAGATCGTGAGCCAGACCGAGGGACAAAGCGGCGAAGGTATGAGGAAGAGGAAGAACCCAAGGGCCAGCCGCTCGTCAAGAGGGTGCGGGATGAAGAGGCGCCAGCGCCTCTTCCATCAGCGCCGTCATCGACAACAGAGTCGTTGGTACGCCTTAGAGGCCTCTCACAGTGAGAAAGCCGTGGTCACTTCCCTAACCGGTTCGTCTCCCGCAGGAGGAGAGGGAGGAGAAGAACCCCCGCTTCAGGGAAGAGGACAAATCCGATGATGACGATGAAGAAGAGAGGGAGAAGGAAAGGGACTAGTCACACTAGTGTGCCCCCCCCCCCAAGCACCCATCACCTTGAACTCGTGCCACCAGCCCGCAGTTGCACCTCCCTCTCCTTTCTGCCCAACAAACACCCGCATTCCAAGCACATTCCATCATTTCAAACCGTTTAATGAGAAGTATGCGAGGAATGAAGCTCGTCGACAATAAAAGTTTACTAAAACGAAGAGGAGGGACAACCACAACAACAAGTCCCACGAGGTTCAGGTCGCACGGTTCCACTTCTTCTCGCCCGCGCATCTTCGCGCCATAGCATAATACCTGGGTGACCAGAGCTCACCCTGAAACCGCCAAGCTGGGTTCCCCGTAGTGGAGGCCAACACAGCGCTACAAGACGCGAAGTTTGCAAGCTTTCCGATTACAGCCGTAGTCAAATTATAAGGTGCCGCCCCTCGAGTTCATCGCTCTCCTTTTTTATTTACAGCCCATCTGCTGAACCTCCCTGAAAGGGGCTGACACAAATCTCTGCATTGACCAGATTGGAGGGCGCCCTATTATAAGATGGCAACAGCAGGAGGAGTGGCCGCGCAGCCGGATTCGCCGAGCGTGAAGAACCTGGTGCGGTCGATTAGCGAACCGGTCATCGTGACCAGCCCGCGCGGCGTCGCTCGCCTCCCCACGGACCTCATAGTTGACGAACAGCCGCCCCCGCCCGGGGCCACCGAACCCACGGTGCGCCACACCACAACTGCATTCATGCACCTACAATGCGCATTGTGCTCACCCCCCCCCCCCGATGGCTCGAGTGCAGAGCGGCGAGAGCGCGCCTTCGGTGCAGAGCCCCAGCAGGGGCACTAAGCTGCGGGTGCGCGACCTGAAGGAGCAGATGGAGAAGAATCGCGACGCGTCGCACCGGGTCATCCGGCGAAACGAGAGCATCACACGCCTCAAGGAGGGCGGCATCATGAAGGCCCTCCGCGAGCGTTGGAAGGAGCTCGAGGAGAACTCGGCCAGCGGGAACAGCACCGCGACCAAGAAGAACAACACCATCGAAGGGAGCCCAGCCGCCTCGGATTCAGCCAAGGCCGAGGCCCCGGGCAGCGAGAAGGCAGCGGAGGGCAAGGGAGAAGCGCCCGGCAGCAGCGGAGGCGAGAAGAAGGAGATGGAGGAGATGAAGAAGGAGCATGAGAACGAGTCAGTGGCGGGGGAGAGGAAGCGACATGTGGAGCAGGAGCTGGAGGGCAAGGAGCGGAAGACGACGGACGCCGACCGCAAGGCGGAGAGGCAGCGCGAGGAGAAGCTCAAGAACCTCAAGACCATGGGCACGGAGACCAAGCGCAAGAGCGGCAGCGCCATCCGCACGAGCCCGACGGCCAAGGAAAAGGCCGCCAAGGCCGAGCTGAAGGAGAAGCGGAAGCTCGAGCGGGAGAAGGAGCGGCAGGCGGAGCGGGAGCGCGGGCTGGCGCAGGTGCGGCAGCTGGAGGAGACCGTGCGGCAGCTCGAGGCCAAGGTGCAGGAGCTCGACGCGCGCAGGGGCGAGCTCGAGGCCGAGAATACCAAGTCGCTCGAGGAGCGGCAGCAGTTGGAGGCGCGGCTCGGCGCGCTCGACGAGGAGCGGCGGCTGCTGGCGCGCACGCTCGAGGAGGTCGAGGCGCGGGAGAAGCAGGGCAAGGAAAAGGTCAAGGGCGACAAGGCCCGGGCCAAGGAGGAGCGAAAGAAGAAGGTGCAAGACGAGGAGCAGCGGTGGAGGGAGGAGCAGGCCAAGCTTACCGAGCGGCAGCTCGAGGAGGCCAAGCGGACGTGGGAGCAAGAGAGCGAGCGCAGGCGCGAGGAGGAGCGCAAGACGCTCGAGGCGCGGCTCGAAGGCGAGCTGCGGCAGAAGCTGGCCGAGGAGCGGCAGGCGTGGATGCAGGAGGTCGAGGCGCAGAAGCGGGAGCTGGCCACCCAGCGCGAGGCCATGGAGGCTGAGCGCCAGAGGGTCGACAGCGAGCGCGCCGCCTTGGAGGAGGCGAAGAAGGGTGGTGGCGAGGGCGGCGGCGCGGCGAGCACCAACGAAGAGGTGCAGACCAAGCTGGAGGAGCTCGAGGAGGAGAAGGAGAAGGTGGAGGAGCTGCGGCAGGAGCTGGAGGAAAAGCGGAAGCTGATGAAGCAGAAGAAGAAGGAGCTGCTCAAGGCCGAGGACCAGCTCGACGTGGAGCGTGATCGTCTCGACGCCGAGCGCGACCGCCTCGAGGACGAGCGAATCGAGCTCGAGGAGGAGAAGGAGGAGCTCGCCAAGGAGCGCACCGAGTTCGAGGAGGAGAAGGAGGAGTTCGAGAAGGAGCGCGCCGAGAGCGAAGACGGAGGCGAGAAGAAGAAGAAAAAGAAGAAGAAGAACAAGGACAAGAAGAAGTCGAAGGGTCTCAAGCTGTTCAAGATCCGCAAGGGCGCCAAGGTCGAGGGCACTGAGAAGCTGGAAGACGACGACGACGATGACAGCGGCAGCGGCAGCAACGACGACGGCGGCGAGTCGAAGAGCGGCGAGATCGAAGAGTGGGAGGAGGCCGTCAAGGAGGGCAACCCCGATGACGATGACGACGAGCCCGGCCTCGATGTCGAACTGGAGTCGGAAGAGGCCGCCAATGAGGAGGAGGAGGAAGAAGACGGCCTCGAGCTCGAACTGGAAGATGAGGAAGAGGAGAACCAGGAGGAGAAGGACAAGCCCGAGAGGAACAAGGCCAACAAGAAGAGGCTCAGCACCATCATCCTCAAGCAGAAGGAGCAGAGAGCGCTCAAGAGGAACGCCAGCGACGACGCGCTGCCCAGGTCCCGGGGCGGCAGCGGCCAGATCGGGGCAGCCACGAGCGGCGCCGGCACGTCTGACCATGACGGCGGCGCTGGCGACACGGGCGAGGGCGGCATCGCGTGGATGGAGAGGCTGCTGCGGAAGGACCAGAGCGAGCGGCTGCGGCGGATGAAGGAGCGGCTGCTGGCCGAGAAGAGCAAGTACTCGACCATCCACTGATCAGTGGCGGCGAACAGTCTCGTCTGAGAGCACCGCCCAGTGCGCCAAAGCCGATAACTGTTATGTTATAATAATAATAAAGGAGTATTTACCGCCTAATTATTTATATTATGACAATTAGCATTTTTCAGTTATTAACGAATATTAATTAATCGTCGAGCAATTTGGAGCGCTTGTTGTCGTCTTGCGCTGTCGGCGGAAGGCGCAAAGTCTGGGCGCTCTAGGTGCTGCGCAACCGAACAACCAACAAAACAGTACTTTTATTCTTCCTGGCCCTTCTCTCTTCTCGACTTGCGTTCCAGATCTTCTTCCTTTTTCTCGCCATCTCTGAGTTCATAGAATAAGGAAGGGAGAGCCCCGACCCCTCATCACTCTCGGTTTGCCGCAGGCACGAGCCTTGGAAGCGAACGAGGTGCTTCTTACCCCCCCCCTTCGTCTTCGTGCCCCCCCCCGCATCTGCACAAAATAGATTGTTAAATAAGGATTTCAAGATGGGCACAAAATACTAGAGGAGTTCCATTTGGCAAACGTATATCGTGTGTGAGCATTCTTCTCCCCTCCAGCAGCGAATTAATTTGACGTTGGACAAAAAAATCCTCTCTACATCATCTCAGGCTCAAGATAGATTTATACATCTGCACGACATGACCGCGCGGGTGCCGCCACCCGTTTCGCCTGCGCTGCAGCCGCGCCTACGCAACGAAGGGGGCCTCCCGAGCGGCCGCCCCCAGATCCCCTCGACCTACCGCAACACCGTGGGCGACCCGCGCTCCCTGCAGCCCGCCCCCGCCCCCTCCACCGCCACCGCCACCGCCACCGCCACCGCATCCCAGCCACAACCGCCACCACGACCGACTCCAGGCGGCGGTGGCGGCGGCCTCGGCTCGGCCAACTCCTCTTCGTCGCTCCTCGCGTCTCGCCCCTTGCCCACCGTCGGCAGCGGCAACTCGCCCAAGGGGCCGCGGGCCGCGAGCCCGCCGGCGACGTCGCCCCAGCAGCGGACCAATGGAGCAGGTGGAGGTGGTACGGGCGGCGGCGGCGGCGGCTACGGCCAGCCGGCCTACTCGCCGGCACGCATCCGGCGGTCGTCGTCGTGGAAGGACATCAAGGAGGTGGCCATGATGGCGGCCGAGCAGTCCGCTGCGGCCCACGGCGGCACCGGCGGCGCGTCGTCGGGTCCGCACGGATCGTGGCGCGGCGGCAGCGCCGGGGCGACGGCTGCGGCCCAGGCCGGCGCCACCCTGCGACGGACCAGCTTCTCCAATGCGCCGGGCATGGCCGCCACCTCCACCACGACTCCTTCGACGACCTCGTCCACCACCACCGGCTCAGTCCCTCCCCTGAACGCCGTACGTGTGTCGTGTCGTCACGAGAGCTGTCTTTATGGCTTTGTACTCACTCGCGGGTGGACGGTGCGACGCAGATGCGTGCGAAGCCGCCGCGCCCGGCCCGCACTGCTCCCAACTCGCCGAGCTCATTTGACGGCACCCTTCCCCCGCGTGATGCCCCGCTCACTGTCTCCGCGCCCGGCCTCCGTACCCCCCCCCATCTCTCTCTTTGCCTCACGATCGTGATCACCCTCACACGAAGCCACGTTGCGTCACAGAGAACCGGAAACCGCCACCACAGCCGCCCATTCGTGCGGCGCGACTGGCGCTCGATGCGACAATTCCGCAGGGAGGACCTACTACGGGGGGGTCCCATCGTCTCCTTCAGCCCCTCCAACTACGGCACACCACCGGCGGCGGCGCAGCAGTCCACCCAATCTTCCTCCTTTTCGCCCAGCAACGCCGGCGGCGGCAGCGGCAGCAGCTCTCCCGGCACCACGGCCCGGCGGCGCAGCGCCGACTTCTCGTCGCTCAAGAATCAGATCGCGCTCTCCCTGGAGGAGAGGGACACCAACAACGCCTCGCGGGAGAGCAAGGAGAAGGAGGCGCGCGCCGAACTCCTGCGCGAGGTGAGGGAGCACGGCGGGGCGGCCACCGGCGGTGGCGGCGGGGGTGCGATCAACAACAACTACCGGGCGACGGCCAAGCTGCAAGACTTTGGTAAGAACCTGCTGGGGCGCGCCAAGAAGCTCAAGGGCTCGCGCGTGGGCGGCAAGGACGTGGTGGGCGCCGGCGGCGACGATGACGACGAGTTCGAGGACGCCAAGAGCAACGCCGGCACCCCGATGGGCAGCCAGGAGAACATGCGCAGCATCTTCGGCCCGGCCGACGTCGCCGCGGCGACCGCCGGCGGTGCCACCAAGCTCGAGCCGTCTCCGCGGCCCATCAGCGTTTTCCCCGGGCGAGGTACTCTCTCCGCACACTTTAATCTTGCTGGCGTCATCATGGGCACTGACCTCTCGTCGCTACACACACACACACACACACACACGACACACGACGCACACAGGGGACCAATCCGTGTTGACGGCCTCGGGGGGCGCCTCGCGTCCGATTTCCTACTTCCCTCGCGGCGGCGTCGGTGCTGGGTCGGCCGTGGTGCCACCCGTCGCGAACACCTCCGCCGTGGGTGGAGCGACACTGGGCGCGGGGATGGGCAGCATCGGCTCGGGCTCGGTGAGCACCATTCCCTCGCCCAACTCCTCGCCCTCCTCCTTCACCACTGCCTCCTCCAACCCCAACGAAACGCCTCACGGTACGCTCTCGATGGCCTCTAATAACAATAACAATAGCAATAACAACCTAAGTAATAAATAACAATGATTTCCATTTTCAGAGCGGCGATCGAAAATCGCCAACGAGCTGCTGGAGACGGAGCGATCCTACATCAGCGCCCTCTGCACGCTCGTCGATGTACGCCCAGTTCTCGCTCGCTAGCAACGGTGGAGACAAATACTTATTGTTCTTTTTCTTGCTGTTATCGTGATGGTGCAGGTGTACCAGGCGCCGCTGCTGGCGTTTGCCAAGGAAACCATCTCGGAGATGGCGGACATCGCGATGCAGGTCACCCAGATCTTCCCCGCCGTGCTTCAGCTCATCCCATTCAACAGAGAGGTATGCGCGGTGCATGCCGGCCACTGTGTGTGACTAACGTTGCCCCACATGCAACGCCTTGACTGACGGCGTGCCGTGTGCGTGCGGTGCGGCTGCGGTGTCGCACAGCTTTTGAAGCGTTTAGAGACTGTAATGAGTGAGTGGCACGAGAACTCGACCATTGGACAAATATTTGTAGAAATGGTGCGTTGCATACCGACCTGCATGCTTCGTCGTTCATTCCGACTCACTTCTCTCCTCTCTTTTCTCTTCTGATTTCTCTTTTGTAGGCTCCCTTTTTGAAGATGTACAAAGATTATGAGAACAGCTACAGCCAAACGCTGGACAACTACACCGAGATGCTCAAGGACCCCGCCTTTCGCGTGCTTGTTGACGTACGTACTCCCTGCCCGGGTGCTGTGTGTGTCGTGTGTGTCGTGTGTGTCGTGTGTCGTGTGTGTGTGTGTGTGTGTCGTGTGGCCTGTGTGCGCGCGCCTGAGGCAAGCAAAGAGGTTTGTCTAATCCCTCCGATGTGCCTGGCCGAGCAGCAATTGGACTCCGATCCGCGGGTACAGTCGTCCCGATTGGAGTCGATCATCATCATGCCCATCCAGCGCATCCCTCGCTACAAGCTGCTTCTCGAAGACCTCCTCAAGCGCACTCCCGACGCCCATCCGGATTGCAATCTCCTCAAGGTATACCATCGCACATGACGCACACGCACACGCACACGCACACGCACACGCACACGCACACGCACACGCACACACGACACACGCAAACGCGCGCACGACACGCACGCCTCAGACTACGTTAACTAACCTTTTGATTGTCAAACAAATACAGGAATCGCTGAAGAAGGTGGACGAAGTCGCCGTGTTCCTCGACTCGAACCTCAAGGAGCACGAGCAGCGCCAGAAGGTGGTGGAGCTCACCGTCAATTTTAACGCCAGCGTACGCCCAACTCGACTCCCGTCTTCCTTAAATTCTGTGTGTCGTGTGTCGTGTGTGAGTGTTTGTATGTTGGGCTATCTGTCTCTGGCCGCCCTCACACGCGCGTGTTTCCTCCCAACCACTACAGACGCTGCTGCAGCCCCACCGGAAGTGGCTGCGTGAGGGCGAGGTGGGTCTGCGAGACCCCAACCTGGGCAACCGCGTGAAGAAGCTCCACATCCTCCTCTTCAACGACATCCTCGTGCCCACCGTGCTCTCCAAACTCGGCGTCGGTACGTTGCCTCGTCTGGTGGGTGGCGGCGGCGGCGGCGGCGGCGGTCTCACATTGTCCGCTCTCGACGACCTTTTTTCCACCAGGTGGCGACAATAGGCGAGACGTGCTCAACCGGCCGGAGAACCAGTGGCCGCTCGAGCTCATGTGGCTCAGCGAGCCCGACCTCTCCATCGGCACAGGTTCGTTCTCAACACACCGCACACCGCACACCGCACACCGCACACCGCACACCGCACACCGCACACCGCACACCGCACACCGCACACCGCACACCGCACACACTCACCCGATCCACCAACCTGCAGAGAAAGACAACAAGGGCAAGAACCTGCAGCTGGAGCTTGCGGGACCCGGCACCAACTACTCGCTCATCTTCAAGACGCCCGAGGAGAGGGAGTCCTGGAAGAAGGACATCCTCGACGCTCAGGAAAAGCACACCAAGGTAAGCTCCCCGCGCACCCACCACACCTCGGTCACAGTGCTGAGTGAGTGCTCTGCTGACACACGACACACACGACACACACACACACACACACAATACAGGGCGGACCGAACGCGGCGCTGGGGGACAAGAGGATCGGGCAGTACGTGTTCAAGAACTCGACCTTCTACCGGGGCGAGTGGCTGCGAGGGCAGGTCCACGGCAAGGGCGAGATGGTGCAGCACGGCAACACCTACACGGGGAATTTTGCGAACGACCTCAAGGTACCGCCTCGATAGAACATAGACGATTAGTTTCCGTGGGCTGTGGCTGACGAAACGAGCGGTGGTGTGTTGTGTGTGCGGTGTGCGGTGTGCGGTGTGCGTGTCGCGCGTGTGCAGTGCGGTCTCGGTCGGATGGTGTTCGCGACCAAGGAGGTGTTCGATGGTGATTGGGCCAACGATCTGCCCCGTACGTCGGCGCTTTCTCGTTTGAGCGCCGCCCAATCAGATGTGCCACTGCTCACCTCCGCTCCTCCCCGCACCGCAGACGGACAGGGCACCATGGAGTATCCCTCCGGTGACCGATACGAGGGCGGCTGGAAGGCCGGCCAGCGGTCGGGACACGTACGTCGTCATCCCCCCCCCTTCGCGCACAGAGCCCGTGGTAGTGGTTGGCCTGGCCTGGCCTGGCGCCAACCGAAGCTTCGGTCTTTCTCGTGCGTGACTAGGGCATCCTTCGGTACGCCAACAAGGACATCTACGACGGCAACTGGGACGAAAACTACGTACGCACGCCTTCTTTCAGTCCTTTGTACATTGTTTGGTTGTTTGTTGATCGCACACGCTCATGACACGACACACGACACACACATAGCCGTCCGTGCGAGGCACGCTCACGTGCGCGAATGGGCTCTACTACGACGGGGAGTGGTTGCACGGCGAATTCCACGGGCAGGGCGTGCTCACGACGGCCACGGGCAAGGTCTACGAGGGCGGCTGGGCCTACGGCCAGCGCTGCGGGCGGGGCCTGCTGCGGTACTACCACAACGGCGACGAGTCGCTCCTCATCGAGGAGTACGACGGTGAGTGGCTGGAGGACATGAAGCACGGCGCGGGCACCCACAAGACTATCGAGGGCGTCTACACGGGGCAGTTCGTGTACAACTGCCGCGAGGGCGAGGGGTCCATGCGCTACTCCGACGGTTCCACCTACGATGGCGGCTGGAAGAAGGACAAGGTGGCCCTTCACTCACCCCCTCCCCCCACAATTCGCTACGACCATCGACTCACAGTCCCCCTCTCAACTTTTGCGCAGCGGCATGGCGTGGGCACATTCCTGGCCGGTTCGTCGCCGTCTCGCATCAAGAAGTACACCGGCGAGGTACCCGCTCATCATCAACACCGCGCGCGCGCGCACACACACACACTAACCCGGTGGAATCAAATATTTCACCTTCTTGCAGTGGGCCTCCGACAAGAAGAATGGCAAGGGCGAGATATGGTTCACCAACGGCAACCAGTACGAGGGCACATTCAAGAAGGACCTGGTATGCGCCGCTCCCCCCCCCCCAAGCTGTGCGCGTGTGGTACTCACAATCGGACTCTCAATGTTGATAGATCCACGGCAACGGCACCATGAAGTCGTTTGTGAACGGGGCCAAGCTGGAGGGCAAGTGGCTGCAGGGCAACCGCATGGGCAACGCCAAGCTCACCTTCAAGCCCAGCACCAACGCCGAGGTGGGTCCAGACTCTACCAACTTCTCACACAGCACCGCCACGCCAGTCGACACGAACTTACTAACGCGCCGTTCCTTGGTGGCGGCGATCTGCAGGAGACGCGAGAGCTGAACGGCGCGTGCAGGGAGCCGATGTTGGAGGCCAGGAAGATGCGCTACGCCCTCGCGCCCACGCTGCCCGACCTCCAGTTCAACGTCACCCTGTAGGCCGACAAGCGACAGTTTTGTTGTTTTTATTTATTAATGGCTGCACAGCGAGCAGGAGTGTGTTGGTTGGTTGGTGTGGGGGGGGGGGTGATGTGCACCAAGAAGAAGGAGAAACAGACTTGCATTGTCGCTTCTACCAAAGCCAAGGCGAGAAATTGCCGCGATTGTAGATGAAGTGAAACAGGAGAAGAAGGAACTGGGTGGGGAGTACTCTCGCGAATCACCCTGCAGAGGCTACGCGCACCAACAAGGCCAAAGTAGAAGGAAGAACCCTAAGGATGAGCGTGCAGGTGCTGGGCGGGCAGGAGGTGCCGACGGAGCTGGTGCGCCACGTCCTCTCCTTCCTCGTCGGCCACAACAACCCCTCCCTCTGGGTCCGCACCCTCCCCGCCGTGTGTCGCACTTGGCGACTTGTGAGCCACGACCTCCTGCGCGAGCACGCCGCCCTTCTATGGTCCCGCCTGCCTCCACCGCACCCCGACTCCCGCTGTACGTCAACCCTAACCTTCCCCCCCCCAAAGCAAGCCACCCTTACATGTTCTTCTCCTTCAACAAAAGACGAAAGCCACGAGAAGGAGGGGGACAAGGAACCGACGGGTCGGGTGCTCTACCTGTGGAGGCACGACGACCGCAAGCCCGAGGAGGAGGAGGAAGAGTACTGGGAGGAGTGGACCTACCACCAGCTGGTGGCCATCAGCCAGGCCAAGGCCCTTCCGCCGCCCAAGCAGCAACAACAACCCACCAAGGAGCGCAAGGGCGATGACGACGATGAAGGCGACGATGGCGATGGCGATGGCAACGGCGATGACGATGACGATGAGCAAGGAGGCTACGACTCGTACTACTCGTCCTACGACCAGGACTACCAGGCCACTGCAGGGCAGGTGTGGCACAGGCTGCCCTGGGCCGATCTCTTCGATCGCTTCATCCGCCGCGGCTGCTCGTCACAGGTTCAGAGTCGTCCCCTTGCCTGTTGTGGTGCTGTGGTGAGGGCTCACTTGAATGTATGATCGTGCAGACCTTTGGCGCACCGTCGGCTGGGCCGGTGGGGGCGGTGGTGCGGCTCCTGCTGCTGGCCAGCGACGCCAGCCCGGTGAGGGTCCTCTATCGCCAGTGCAAGGGCGGCCACCCCTTCATCATGACCGACTACGAGGACCTCAAGCTGTTCATCACCATCCGGCCGTCAGCACAGGCCTGGATTCCTGTTGGGCCTTCGCCTGCTTCTTCTGCCACGCAAGCAAGTGGGGGTCTGCAAGGAGAAGCGCCTGCTTCGCGTGTCGTCTGTGTCCACATCAGAGACGGCATGCGCGGGTACTAAAAGCCTACATGCCCTCTCCCTGTTGGTGTTCAACTTTCCGCAGCGATCACCACTCAGCTCTATGTGAGGAGCTTTAGGGCAGTGCTCCAACCTTCACTACTGATATCGATCTCTTCATAAAATTGACTACGCATTCAACCCTCGGCCAAGGCCTGGCTTACAGTGTCTCTCTCAGTACTGGAAACTTGGCTTGCGCTGTGCGTTCCGGAATGGCTGTTGGGGGCGCGCTCGCCTCCACCGATGGGGCTGAGTTCATCTGTCTGCGCCAAGTTCCAAGGAGCGTCTCTGGCGGAAGGGAATGCGAAGGGACACACCCAGGGCGTTCAGCTTTTTCCGTTCAAAGACGATCGCCTTTTCCGTTTCGCTTTGGGAGTTCCCACACCTCCGATTTTAGCGACCGCTCCATTGATAGGCAAGATGGGCGCTAGAGAATAGTACGCTCCACATCATGTCAATCAAGGCAGCGATTTGATAACGATTGCAGGGAGAATATGGATCACAGCGATCATCTTCATCCATTCAAATTTCACTAACGATGCAACATCTCTTGCAGCGATCAATTGTTCAAGCTGCTCATTATCGGCGACAGGTAAGCCCATCTTTCTCTCTTATTCATATGACTATATTCGGCCTGTCCCATCGGCCGGACTCTGATCCGCTCTTTGATTTGTCCCCCCCCCACATCATAGTGGTGTGGGCAAGACGTGCCTACTGACCCGATACACGGTACGTGCCTTTTCCTCAACTTCCTTTCGCGAGCGAACTTCCCTTCTGGCTGTGTCCTTGCGAGCCAACCCAAGGCGCGTGCCCCGCCGAATGTTGTCTGACGTCGGCCACTGCCTGCAGGACAATATCATGATGGACACCTACACGGCCACGATCGGCGTTGACTTCAAGGTCAAGACTCTCCACATAGACGGCCAGGCCATTCGCCTGCAGATCTGGGACACAGGTGCGCCTCGCGCTCCCTCGCACCGCGCGCACGCATGCACATACGACCGCATGGTCGTGCTCACATTGTACCTGGTGAATCGCAAACCGCAGCCGGGCAGGAGCGATTCCGCACGGTGGTACGAGTCACTTTCTTCATATATACACCTTTTCGAAGCGGAGGGCTCACTCCGTTGGACGTGCTCACTTACGTGTGCAGTGCCGAAGCTACTATCGTGGAGCCCAGGGCATTGTTCTCGTGTATGACGTGACCGACCTGCAGTCCTTCCAGAATGTCACTGCCGCTGTACGCACCCAAGTATCGTGTGTTGTGGTGTGTTGTAGACTTACAGGTACTCCTCTTTTCAGTGGGCATCGGAGATCACAAGCAACGCTCCACCTGACATAGTCAAGCTTCTCGTCGGCACTAAGTCCGATCTCACGACGTATAGGGTAGTGTCCAAAGAGAGCGGCCAAGGTGCCATTCCTTGCTTCCCGTCACGACGTCGTTTATCTCTGCGTGTTCACTCTTCTCATTTGTACGTACGAACTAATTCGATTTTGGCGGATGGTGTGGCAACTTCTCAGACTTGGCCAAGTCGATCAATGCACTCTTTATCGAAGCATCGGCACTCGACGGTACCAATGTCGCCGAGGCCTTCGAGACGATTGCCAAACAGATCTCGAAACAGCACGCGTTCGTCGATCCCTATCCCTCAGTCTGGGCTGCGTTGTGTTGACGCGGTCACTGACTCTTAAGACGATCGTCTTGGCCACTTACAGTGCCGCAGGAGCCAAGCCCAAGGAGGCGGACAACGTGAAGAAGATCAACTTGGGCGAGGCATCGCCGCGAGGAGCAGCTGCCGGCGCTGGCCAGAAGAAGGGCTTCGCCAGGTTTTGCCTCGTGTAACGCTCTTGAGGGCCTGACGGCGCCCTCAAGCTATGAGAGGAGGTAAACCAACACACTTAATGCATTATGCAGCACCAAGGCAGCACGAACAATGTAGATATCATCATTCTTCTGCCCTCCCGACGTGGCCGCGCACGTTCAACAGCCGGCTCCTCGCGGTTGTTGTGTCTCTGGGCGGTAAACGGATTTTCCTTTTAGGAAAACTCCGATTGGGGGTGAAGAGGGCCACGTCGTCAGGGTGTGCCTTTGGCGAGAGAGACATCGATCATCTTTGCAGAAGTTACTGGCGCAGCGGGGACAACGATAGATCATCTGTTTTTCCGCCTCACGGTCGACGATCCTTTCAACGAGAGATTAAGAGCGGCTCTGTGCTGGGGGCATCGCTCAAGAGGAGGTGACATTCGTCGACGACTAAGATGAAGGATCAAAAGCTGTTGTGGGTGGGCCTCGTCTTTGTGGCCCTGGCGGTCGTTGGCTTCATCTTCATTGATTTCACGCCCAGCGGCTGGGCGCACGAGCACAAGGTACCCCAAGGCCACGACGAGCCAATTAAAGGAAGATGGATGGCAGAAGAAGGAGGCAAGAAGAACGTAAACAGCAAAAGGAGGGAGCTTGGAGAACGAACAGGAGCGATGAAGACTTGTCAAGTCCCAATTTGGATCCCCTTCTTGGGTGCGCCACGATCTTAACTCACGCACTTGTTTGTGTGCAAAACAGTACGAGGATGGTGAGGAGGTCTACTTGTGGATGAACAAAGTGGGTCCCTTCCCCAACCCGCAGGAGACCTACCCCTACTACTCTCTGCCTTTCTGCCACCCAGACAAATTGATCCACTCTGACACAGGTCGATCTTTCCCTTGTTCAATTGAAGTGATCACTTCGATTTCTTTGAGTCTCATACGGATCGTCCTTTTACAGAGGGTCTTGGCGAAGCGCTTGTCGGATACGATCTGATCAAGAGCATGGTCGAGATTTTCTTCAAGAGTACGCACTGCCACACCTGGATGACAGTCAGTTTGCGGGGGGGGGTAAACGTGCGAGCTCATCCATTCGCGTAGGGGACATCGAGAGGAAGCCTATTTGCTCCAAGTCGTTAACGAAGTCTGAGTACGAGGAGTTCAGGGAGGCCATCCTCGAGCAGTACTGGTGTACGTCAACTCAGCGATTCTTCTCATCTTAGATCGGCAAGGCCAGGCTTTAGCATGGTGGTGTTCTTCACTCTTTAACTTCGTCGCTTCATCTCCTTTCTTTCTTGGCCCCTGTAGATCAGATGTACCTGGACGATCTTCCCGTGTGGGGAATGGTTGGCGAGTCTTACGAGGACGATGCCGGTGAGAAGAAGGTCTTCATATACACTCACCAGAAGTTCTCCCTCTCCTGGAACGGCGACAGGGTACGTAGACACTTTATGCTCGCTCCTCACAAAGCAAACGCCTAAACCATCTACTATGCTCCTTCATTACGCTTGCTTAGGTCATCGAGGTCAACCTTACCTCGGAGAACCCTGTTGTTCTTGAGGCCGGCTCGCCTCTCCAGTTCACCTTCTCCGTGAACTGGCAGGAGACCAGCACCTCCTTCGATGACCGATTCAGGAAATACCTCGACAAGAGCTTCTTCGAGCACCAGGTACCTTGGCCTTTCTTTTCGACCTCTTTCCCTCTTATCACCGCTCACTGATTCCTCGTTGCTCTTGGCGTGTACATCATAGATCCACTGGTTCTCCATCTTCAACTCCTTCATGATGGTCATCTTCCTTGTTGGCCTCGTGTCGCTCATCTTGATGAGGACCCTCAAGAGGGATTATGCCCGCTTCGGCAAGCTCGACGACGAAGATGCCGACAGGTAGGGTCTCCCTCCTTATCGATACGCTTCATGCCATGGTCCGTTGCAAACGTGATGTGCATCTTGTTCACCTCCCCTCCACCCCAACAACAGGGACGAGGACGTTGGTGACGAGTCCGGCTGGAAGCAGATCAAGGGCGACGTCTTCCGCTCGCCTCCCCGTCTCCTTCTGTTCTCCGCTCTCGTGGGCACTGGTACGCTGCTCGTCGCGCTCGTTGCAACTTGTAGGCTGGTCTATTCTTACCGCCCTCCTTCTTCCTATAGGCCACCAGTTGGTCATCCTGGTCTTCTGCTTGCTCTGCCTTGCTGCTCTTGGCACCTACTACGCCCAGAGGGGAACCGTCGTGACTGCTTTCATCGTTTGCTACGCGCTAACCTCCTTCATCGCTGGTTACGGAGGCGGTGGCTACTACGCCCGAAACGGCGGCAAGAAGTGGATCAAGTGTACGCAGCCACAAACGCGATGGAAGAATGATCTTTCAGCTTATCTGACTGTCGATGGATACCAAACAGGCATGTTCGTGACGGCTAGCTTCCTGCCCGGCATTGCCTTCTCCATCGCTTTCATGCTCAACACGATCGCGCTTTCCTACGGCTCGCTCAACTACATCCCGCTAGGCACTCTGGTGCGTTCCCTATGCCTGTCGCTTGGTCGCGCTCGCTTGGTCGCGCTCACCCGTGCGTCACATTTTATGGAATTCGCTAGATCGCCGTCTTGGCCATCTGGTCGTGCATCTCGCTGCCGCTCACTCTGGTCGGCACTGTCGTCGGCAAGAACTGGAACGGTACGCGCCTACAACTTCCCTGTCGCTCTGCTCCCAAGGAGAGAAGAATGGAACTCAAGTCCCACAATGCAGGTACCCCGGAGAAGGTGCGCATCAACCAGGTGCCCCGCCAGATTCCCGAGAAGAGGTGGTACTTGCAGCCGTGGGTGCACATCCTGCTCGGCGGCGTCCTCCCCTTCGGTTCCATCTTCATCGAGATGTACTTCATCTTCACCTCGTTCTACAAGTACTACTACGTCTACGGTTTCATGCTCTTGGTCTACGTGATCTTGATCATCGTCACCGGTACGAGCTCGTCCCCCGCTGTGCTGGTCATGTGGCACAGTGCCTCATCCCTCGTTTACCGCAGTTTGCGTGACCATCGTGTCTACGTACTTCTTGCTCAACTCGGAAGACTATCGCTGGCAGTGGACCTCCTTCCTCTCTGCTGCCTCCACTGCTGGGTATGACTGCAATTCTCGGCTTACACGTTCCGTGACAGGCCCCTGGACTGACTTTTTCCCGCACAGATACGTTTTCCTGTACTCCGTGTACTACTTCTACATGAAGACGAAGATGTCGGGCTTCTTCCAAACAGTTTTCTATTTTGGCTACATGGCTATGTTCTGCCTCGGACTGGCGACCCTCTGCGGTACGCGTCTCCTTCTTTTTCCCTTTGGTTCTTCTGTGTGCCTTGGCCCTCCGTGCGTGAACGGAATTCCCCCTTCCTTTCTCTGGCAACACAATACAATTGGTTGTCTCACAGCATTCCCGTCCCACCTTTCTCTTCTCTCCCTTCCGCCCACCAGGCGCGATCGGCTTCATCGGCACGTCGATGTTCGTGAGGAGGATCTACACCATGATCAAGGGCGACTAGGCGCCCCCCTAACTTATTCAAGGTGAACACACCGCGCTCTTGGTGCCGGACCCTCGGGCCGTACGCGAGCAGTGCAGCCTTCTTCCCGGGCCTGGTGGCGTGGTGGGCGAGAGAGCGAGGGACGTGAAAAGGAGCGGAGGCTTTAGCAATCATCAACAACAACGTTCAACACAAGGGGTACAGGGGAGTTGAAACCACCGATCACCTCCCTGGGTCGCAACGCACCACAACACGCGCACGTTGAGAATATTTCCGCGTCAAACATTACACGGAACGGACGAATGAGAGCAACCCCCGTTTGCGCAGATATCACGCGAGCTTGCGTGGACTGCCGTACCGGGTGGCGGTGTGCTGCGACTGTCATGACCGTCATCTTCAGCACAATTTACGGCCGCGTAAGTCCTTTGTTCGTTTTCCCGCCCATACAGACACACCTTCTCCATTCCTTCGCCCGGTGCCATGTATGGCCTCATCTTTACCACCGTCAAGGTAGGACCCCGCAATTTGGGGGGGTCACGTCCGTCGTGTCGCTCTTTTTTCTTGCTGCCGCTTTCGTTCTTTGCCTTGTTCGCTCCGATAACGTTTTCTGCCTGGCCTGGTTGAAGGATTTGGTGCTCAAGAAGTTCGGCGAGGCCGTATGGCTGGACCTCCTGGCCAAGGCCGGCATAACCCAGGACTTTGTGGAGAACAAAAACTACGACGACCAAGTCATCTACACCCTCCTCACCGTCGCCGCCCAGGTATGCTTCTCCCCCCCCCCCGACCCAACGTCTCCTTCAGTTCCGTATTGCCTCCCCATTCTGCGCCAATTTCTATTATTCCAAATCATGGCCTCTTGCGCGTTCCTGTTGCAAGCCAGCTCGGCACACGCGGCTGGCTCTCGGTTCACGGTGACGGCAGGCCCAGCTTGTTGCGTTCCCACTGCCGGCCAGCGTACTCTGAAACCGCGTGCTTGGCACTCACCCACATGTTATGTGCTGTTTTTTTGTGTATTGCGCCGACGTAGGAGCTGAACACAACCGTGCCTGAGCTGCTTGAAGCTATTGGCTACTGGTTCCCCATCTATGTCAAGTCGACTGTACGGGCTCGCTCGCTCGCCCGGCGCACGCTAACGCTGCAATTTCATCTCAGTGCTCGCTAACGCTTGTCCCCCTTTGAATGCTCCGCGCTTGCAGGCCTACGGGAAAGTGCTGTCGAGCGCCGGCAACTCGCTCAAGGAGATTCTCACCAACATCAACACCATGCACGGACACATCAAGATGGGCTACTTCTCCGAGGTGTGCCTGCAGCATTTATTTTTAGTTTTATTTTACACTAATTTTATTGTAACAAACCAGATGCGACCACCCACGTTCCGAATTACGAGGGAGAAGGCCAACAAGATGCAGCTGCACTACCTGTCCGGCGTGCCGACCCGCAAGGGTCTTTCTCCTCTCGTCGTCGGTACATTTCTCCCAGCAAATGCTCGTGTCGTGTCGTGCCACACGCGACTGATGCGTGCGTGGCGCGTGTTGCAGGAATCATCAAGGGTCTCGGCGAGGAGCACTTGCAGCTGTCGGCCCTCAAGATCAAACAAAAGAAGTGGATCGACAAGGGCGCCGAGGAGGACGTCTTTTCGGTCAAGTGGAAGATCAGCGGCGTACGCGCCCCATCCTCGGCTAGGCCTAGGGTGGGTTGACCGTTGTAGTCGCCAACTCATCATCACTGTTGTTGTTGTTGTTGTTGTTGTTCGCGCAGTCTGCGAAGAAGAGGTTGCTCGATGAATCGGTGAGCACGACGCCGCTCGTCTACGGCCTGGACCCGCAGGGACTCAACAAGGCCTTCCCCTTCCACTTCATATTCAACCAAAAGCTGGAGATCCTCCAGTGCGGCAAGGTCCGGCTCATCCACACCACAACCAGTTCATAATTCACATTTTTAAGATTTAATTCCTCAAATAATTCTATTTATCTGCAAATGATAATTATCATTATAATAATTAAGTCTTTTTATTGTGTGAGCAGTCGCTGTCGCGGTTGGTTCCGATGATGGTCGGCGACCAGGTCACCAACTTCTTCGAGCTGGTGTCGCCCGCGAGGGCCTCGTTTACCGATTGGAAGTTCCTGACCAATCGGGGCAAGACCGAGGTCTTCGTCTTCAAGCACGCCTACGATGACTACAAGTCGCTCAAGCTCAAGGGCCAGGTACCTTGTCACACGCGCGCGCGTGCGTCGTGTGTGCGTGTGTCGTGTCGTGCGGTGCTGATGTGATCCATCATCATGCAACGCAGCTGATCTGGCAGCCGATGCTGCGATCGATGTGCTTCGTCGGGTCGCCGCTGCTCACGTCGCTCGAGGACCTGGACTACTTCGGCCTCAACCTGAGCGACTTTGCCGCACACGACCCGACCAAGGACGCCCTCTTCATGGGCCACGCAAAGGACGCCAACCTGCACGCCAGCGACCCCCAGCACACCGACGCCGCCTCCACCCTCGCCTCGTCGCTCTCCTCCTCCTCGTCCGACATCACCCTCGCCTCCGACTCGTCGTACGTCTCGCTCCAGTCGTCCGACGCCTCGTCATCGTCGCCCACGCCCATCCAGCACAGCTCAGTCAACCTGCCCGGCCTGGGGGTCCCACTCTCGTCCGTCACCTTCCCCTTATCGGAGTCATCGCCGCCCTCGCCGCACGGGCACATGCCCGCAGTGCCGCCGCCGTCACCGCTCAACAGCTTCGTGCTGTCGCCCCGCATTCCACAGTCCAACAGCGATTCGACACACACGCACACGCGCCGGCCGTCGTCGGCCGGCGGCTGCCCGTTCTCCGCCGTGTCGTCGTCGGCCTCGGCGCTGCCCACGCTCAAGTCCAACTCCAGGGACCGCCCGCCCGCGCAGCATAGCCCGCCGCCGACCACCGCAGCCTCTCCGCCCGCACCCCTGCGGAGCCCCGTGACGTCATCATCGCTGCTCGACAAACTGTTCGGGTCCAAGCAGAAGAGCTCCTACTCGCCCAAGGCTACCAAGGCCGACAAGGACAAGGGCCTCGGCCTGCTCCACACAACCGGCGGCATCAACGGCAAGTCGGCGCCGCGCCCGCAGCCGCTCCGCGCGTTACTCAGCGCCGCCGGCAACGGGCTCATCGGCAGCAGCGGGCAGAGCACCAACAGCTCCGCGACGAGCTCGGTGGACGACCCCGGCAAACCCGACAGCGGGCGGAAGCGTAGCAAGAGCTGCTCGGACAGCGACGAGCTGCTGGTAATCGACGACGAGCAGCAGCTGCCCCTGGTGCCCGGCGACCACAAGCTTCACGCGGCCAAGCCCAAGCCGGGGCGACGCGGGGTGATCCCCGACGCGCGCCTGAGCGACCGGTCGGTGAGCGACGAGGAGACGCCGCGTTCGGAGGGACGCAGCCTGCGGGCGTCGCCCCAGCACGCCATCCCTCCCGCCGGTCCCCTCTCACTGCATGGCCGCGAGCGCCTCGAGAACGCCTTCCAGGAGGTACCACCGCACCGCACGTACACATCGCGCACGCGACACAGGACTCAAGCCGGGTGTTGTGTATATGTGTGACAGCTTTTGCTGGACGACTCGCGACGAAACTTCAAGCTGGTGATGGAGCTGCTCAACCTGACCTACGCCGAGTCCAGCGTCGACAAGCTGGTCCACGCCCTCCTCGAGTTCTACAACTACCATGGTATCGCATGCTCGCCTGCGGTTCTTTGTAAACAACGAAAGGGCAAGCTCACTCACAACTGTACGTGTGCGGTGGTGTGTCGTGTGCAGGCAAAACGATCAACTTCCTGCAGAAGGCGATCGAGTTGGATGTCCGATCGGCCAACGAGGAGGGCGTGCTGATGCGCAGCGAGACGGTGGGCACGCGCGTGCTGAGCCTCTACATCAGCGGTGCCGGCCGCGAGTACGTGCGCGAGCTGGTGGACCCGCTGATGGCCCGGATCGCCAGCGCCGTGGCGGCCAAGCTCGAAGTCCTCCCCAACCGCGCCCCGTCGGACAAGCACACCGCCGTCCTACTCGAACTCTCCCAGGCCTTCCTCGAGCAGACCTGTCGCTCGGCCGACGATTGCCCTCTGTACTCCCTCCATCACTCCCGCGCCGCCCGCACCGCCCGCACCGCACGGCTAACGTGACTCGATGGGCTGAAAATTGGCAGAGGCATCCGGCGAGTGCTGCACATGGTGGGCGAGGAGGTGGGCAAGCGATGGCCGCAGATGCAGCAGTCGGGAATCCTCAACCTCCTCTTCCTCCGCCTACTCACCCCCGCCATCCTGTCGTCGTCCGGCGGTACGCACATTCCTGCGCATTCCACGCACGCACAACAGCACGCACGCACGCGCACACACCTAATCGAGTGTACTGTCAAAACGATGCAGTGAACGATACGACGCGCCGTGTGCAGCTGTTGGTGACGAAGCTGATACAGAACCTGGCCAACGACGTGCCGTTCGACGGGCGCAAGGAGGAGCACATGAAGGCGTTCAACGCCTTCATCAACGATTCCAACCAGCGACTGCTTCAGGCCTACGTGGCCGCACTCACCGTATGCACGCGCAACCCCAACGCACAGCACACAACAGGCAGCAGCGCACGCAACGCAACATATCACACATCACACAACACGCAACACGCACGGGTGCTAAGCGTGACGTGGCATACAGGACGAGGAGGCGATTCACGACGCGATGAACTACCAGGCCAGCATGAGCCGATACACGCCCACTCCGCCGCCCGATTACGTGGCTGCGGAGGAGGCGCTGGGCACCATCCGCGACACGCTCACCGTGCACCTGGACAAGGTGTGGAAGCTGGCCCTCACTGACGACCACACCGTACGCTGCACCCTCGCACTTCCCCCCTTTCGGTCGAAAATGCCATTTTTATATTCGTTTTTTCTCTTCGTTTTCTCTTGCTTACCATCAAACCAAAACAGGGAACGATGCTGCGCCGCTTCCTGTCTGTGGGGCTGTGCCAGATGTACAGCTCCGTTGGCCGAACCTGAACCCCATTTTTTAACCAATTCAACATAGTATTACGATCTTTTTGTGCGGCTTCGTGCGGGGAGGGCAAAACATAAGCGCCACCATGATAACCGAAGCATTGTTGTTGTTGTTTGGCCCAACTAACAGAAAGGGGCGCCGGTGGAGGTGAGCAACACAGAGATGCAGACGCCGCAGATGGCCGACTCGTGGAACGGGCACATGGGTACACAGGCCCCGCATTGCTTGGCTGCCGTTCTGATGGGCAATTAAGTAACACGGGCGTGTCTGGCAAACGTTCACCGCTCGACACTCGGCGGCCTGGCAGACGCGGCGACATTCCTGTTGTCCAAGGGAGCCGACGCCACGACAGCTGGCATGGGCGCAAAGACGCCGCTCTTGCTCGCTGCGTCGGAGGGTCAAGCGGCCATCGTGCAGGCCCTTCTTGCACAGCCTTGGGCAGGTGTTGTTTTACTGTTTTGATGTTGTTAGATGTTGTTGTTGTTGTTTGCTTTGATGGTGTAACCAACGTTGCGCGCCAGGTGCGCGACCATTATGTGTCGACTGTCTGCGTCGCCATGTTCGGCGTCCTCCTCGCTGTGCTGCCGCTTGCGCCGCCCAATCCTTGCGTCGGCTGCGTGCCGGGTCCGAAGAAGCTCCTACACCACCTCATCGTAGCACCATATCTGATGAGGATTGACAACAACGACACATGTCACGTTGCCGGCATGAGGAGGACGAGGAAGAGGGTGTCCACCACCAGGAGGCCACCACCCCACTCCGGCGATCGCGCTGGTTACACGGCCAAAAGGTGGATCAGACCGACTGAGCCGTACAGCATGCGCACGCCACCACAAGAACAAGCAACGGATGCGGTACAAGCGCTCGTCCTTGACGCATTAATGTTGCACCGAGTAAATGTGAGAAAACACACTGTGGAGACACACGGCAAGGAGGACTGCACTAGAAGATTGTTGTTCACAACATCTCGTCTGCATTCCCAACATTCAGAAATAGCCATCGGGTGTAAACTCCGGAAAATTGGCCTCCGCATTTTCAGTATTCGAAAGAGGTGCGTCAGAACGGCAGACGAAAAAGGATGCGTAGGAACCTCTTGGGGCTGGTCCTCTTGGTCTTCGGCCTCAGCAGCCTCTTCCTTTACTGGTGGGTTCGCCTCTACTCTCGTCTCTTCTTTCTGACACCGCGCCAAGCTCCCCGACTGCTTCACATCCTAGACCTCGCGCCTAATCCCTCGTCTAGCCCCTTCCTCAGTCCTTCTCCATCTTCTGCAGGGCTGGCACGCCGCCGCGCAGACAACAGCACATCGCTCAAGCCCGAGCAGGTGTTTGTCACGATGGTGACGAGCGTGAAGTTCAGCAGCGATATGTGGACCCACTGGCTGGCGCACTACACCAACGCGTCCCTGGGCTTTCACCTCGTGCCCAAGGCCAACTTCATCATCATCCTCCACTCCGCCCAGGCACGCAGGCATACGCACCACCGCACACGCACAACCGCACACAGACGCACACCTTTGGACATTTGACTGACGTCTGAGGACTCAACTTCTTCGTTTGATCGGGTTTGATCGGTGCAGGAGGGGAAGGAGCAGGATCATGCCGTGGCCTTGTTCGAAGCTCATGGAATCACACCCATCGTGTGGCAAGGTGTATACACGAGTGTGGCCAAGGGTGCGTTCAAGGATGCGATCTACGCCGAGCGTGTACCCAGCAGCTCGTGGCTCATTGAGACCGACGACGACGAGTTGATCGAGTTCCCCAAGCCCGTGCTCGAGTTCCTCACCGAGGTCGAGGATCTCGGCTACACCGTCGTGCAGGGGGGGATGGTGGACCACATCGCTGCCGACTGCAGGCTGCCGAGGGCACAGGCCAACACTTCGCTGTGGGAGCAGTATCCGTGCATGAGCGACATCACGAAGACCATCCTCAAGGCTGTGACTCGGAAGAGGCCCATCCACAAAGGTGTGAGCTCCGTTGGCCCAGCTTTGTTCTTTTTCCGTGGCAACTCACGCAAGGCTGGGCGCACTTCATCAGGAAACCTGTTCACAGGCGGAGGCCAGCACGAGATTCGAGATGCTAATAACAGGGAGACGAGCTTTAAAGAGACCCCCATGATAGTACATTATGCTCCCCATGGAAGCCAATCAAGATATTTGGCCTGGTTGAGGAGTGTGCAAAAGCTAACCATTGGTTGTACAGCTGCCGCTGCATCACTTCAAGTGGCGTGAGGGCTGCCTTGAGAAGCTGCAAGAGAGGGCTGCTCTCTATAAGAAGATGGGCATCACCTGGTGGATTGAATCTGAAACCTTCCTCAAATTCTATACTGAGTATGTGCCCCAACCACAACCCAACCAGTGAGGGCATGGTGTGTATTGTTCACTTCTGACTTGATCTGTATAACTTTGGGTGGGGGTGTGCCCTGGTCAGGCATGGCAAGATTGCAGTGCCAGAGTGTGGGTGTGGCTAAGCACACAGGCACTCCCATTTAGTTTTGATTAAAAGCACATGTTGCTTCACAGATGCTAGTGTGGAGTGGTGGGTTGGTGTGGTGCAAAGCTGTACAGGACATTGTGAACATGCATGGCAACTGCCAGAAGGGCAAGCAGCAAGAGTGTCACAAAGGAGCTCTATAAATGGGAAGCGGTGCTGCCTTGGCCTCTCTTCCGCCATCACACTGCGGTGCACCTCCACTGGCAGCTTACTGTTAACACCCGGGGATCCGTTCTGGGAGCCGTGGTTCACTGCAGCCAGTCTGTGGGTCAAAACCAATCAGCGGTTCAGCGGTTCTCCCCGGTTTCAAATTTCAGAAGGTCAAACCTAAGGCCCACAAGCTATCTACTCCACGACCATGGGCAGCGCAGAGGATGGTGCCATCCCCCCCGCCCTTCGTTCTTCTTTCTTTTTATTCATTTTTTGTCACCATGGGTGTAGTTGAAATGGGAGCGAAGGACGACGCGCCCGTGGCGCCGGTTGTGGACTACACGAGCCAGGGCACCTACACCGAGGAGAGCGCGTGCCTGAGCTGCACCGACGCCCGGGAGAGCGACACGGGATGCTGCTTCTGCGCCTGCGAGAACTGCTTCTTCTGCGAGGGCCTGCACGGTATCTCCCACCTCCCCACCTTCGACCCAACCGCCGCCTCTTCAAGGGTGTTCTCACCCGTTCGTGTTGGGCAACCGTCGGTGAACGAACTTTTAATTCAACCCCCCCCCCGGGGCGACACAGCGTGGTACAAGTGCTGCCACTACAAAAAGTACCGATCGCCAGCCGTGGTCCTGTGCGAGCACTGCATCGGCGAGTCGGCCACGTACGTGACGCCTCTCTTATCTTGGCATACCCTCCTGCCGTGTGTGGTGCATTCGTTATGGCGACCGCCCCAGCTTGACGGTGGACTGGCGTGTGCAGATATGGTCGGCGGACATTCTGGAGCATCTGCTTCATTCCGTTGCTCTTCATCTTCGCGTTCCTGCTCTTCGCCGAGGCCGCCTTCTGGGCCTTCGTCGCCTTCGTCGCCCTCTGTCTCTCCATCTGCGTCCTCGCCGTCATGGTCGCAGCCAGCGGAAGACGATGAACTGTTTTCATTCTCGTTCTACAAAAAAAAAAAAAATCAAATAAATGGAAACTCAATTTTTTGGTTCATTTAATAGTATTTATATTATCATTATTATTTGATCACAGGTAGTGGAAGGATGGCGCGGGGTGATGGACCACGGCAGGAGCGGCGAGAAACTGGAGCACTTGATCCCAGCAGTCGGCGTTGCCGTGGCCTGCGGACGGAGTGGCCTGATTGCGCGAGCCGTCTTGGCAGTTGGACCCGTAGGTGGGGTAAGACGTGTGGTGCGGGTGCGGGTGCGAGAGCGGCGCCGTTGGCAGAACGGACAAGGGACCTGCCGTGGTGGGCGTGTTGAGATTCTCCCTGAACCCCTCGCCCTCGCGCATGGTGTCTTCCTCCCAATGTAGTGTGACGCTGACCACATACTTGACCTAGGTTTTGATTTAGCTACATGCGTGTGCGTGTGCGTGTGCGTGTGCGTGTGCGTGTGCGTGTGCGTGTGCGTGTGCGTGTGCGTGTGCGTGTGCGTGTGCGTGTGCGTGTGCGTGTGCGTGTGCGTGTGCGTGTGCGTGTGCGTGTGCGTTGTGTTAAGAGAGGCGTACGATGCCAGTAGGACCGTAGAAGAACTGTATGTTGGATGTACTGCGCACGGTGCGACCATCTCTGCGGCGCATGAGCGAACAAAAGGTGCAGATCTCACTTACCGACCACGGCTTCCTGTTGAGGGGGGGGGGAAGTCATGCCCAGCTGGTTTAGCTCCGACTTGGCCAAGAGTGAGTGGCGGGAGGGCGTACTGGTCCTGGAACAAGGGCAAGAGCCTTTCGAGCCTTTTGGGGTTTTCCGCCAGCACGGCCCTGTGCGGGACGCGACGGAGCTCATCCTGGAGGCGAAGAGCGAGAGATCATCACCAGGAAGCCACCACCACCAGCACATATGGTGAGGCCACCGAATATTGCTCAACCAAACCCCGCAGCTGCGTACCTTCGTGAACTGTAACATGCTCAAGAAGGGCTCGTTGAAGAAGGCCCAGCTCGCCTGCCCGCCTACCACCGGTGGAACGTCAAGCACAAACACGGGGCGCCTGACATGCGTTGAGTGAGTATGTTGGGTTCATGAATCATCCGCACAACAAGCCACACGACTGGTCTGGAAGCCGCACGAATGGAGGTCGCCCACGACGAAGGGAACGTCGGCGGACATGCGGTAGTGGTTGAGGAATGGCATGTGCTTGCGCGCCTCCATCAGGCCCACGCATTCGCCCGCGGCCACAGACGACGGCCGAGTCTCGACCGGTTGCGGTTGCGGTGTCGCCGCCAGAGCATCGTCGTATCGCGGCCGCTTCGGGTTCGCTGAGCCCGCGCTGCGGCCTCGGTTGTGGTTGCTGTGGCTGTGGCTGTGGCTGTGGCTGTGGCTGTGGCTGTGGTTGGTGTCTTCTTCGCGCGCTCGCTTAAATTTGCGCAGCTTCTTGACCCTGCAGCGCAGCTTGGCGTTCTCCTTGCGCAGCTGGTGCATCTCGTCGGCCATCATCGCGATCATCCGCGACGCCAGGTCAGACGACGACTCCAGGTCAGGTGGGGACTCAGCCTCTCTCGACCGCTCGTCACGGCGCTGCTTCCGTCGCCACCGCTCCTCCTCGACATCGTCATCGTCGTCTTCATCGTCGTCATCGTCGTCTTCGTCTTCCTCATCGTAGCCGTAGTCCCCGTCTGACCAGGGCAGGTCATCGATGTATTGGTCGTACATGTGGTGGTGCGGCCGCTCGGGCCTGGACCACAGCCCGCTGGCCTCCAGAGGTAGACTTGGTGCCTGAGGAGATGTCTCCGTGTCGCTGGCACCCGTTCCCAGGTCGCTTGAGTTGATGTTGTCGATGTTGCTGCTGTTGTTGGTGTTGCCTATGTTGCCGTCGCGAGACCTTTTTGTGTGGTCGTTGGTCTTGTCGGGGTACTTGGGGCGGAAGCGCGGGTCGTTGCGGGCGGGTCGGCCCTTCTTGCGCGGCACCAGGTCGCAGCAGTGGTCGGCCACGCCTCGCTTCACGCACCTCCCGCACGGCCTCCCCCTGCGTCGGCTCCGCCAAAGAGAACAAATATAAATAATTATGATAAGATAAATTCAATAAAAGATAAACAAACGTCAGGCGGACAGGATGCAAGGGGGGTACCCGTCACAGGCGACGTGCGAGTTGCGGCAGTAGTTGCACGCCTTCACCGGCGGTGGTGCAGGGGTGGACTTGCCGTGGTAGTTGGCCATACGCGGGGAAAACAGTAAAAATGTCCTTCTGGCGCGGAAACTATTTATATACCGATTTTATTTATTTACCGCGCTCTGCAGTAAGTCGCCCATTGGCAGAATTATTAGGGGTGGTGGGCCAGTGTAGGAGTGGCGAGGGACTGGAGCACTTGGTCCCAGTAGTAGTAGTGGGCGTTGTCGTGGCCGCCCGTCGAGGGGTTGCGCGGGCCGTCTTCGCCGTAGAAGGTGCACGACGAGGGATGCGAGGACCCGTAGGAGCCGGCGGTGGTGGAAGACGAGTGGTGAGGGAGCGAGTGGTGAGGGTGTGAGGAGGTGGTCATCGACAGAACGGACAAGGGACCCGCCGTGGTGGTCGGGTTGAGCTTCTCTTTGAATCGCTCGCCCTCGCGCATGGCGCCTTCCTCCCAGTGAAGCGTGACCCCGATCAGATACTTGACCTGCGCCAATCTTCCGAGGTTAGTGACTCGTGCGTGGTCATGCGTGCGAGATAGAAAGAGAAAGAGAAGATGAGGCGTACGGTGCCAGTGGGGCCGTAGAAGAACTGCATGTTGGATGTACTGCGCACGGTGCGACCATCTCTGCGGCGCATGAGCGGACAAAAGGTGAAGATCTCGCTTACCGACCACGGCTTCCTATTAGAAAAAATAGGTCCGAACAACCCAGTTTAGCTCCGAACTTGCCAAAGAGGACAGAAGAAAGAGAAAGCGTCCGTACTGGTTCTCGAGAAACGGCGTGAGCCTATCGCGCATCTTGGGGTTCTCCGAAAACACGGCTCCGGGCGGGACGCGACGGAGCTCATCCTGTGTGGACCCATATCAAGGCGTAAGCTACCATGTGATGTCACCCTGTACGTATAAACTATTGCACGCACCTCAGTGAACTGCAACATGCTCAAGAAGTGCTGGTTGAAGAAGACAAAGGTCGCCTGATCGCCGACCACCGGTGGCACCTCGAGCGCAAACACCGGGCGCCTGTGGGTGTTGAACACGTTCAGCGATCAGCAATCAATCCCATAAAAACAAGAGATCTCGGGCCGTGGCCGTACGCGGAGATGTCGCCCACGACCAAGGGCACGTCGGCGGACATGCGGTAGTGGTTGAGGAATGGCATGTGCTTGCGCGCCTCCAGCAGGCCTACGCACTCTCCCGCGGCCACCGCCGACGGCCGAGTCTCGACCGGTTGCGGTTGCGGCTGCGGCGCCGCTGCCATCGCCGGCGACGGCGCGTCGTCGTATCGCGGCCGCTTCGGATTGGTCGAGCCCGGTGCGCAGGTGCCGCTGCAGCTTCGGTTGTGGTTGTTGTGGCTGTGGCTGTGGTGGTGGTTGTAGTTGGTCTCTTCTTCTTCGCGCGCTCGCTTGTGCTTGCGCAGCTTCTTGACCTTGCAGCGCAGCTTGGCGTTCTCCTTGCGCAGCTTGTGCATCTCGTCGGCCATCATCGCGATCACCCGCGACGCCAGGTCAGACGACGACTCGGCCGCTCTCGGCCGCTCCGCCTGCTCATCCCGGCGCTGACCCCAGTGGCGGCGGCGCCCCTCCTCCGCACTCTCCTCATCATCGTCATCGTCGTCATCATCGTAGTCCGCGTCCGTGTAGGGCAGGTCGTCGACGTGTTGATCGTACATGCGGTGGTGGTGCTGGTGGTGGGAGTCGCGCTCAGACCCGGACGACAGCCCGTCCGAGAGATGTTGAGAAGAAGGTATCTCCACGTCGCTGTCGCTAGTCCCCAAGGTCGACGGCGTGCTTGCGTTAGTGTTGATGTTGTTGCTGTTGGTGCTGTTGGTGATGTTGCGATTGTGGTTGTCGTCGTTGCTGCTTGTGCTGGTGCTGCCGCTGCTGGGGTACTTGGGGCGGAAGCGCGGGTCGTTGCGGGCGGGTCGGCCCTTCTTGCGCGGCACCAGGTCGCAGCAGTGGTCGGCCACGCCTCGCTTCACGCACCTCCCGCACGGCCTCTCCCTAAAAAGAAAAGAACAAATAAAAAATAAGTATGATGTTGTTCGCTAAGCGTACCACGTAAACGAAAATAAATAACTTATTATTTAATGTAAAAGATGAAATAAAATAGATGTCGAGAAAGTAGAAAAAAGGTTGCAAGGGGAGGCAGGGAGTACCCGTCACAGGCGACGTGCGAGTTGCGGCAGTAGTTGCACGCCTTTACCGGCGGTGGTGCCGAGGTGGAGTTGCCGCCGCTCTTGCGGCCGCCGTTGAGGTAAGCCATGGTGTGTTGTGGAAAAGTAGAGTGCACTACAGAAACACCTTTATTTTATGCTGGTCGGACGTTTTGCAAAAAAAAAAGGCGTGTCGGTGACTTTAGCTCTAAAGTCTCCGACCCGAAAGTTAGTCCTTCCGCTACTTGCGGAATCCACCGCCTTTATTGATTGGCGGCATTTTCGGGCAATAAGTAAGTCACCCATTGGGTAAAACCCCCGACGCCGACGGAACCTTGGGCTCAAGAAAGCCGAGACGAGAGGGCGCCGAGAGCATACCCGGGCCGGCAAGGCGAGTTGTTCGGCAGGCCGTAAGTCAACATGCTGATGAGCATTCTTGGCATTCGTAAGGGGAGATGATTAGAGGGATGGTGGGAGATGGACGAAACTTCGGGCAGGATCTCTGGGGAAGGGGACGTGGTCCCCGCCCGCTTTTCTCCCCTGCCTCCTTCTGCTAATTTGGAGGGCCAACCGGTCTTCTTCCGCAGCACCTGTGTGGCTGCCCACCTGTCGCCCACCCGCTCTCTGACTCTCTTCTACCTCAGCTTCATTCTCCACCACTTCCTTCAGCAACAGCACCACTCCTTCCCCTGCCTCTTCCATAAACCACACTTCCAATCACCCCCCACAGAGAACTCCGCACATTCAACAACTATTGGTCCCCACTTACTGCAGAAAGCATGCAGCAACCAGAGAACCTCCCATACGGAGGGACCACCACCGGCGAGGCCCTCAACCGAGAGGTCCTCACCATCGAGAGTACACCCCCCCGCCCACCCCCGCCCCCTCAACTCTCTGCGCACAGATCGCTCAGATCAGGGCTAACGTTGTTTTGTGTTGGTCTTCCGCAGTACGTGAGGCCCGCGACCTGCTCGCCGGCGAGCTCATGAGTACAACAACCCAATTGGGGAGGAGCTGTGTGTGTGTGTGGTGTTCTAAAGGTGCCGCGATGCAGAGTCGTGCGAGCCGTATGTGGTGATGACCATGTACGACAGCTCGGGCCGCCCCATCGGCACCCGCAAGACCAACGTCGTCGCCGGAAGCCTCAACCCCTACTGGTACCACACGGCTCCATCTTTCTTCCTTGAATACGGGGCACGATATGCTCACGACGCACCACAACGTGGACAGGATGGAACGCTTCGAATTCCAGCTGACGCAGTGGGACAAGGAGGGCGGCTACGTCGAGGTGACAGCCATCGACAACCGCAACAATGAGCGCCTGGGCTACATCCGCCAGCCCCTCTTCAGGTGGGCCCGCCGCCCTCGCATTCACGCGCTCTTGAGTTGTCTCCCAACGAACACGACACGCACACGACACGCACAGGCTCAGCGAAACGGGGGCGATGGAGGGCTGGTACTACCTGGACCGGACGCGCCACCACTCAGCCGCCCTCTACTTCCGCATGCTCATCCACCCGTACCGCTCGCTGGGCGCCCCCGCCGTCGGCACCGGTCTTGCCTCAGGTACCCTCGGCATCTCAAGTATGTGTGTCGACATGCAACCAACCCCCGTGCACGCTTGCGACACACACAGGCATCAGCGCGCGCCAGCCGGCGGCGGCGACCGGAATCGGCGTGTCAGGCGTCGGATCGCGCACGCCGCTCGGCCCCACGGTGTATGGCGCCACCAGCGGCGCGGCGGACGGCTTCGCCTCGCCGTCGGGCCTGCCCATGGGCGCCGCGCCCGCCACCTCCACGCCAGCGGTCGGCGCTCCCGGCATGACGCCCGTGGTGGGTCCCGTGATGGCCCGCGAGCCGGGCACAGCACCGCTGTTCGTCATGCGGCACCGCTTCTGGGCGCTGGCCAACACCTACGAGGTCAAGGACTCCCAGGGCCTCCTGCTCTACAGGTTTGTTACGACACACAACGACACACACAGAGGAAAGGCCCGATGGGGCTGCTGACATCATCACAGGTTGGTTGGGAACTTTGCGGACAAGCTGGACGACATCAGGATCGCCGATTCGACCGGGCACGAAGTGGGCTACATCCGCGAGGAGTCGTCGCTCATCAGCCGCGTCTACCGCATGCCCACCTATCGTACGATCTGTCTCAAGCCACCCTCTTTCTCTGGTTGTGGCGGCTCATGCACTGGTTTCTGCCCAGTCATCTCGGTGTATGGCACAAGCGCGAAGCTGAAGAGGAAGCTCATAAGCATCAACGAACCCATCTTCTCCCTCCGCCCCTTCAACGCCGCGAGCATTCACGCCAAGGGGTACGCACCCCTCTTCTGCCTCGTCGACGGCCACATGTCCTCCAGCACATAGCCTCACTGCCGAGCTTCTCAGCAACTTCGCCGAGAACGAGTTTAGCTTCTATCAGGGAGACACGATCATCGCCGACGCACGTTCCCCCCCCCCATCTTCGCTTTCATTTTTCGTCCCTTTCTCCAAGGGTTCGAGACTCACCCTTCTCTCTTTCGCAGGTGTCGAAGGCGCTGGCAGTCCCGCCAGGGCAGGGCCAGTACGGCATCCGGGTGGCCCCGACCTTCTCCAATCCGCTCCTCATCCTCGCTGCCACCGTCGCCATGGACAGGTACGCCCCGACCAGTAGCCTTCGTCTTGTTCGCCCGTGCCTGATCGACGGGACCACAGAATCCACGACGTGACGGGCATGCGCCCGATCTCTGGCGTCTACAGCGACTCCAAGACGCTGATGTCTAAGGTCACGCGCCGTGGCAAGAAGAGGCCCACCGTGGTGACCACCACCGCCACGCCCGTGGCCACCACCACGGCCAGGACAGCCGCGCCCGTTGTCTCAACGACTACAACGACCACTGCGGCCGCGCCCCTCGCTGCAGCCGTGGCCACCCCTGTGGCGCCCATCGTCACGCCCGTTTCGACCCCCGCGACGCCTGTGGCCGCTACGCCCATCGTCACCCCCGTGACGGCCGCGGCGGTCACGACCAACCCCTACGCCGCCTACTACGATGAGCGGGGCGTCCCCACGACCCCGGTCGTGTCCGTCACCACCGTGCCGAGGGGCGAAAGCCGCGAGGGCCTCGAGTACTACGGCACCAGTCTGGGCACCACCGGACTGGGCACCACGACCGCTGCCGCCACCATGCAGCCCCGGGCCGAGCTGGCGGCCAGGGAGACGCTGAGGCAGGAGACCGAGCAGCAGATGATGCAGGCCGAGCGGATCGAACTCGCCCAGATGGGCGGCGGCCCATCGACGATGGCGACTGGCGGTCAGCAGTACGCCGCGCAGCAGCAGCACCTGGAGAAGGAGAGGGACCAGAAGATGACCAGTTCCGAGATCAGGCAGGCCCAGCCCGTGCAGATCCCCATCATGGGCGCCGGCGCCTTCGACTGATACCAACAACCGCAACAGCAACGTAACGAGGAGAAGAGATCTGTGTACATAAACGTTTGGGCCAACTAAAGATCATCGCTCTTCGCGCTGTCTTCTGCCTGGCTGCTGTTGGCGAGTGCTTGTTAGTACAAAAAAACAGAGAGAGGAGGGTTGCGTGCACCACAGCCGCTCGAGCGTGAGGCTTAGGGCTCCTCCCGCTCCTTGGCGTAGCCCTTGGCTAAGAGGGCCGCCTCGATCTCGTCCAGGATGGCCGGGTCGTCGATCGTCGCCGGCGTCTGATAGGCTGCACGCAACACACACGCACGCACACACACAGCGCACCACCCACGTGCACCAGAGATGGAGATGAATAAAACGAAAGACACGGTTTGTGTGTGACACGACGAACGAACCGTGGCCGTCAGCGATCTTCTTCATGGTGCCTCGCAGGATCTTGCCCGACCGGGTCTTGGGCAGACGGTTCACCGGGATCGCCACCTTTTCAAGGCGGTGGCGTGGAACAACCGATCACGACCGCGCATGGTCATCATCTGCGCTTGGCCCGCGCGTTGTGAGCTCATTGCGCTGCGTACCTTGAAGGTGGCGACCGGGCCGATGCGCTCTCGAACGCGCTTGATGCAGTCCTTGGCCACATCCTCGCTGTCCCTCGTCACGCCAGACTGACACGCGCACGCGTTGGTAAGACTACGCGCCTACAGGCCTGGGCCGAGAAGGGCGCGAGCTGGGGCGTACCTTGAGCACAATGAACCCGACTGGGACCTCTCCCTTGAGCTGGTCCTCGGCCCCGATCACCGCACACTCGGCCACGTCAGGGTGAGAGCTCAGCACCTCTTCCAGAGCGCCGGTGCTCAGCCGGTGACCTGCCACATTGATCACGTCGCTGTCCACATTCGCGCACGATCAGCGGGTTACAGCCCAGCCATGAAGTTGGGGCTGGGGGCGACCACGTACTCTGTGCGGGCCATGATGTGGATGTAGCCGTCGCTGTCCACAAAGCCAGCGTCGCCTGCCGTCCGACACAACAGAGAAGCAATCGACTCAGTTTTCCCGTCTCCCTAAGCCACGGCTAAGGTGTCGTGCGTGCGTGCGTGCGCAGTACCGCATCGATAGTAGCCCGGGTAGGTTTGGAAGTAGGAGCTGTGGTACTTCTCCTCGTCGTTGGGCCACAGCGTGGGGAAGCAACCCGGCGGCAGCGGCAATCTGGTTTGGTGAAAATGCTGAGGCCTGAGACTCATGGAGTGCATGGAACGCGTGGCAAGGGGAAGGACGAGTACCTGACGACGACTTCGCCCAGGTGGCGGTTGTGAGGCAGCTCTCGGCCGGTGGTTTCGTGCAACACGCGCACGTCGTAGCCCGGCACGGCGAGACCGCAGGACCCGGGCTTGACCTTGACGTGGCTCGAGTTGGCTGGCACGTGGGGCTCCGCGCCGTAGTCCAATCCCAGGCACTTGGCCCCGATCGCCCAGCCCGTCTCCGTCTGCCACCTGGTGGACGGCCCAGTGGTGAGTCGAAGCCCTGCGTGGCCCACGTCGTGGCAACAGTTGTAAGAGGGGGGCTGACCAGTGGTCGATGACGGGGATGTGGTGGAGCAGCTTCTGAGCCCAATGGACCGTCGCCGGATCGGCCCTCTCGCCGGCCAAGAAGAACGCCCGCAGGTTGGACATGTCTACCACAGTATAGAAAAAAAAAGGCCAGTGATGAGCGGCTCGAGTCAGAGAGAGAGAGACTTGCACGTACCGTATATGGCAATGTTCGAGCCTTCGGGGTCCTCCTTACGGATGGCGCGGACGGCGGTTGGGGCCATGAAGGAGACGTTCACCCCGTGCTGGCTGATCACTCGCCAATACGCCCCGCTCTGCACACCAAGCGCCGTTTCAGAAAGAATCGTCATCGCATTGATTAATGAGGCGGTGTGACGTGGCGGTGGGGAAGAGGGGGGGGGCGGACATACGTCTGGGGTCCCGACGGGCTTTCCCTCGTAGAGCACGGTCGTCGCGCCCTCCAGCAGCGGACCGTAGACGATGTAGGAATGGCCGACGACCCACCCGATGTCACTGAACGAACACCAGACACACACATACACACACACACAAAAGACGACACGACACACGACACACGACACACGCAGCACGTGGCCGTCAGACAGGTCGCTCGAGGAGAATGCGTGTACGGGCTCTGTTCGCACACAGTACCTAGCGGCCCAGAACACTTCGCCGGGCTTGAGGTCGTAGATCATCTCCATGGAATTCTTGAGTGCCACCAGGTGCCCGGCGTTGTCGCGGACCACGCCCTTGGGGTTGCCCGTGGTGCCCGACGTGTACAGCACATACAACGGATCCTACATGGCCAAGCCAGGCGAGGTGGTGAGTTACATTGGCGTGCGTGCGGGCGTGCGGGCGTGCGTGCGGAGGATCACGACGCACATGGGAGTCTAGCTCGGTGCAGCCGCTGAAGGATCGTGACCTGGCCATCTCCTGGTCCCAGTCGTAGTCCTTCTGTTCGGCCGTCTGCACGAGAGCTGCCTGGGTCTCGAGGCCCGGTCTGGCGCAAAATGAGAGGAACGTTGGGCGTCAGTGCGTGTGCGGCGGTGCGTGTGCGGCGGTGCGCGTGCGGCTCACCTCTGATAGATAATGTTGGCTTGCGGTTTGTGTTTCGCCATCTCAATGGCTCGATCGAGCAGCGGCTTGTACTGCACGATGTGATGGGGCTCGATACCGCACGAGGCCGAGAGAGTCACCTGCGCCCCCACACGCCCCAAGAATTGAGCCACAGGCAGGAGCCACTCGCGCTCGCATGTTGACATTACCTTGGGCTTAGCGTGGTCGATGCGCACGGCCAACTGATCGGCCGCGAAGCCGCCAAACACAACCGAGTGAATGGCGCCGATGCGGGCACACGCCAGCATGGCAATGACGGCTGCACACCGTGGTAAAGGCGTTAGAGCTTGCAGCGCCTCTATAATGCGCATGAGCGCGTCGCTGCAGGGATTACCCTGTGGGATCATGGGCATGTAGATCAGCACGCGATCGCCCTTCTCAACGCCGTGCGTGTTGGCGAGCACGCCCGCAAAGTGTGTGACCTTGGATTGGCGATTGCGGTTGTCGTTGTGGTTGCGGGTGCGGGTGAGTGGGCGAGTGAGCGAGCGAGCGAGGTGAACCCATCGACAATCAACCCCGTGCAGAAGCGCGGTGGCCTGCAAGGGGCGGGTACCTGCTGGTGAAGGTCCTTGTAGGTGTACTTTTGCAGGTTCTTGCTGACGGGGCTGTCCCAGATGAGGGCCACCTGGTCCCCTCGCCCTGCAATGCAAAGAACGTACATGAGAAACTGGTAACAACAGCAGGACCCTGCTGGGTGCTGGGTGTGCCAACACAAGGACTGACCGACCTTGGGCGATGTGGAGGTCGAGGGCGTTGTAGCAGGTGTTGACCTTGCCGCCCGGGAACCACCGGTAGAAGGGCGGTCGCGACGAGTCGAGCACGCTGTCCCACCTGTCCACCACCCAACCATAAAAAAACAATATAAAAATAATAATAATAGATTATTTGTTGATTCAGAGATAAATCAACAATAAATAACAAACAAATAGAGGGCGGGTTACCGCTTGTGCCAGTGGACCTTCTCGGCTTTGGAGGCCCAGTAGCGCTCGGGGTCCTGCACGGAGGCCTTGAACTCGCTCTCATAGGACGGCAGCCCCGACCGGCCAGCGCTGCTGGCCCACCTCGCTCGCAGCGGCAGTGCCAGCACCGCCCTGCGGGCGGTGGCCGCGGTAGAGGCCACGCAAGCCGCCGATGGGCCGGCAGCGTGCTGCCGGGCTGCAAAGCGAGCCGACCACTTCATCTACAGTACTGTTCTGTGGTGTGGTCTTGGTAGATAGGGGTATTAAGGGATTGTGGGGTGTACTGCACCCAGCGATGCGGTGTGATGATGTGGTGGATAATGTTCGAAGGGGAAAGAGAGCAGATGAAAAAGAAAATGAGAAGATTGCAAGGGATCACCCCACTGGCGGGATGCACAGCCAAACAAATTTCGACGCCGTTCACCAATCGCCAAAGCGCACCGAAAAAGAAGCCAAGAAAAAAGAAAGAAAAGATTATGGACGTCTCTTCGCGAGACTGTTTTATCGAGAGGACGGAAGCAACATGGGCGCCAGGGGAAGTCATGAAGAGGCACCGGTGAGCAGGAAGGAAAGTAGCGGTGCTGCGAAGGTGGAGGACAGGTTTTGCCTCACCGAACGAGACAGAGCTGGCTGCCTGTTCGTCATCTCCACCCCTTCTAAGCCCAAGCCTGCAGGCAGCTCGACGCAAAGTGACGACTACCACTACAGCGTCGTAGTGGACGTGTCGGGCGAGTCTGACGACAGCTGGCTGGTGGGCAAGGAGCTCAGCGTTCAAGTCGATGCCGCGTCCAAGGTCTGCTACGTCTTCCGGCACGACAAGGGGCGATGGACCCTGGCCAGCCTAGCCACATGGAAGCATCTCGGCCGACTGCCGCTGCCACCTGACCTCTTTGCAGACGAAGAGAGCTTCAACTCGGCACACCCCGACTTGTGGGGGACCAAGCTGGATATGATGGCCAGCGAGCTGTACACACAGATGGTGAAGGAGCTCGGCCGAAAGAGCTGGCCCCACGAGCCCTCCTTCATGTTCGCCGAGCGAGTTGCAGCTCAGCTGCTGCGCGATGAGCTTGTGGCCGCACCCTCCAGCGAAGATGGTTGATAATGAACTCATTGATTGGTTCCAGATAAAACATGTTCTCTGATACTGAAGCAAGTTGGCCCAGCTGGAGAGCTGGGGTGAGGATAATGTGGCATCGGTCGAATCGTTGATGATCTGCATGGCGTTCCACCCGCCGTCCTGACCTCCGCTGTAGTCGTCGAAGTCCGGCACCACCCCGTGCCACGCGCCAGCTCCGTCGGCGTAGCGCCACAGAGCGCAGTAGCTGTCCGAGCCATACATGCAGGCGAGCCTCGCGCTCTTGGCCGGCAGGTCACCGTTCAGGCGGTAGTTAGTGCTCGAGAGGATGCCCTCCACAGTTTCGGGTCCGCCACTGAAGAGAGATGACGCTTGGCCGCTGGCCGTCTTACCGTGAAACTGTAATCCTTTTTGTAATTCTTTACGAAACACAAGATGAAAATAAATATACAACTAATTTTTCAATTACTTATTTATAATCCCTTGTCTCGTGACACGACACGCACCAGACCGCACACAGTAAAACAAAAGATGGAGGCTGACCGTCCGCTGCTCATGATTCCGGGACCCATCGAGTTCTCGCCCGCCGTGCTGAAGGCCACTGGCGAGCCGTCGCTCTCGCACGTTTCGCCTGACTTCATCAACCTCTTCAGCGAGGCGCTCGTCCTCCTCCGCCAGGTGCAGCAGCTTGCCAGCTGCAATCAGGATTTTTCAATCATTTCTTTTTTCACCTCATGACATTCAATTTTAATATTGTTCGCATCTTTCATTTGTGCGCCTGCAGGTGTTCTTGACCACCAAGGCCCAGCCCTTCGTCGTGTCGGGCTCCGGCACCCTAGGATGGGACATGGTACGCCCCTCCCACCACACTCTACTTCATGATTATATGCGCACTCACCAACGAGATCGATGCCGTTGCACGCGCCGCTGCAGGTGGGCGCCAACCTGCTCGAGCGGGACGAGAAGGCCCTGGTGGTCTCCACCGGCTACTTCGGTGATCGCTTTGCCGACTGGTACCAGCCCTGTGCACGCACACAACATTCATTCCTTTGTTATTTATTAAAATTATTATTCTTTTTGTTTTTATTATTATTATGATTATTATTTATTGGTTGGCAGCTTGGAGTCGTTCGGTGCGCAGGTCACGAAGCTGAAGGCGGCCACGCTCGGCGATTGCCCCAGCGTCGAGGAGCTCAAGCAGGCCCTCTCCCAGGCCTCCTACAAGCTCGTCACCCTCACCCACGTATACATTCCTGAGATACCTCCTCGCACTTCTCCGCTCCAGCTGCTCACATGGTAGTACCTTTATGTGGGTCCTGGGGGTGGTGCAGGTGGACACGTCGACGGGAGTGCTGACCGACGTGAAGAGCTTCGCCAAGGCCATCCGCGAGGTGTCCCCGCAGACGCTTGTCGTTGTCGACGGCGTGTGCGCCACGGGTTCGTCCCGCCCGCTCGTCTCACCAGCGGTCTCGCCCACGGTCGGTTGATGACTCACGCACACGCACGCGACTGTGCAGGTGCGGAGGAGTTCCGGATGGACGAGTGGGACGTTGACGTCTGCCACACCGCCTCCCAGAAGGCCATCGGCGTGCCGCCCGGCCTCGCCATTCTCCTTGCCAGCCCTCGCGCCATGGTACGCCTCCCCCGTACCCCTAGGGGCCTCAGGCTTTTCAACGACTCACCGCCGTCATCGTCATCGTCGTCTACGTTGCAGGAGGTGTTCGCGAACAGGAAGACGCGTCCGGCGGGTTACTTCATCGACTGGAACCGGTGGCTGCCGATCATGCAGAACTACGAGGCCAAGAAGGGCAGCTACTTCGCCACGCCGGCGGTGAACCTGGTCAAGGCGCTCAACGTGAGCCTCAAGGAGATCCTGGCCGACGGCGGCATGGAGAAGCGGTTCCAGGCCCACGTCGACGCCTCGCGGAAGGTGCGCGAGGCCATCCGCGCGTTCGGCCTCGAGTTCATCCCCGTGCGCGAGGAGCTCTTCGCCCACACGCTCACCGTCGTGCGGCTGCCGGCGGCGGTGACCGACGGCGCCAAGTTCCTCGGGTCGGTGAAGCAGCACGGCGCGGTGCTGGCCGGCGGCCTGTTCCCCGAGATCAAGTACTTCCGCATCGGGCACATGGCCTACTCGGTGGTGAGCGAGGCCGAGCACGGCCACGTCCTCCGCACCCTCAAGGCCATCGAGGCCGGCCTCCGGGACTGCGGCTACGCGGTGCCCGAGGGCGCAGCACTGCCCAACAAGCTCTAACTTGTCTCGGGCATCACCCCCAGTCACGTGCGCGTGTTCGATAATAGTGAATTGCAACACACACCGCACGCATGGCCCATATGGTGGTGGAAGCGTGTATGTGTATGGCACACGTACAAGAGGGAGGCCGGTTACTGAGCCTTCTCGACCTCCATGGCGCCGTCGGAGCTGATGTACTCGTGGGAGGAGGACGCGGCCAGGTACTCGCGCGACCGCTCCACGTCGACGAAGAGCTCGTACACGCGCTCGATGTCCTGTGTGTCGACCTTGGTCGCCTGCAACCACCACCAACGCCCCATCAATGATGGTTCCATCAGTCAACTGCGCACCGCCGTGGTGGCCAGGTTGGGGGAGGAGAGGCGTACAGCGCGCTTGGTTGCCACGAGAGCCGACGCGGTGATCATGTGGATGGCGTAGCGCAGCGACGTTTCCGCCCTACACACCACCACAAGCTTGTGAGCCGACGAAGAGCGCGCGCGCGTTCATGTGTGTTCGCAACAGATCCGTACCCGATGTTGGTGAGCAGGAGCACGGCCTCCTCCGTCATCTCGACATCTTCCTCCGAAAGCCTGAAAAAGCGAGCGCGCGTGTGAGCTTGGTATGTTTGTTCGGGGGGGGGAGTGGACAGAGGGGTGTACCTGATCCGGATGATCTTCTGGATCTCCTCCGGTGTGTAGGGGTTCGTGGAGATGATGAGCGTTCGGTCCAACAGATCCGGCGGCATACCGTGCGGACCCTGTGAGCAGAGCGCAGTGCGACCGCATCGATGAGCCGGAGGTAGGTTACACAGCGCAGTGATATGATGGTGAGGGTGAAGGTACCTTGTAGCTGGTCCCTCTGATGGTGGTGATACCCCTGTTCGAGGCCATCACGAGGATGGGTGACATCTCTCCCTCCAACGCTCTAGCGTGAGAAAAACAAAAGAGAAAAGAGAAAGAAATGAGGTTTCGGCTGCTGGCTATGCGGACAGATATGAGCTCAGGGTTACCTGTTGATGTAAGAGAAGCACTCGATGTCCAACATGTGCACCTCGTCAATGAAAAGGACCTGTTGACAATTGAACGCGTTAGGTCGACTGGGGTTGAAAAGTGAAGGGAGAGAGAGAGAGAGAGAGAAAAAGTAAAGAGTGAGTGGAGATGGACACGTACGCCGGGCACGATCTCGGCCTTGCCCTCCTCCTTCCATTCGGCGACCTTGGCGTCGATCTGCTCCCGCACCTCGGACTTGATCTCACCAGTGTCACCTGGCCAGGTGCAGATCACAAACCACGGTCAGCCAGCGACCAAGCAAGCCCCGAGCCTGTGCCAACGGTACCGGCAAAGAGGGCGAGGAAGCCCTGGGTGCGCGAGTTGATGACGTCGATCTCGTGCAGGCTGACCGTGTGGACCACCTCCTTCCTCTTCTGCAGCTCTCCCTCGGGCGTGTTGATCAGCTTGACCTGCGATTGCGAAGCGCCACGATCGTTAGCTCAGTGACCACCAACCACCCAACTGTTTCCTCTCTGTTCTGTTGGGTACGGGACGTACGCTGGGGCCTCTCACGGAGTAGTCGGAAGCGCGGCTGAACGAACGGCCGAGCTTGGTGATGCGACCCGACGCCTTGTCGATCGAAATCACGTCGCTGTGCACGCGGGGAAATAGACGATGAGAAATGGCCTAGAGAGACAAGAGAAGAGGAAAAGCCAGCGCCGATCCGTACCCTGCGGTGACCTTCTCCTTGGCGAGGGCATCGATCATCTTCTGGCCCAGCTCGTAGATGGTCTCCAGATCAGTCGTCTTCATCGTAATCTTGCCCACTTTGAGACCCTGTGAGATGGGGCGGTGATGATCACGTGCATGTGAGCTGCGTGCAAACGACGGTTGTGGCTTGAGACCACGCTGAGTTTGCCGTCCAGGAAAGAGGTACGCACCGCACCGCCAGCAGGTCGGTCAATCTGAATCTCCACCACTTCACCCTCGATGATCTCGGTCTCCTCCTTGATGCGGATGCCGATCGACCTGCGCACGTCACATCCGTCGCCACATGTGTCGTTTAGTAGAGGAGGGGGGGGGGAAATGGTGCAAATCGGTCACCAAGCGTGATGCCAAGACCATGGAGGTGGGGCGCACGTCACCTCCTGAAGGCCTGGGTGATGGCCTCAGTCTTGGACATCTCGAGCGAATAGATCTCTGAGCCGGCGATCATGGTGAAGGGGGTCTCGGGGCCGAGCGTCTGTGCCATGCCCATGGCGATCGCCGTCTTGCCCGTGCCTGCCGTGTTGTGTTTGTTTGAAGTGGCAAAGTGGTTGGGCCAGGTCTCGCAGCAGAGGCCGCTACGCAGCTCGGCAGGCGAAGCGGAGGAAGAAGAAGAGGGGTACCGGGTTGCCCAGCAATAAGGACAGCACGACCAGCGATCTTGCCCTCCTTGATCATGTGGGTGATGATACCCGCAGCACGGCGGGCCTTGAGCTGACCCACCAGGCCGTCGCTCTCGGGACGTGGCGTGAACTTCTCATCCAGGCCCAAGCCATGGATGTGCGAGTGGGCACCTGCGTTGGTGATTAAATTAGTGCAAGGTTGGGCTCTAAAATATCGATTGAGCAAATTTCGGGGGGGGGTTCGGATTGCGATTCATGGCGATTAGCGATTGAGGTAAGTTGCCAATGTACCGATTCGCTCAATGCGGGTGATGTCCTTCTCCACTGCGGTGTTGATGCCAGCCATGGTGCTTCTCCGTCCGAGATTAAATCCAGGATAAAGGAAGAAGGAAAAGAGAAGAAAGGAAAGTCGAGAAGCTTCTTGTCGACTGCTCTTCTTCTTTGGGGTGAGCCTGAGCTGAGATTTAGCTTTCCTCGAAGTCTTCTTCCCGTTGTAGTCGCTGTCGTGGCCAGGATCTACGAACCCAATCCTAGTTCGTACCCGTACGTACCCATTCACATCGATCGATATGACTTCATTTAGTGGACAGTTGGGTCATCGGCTATTCTGTATAACTTTTGAGCCCTCTCGTTGAGCCTTCATCTTCTCACCCTCCCCCTACACAAAAGATTTGTTGTTTTGCATCTCCCGTTCCTCTCCCTTTCCCTTTCCCTTTCCTCTTCTCTTCCTTGCAACGCAAGTCTTCCAGTCCTCAACGCACGCGTGCGCTCCCGTGGCTGTGGCCCCTGCACCAGTCACTCACGCGCACGCACCGCACGCGCACCACCGCACGCGCACACATTGTGCAGAGGGCCAACCAGCTCAACCCACCAAGATGGAAGCAGCGTACGCGAACCGAGCGACCAAGATCGGGATGGTGATCGCCCTCTACTGGGTGGTGTCGATCTCGATGGTCTTCCTCAACAAGTACCTCCTCTCGTCGCCCGATCTGAGGCTCGACGCGCCGCTCTTCATCACGTGGTTCCAGTGCCTGGTGGCCGTCGTGGCGTGCTGGGTGCTGCCCCTCTTTCGCCCGCTCCACCCGTTCTTCGAGACCTTCCCGCGCTTCGAGGTCAAGGTCGATGTGGCCCTCAAGTGCCTTCCGCTGTCGGCCGTGTTCGTTGGCATGATCGCCTTCAACAACCTCTGCCTCAAGGAGATTGGCGTGTCCTTCTACAACGTCGGCCGGTACTCTTTCGTTCCACACAGCACGCACGCACGCACGCACGCACGCACGCACGCACGCACAAACACACAAATTGGTTGCTTGCTCTCGTTCCTTCGTGTTGCTGACACTCGGCCCGTCGTCGAAACCACAGCTCGCTGACCACCATCTGGAACGTGCTGCTTACGTACCTCATGCTGGGACAGAAGACCAGCCCCAAGGTTCATAAACTCCTTCACGCGCGCGTGTCGTGTGTGTCGTGTGTGTGCGTGCACTCGCTGACCGGTCATCATGTGTGGTCCGTCATCAGGCGCTTCTGTGCTGTCTGTTCCTCGTGCTCGGGTTTATCCTGGGAGTGGATCAGGAGGGCGAAATCGGTGATCTGTCTGTCAGAGGTTCGGCTCGGCTGCGTCTGCCGTCGCAAGAGGTGCTGATTGTTCCCGACTGACTGGTGCTGGCCCATTCCAGGTGTCATCTACGGTGTATTGGCCTCGCTCTTCGTGGCCCTCAACGCCATCTACGTCAAGAAGATCCTGCCCATCGTGGATGGCGATTCCTGGAAGTACGCCGCCCGCTAGGCTGCTCAAACTCTCCTGTTGGTGTCACGGTCATTGCATCTGTGAGATGAGCTCATCTCGCCCACCCCCTTCCTCTACTGACCAGGTTGACCCTGTACAACAACCTGAACGCCTTCTTTCTCTTTGTGCCGCTCATGATCATGGCCAGCGAGCACGAGATGGTATCGTACCGCCTCACCACCATTAACAGATTAATCATGATCCAACTCACGCCGCTTGTCTCCACTCAGCTGGCCGAGTTTGAGAAGATCACTTCCCTCTACTTCTGGGCCATGATGACTCTTGGTGGATTCTTCGGCGGTGCGCTCCTCCAGTCTGTTGTGCGTGCGACTGAACCCTAACCGTCATTGCGCGGAATGCACGGAATGCGTGGTTTTCCCACAGTGGCGATCGGCTTGGTGACGATGCTGCAGATCAAGTTTACGTCCCCTCTGACCCACAACATCAGTGGTACGTTCCTCGACATCACCCACACTACTTCTGCCAGCTCTCACCAACCCCCCTCCCCCGCCACAGGCACGGCCAAGGCGTGCGCGCAGACAGTGATCGCCGTGTGGGCCAATTCCGAAGTCAAGAGCGGTACGTGTGTCGTGTGTGGCTTGTCCGATGGCTTGCAACTCCGTCCGCTTTTGCAGTATCTGGTGTGCGGCACCCCTCCTTGCTCACGTACCACGGGTGACCACCGCCAAACGCAGGGCTGTGGTGGGTCTCCAACTTGCTGGTGCTCCTCGCGTCTGCGGCCTACACCCACGTCCGGTACCGTGGGTGATATTTTGTTTGGTTTTTTATTTCGTTTATTCCTAATTCATTTTTAGGGTGATGTTATCTCTTGTGGTATTCTGGAATATGGATATTTGCTGACCTCTCACACAGATCGCAAGAGATGCAGAAACCCACGTCGCCTCCTCTGGCCAACACCGCCAAGAAGACCGACAGCGACGACAACGATGAGGACAGCGATGTGGATGAGCGGAACCAGCAAGACCACGTAGACGACTACACCGTACGGCCCTTTTTGTGTGTCTTGTTTGGTGGTGCGCATCGCGTATGGCGGACTAAGCGGTGTTGTTGTGGTGGTGTTGATGCAACATCAGGTGGAAGTGTTGGACGACAGCGCTGACGAGCGTGACCAGGCACCCAACAACAAACTGCGAATCAACTAGTCAAGTTCAGTTAGTGGGGGTGATGGCCTATCCACGCACCGGCTGGAGCGCGACAAGCCACGACACGGAGGGATTAGGATTGGCGAAAAAGAGAAAGAGTGCTATGCACCATCAGATAAGCAAAAAAGCCGTCGTCAGGGAACGGCAAAGACAACGGACGAAAGGATAAAGTTCGGCCCCAGTAACCGATTTGTGAGGTTGATAAGGAACCTCTTTAACTCCGCACAAGGTCTCAGCCAATCCCGTCCTTGACACATATTGCCACGACCAATCCGGGACCGGCCCGCTTTCCGTAATGCCCTTTCTCGTAGGTCTAATCAGTGGGGGTTACTCAGATCAAGAAATGGAATTTGCCCGGGCATGTCGTCGTCTGTGTAGCGTCGCTTTGGTGTTGGCCTTGTGACTCCGACACGTGCACGTAGGCTTTTATCTGGGGTACCTACACAGGCCCCACACCCAGAACCGCTCTGTGGCACCGTCGTCCATTCTCTGATAGCGCCTCGCTCAAAGCAGAACGCCAAACTAACCAGTCAGTTTCGCTACCCACCACCAGCCCACCCGGCAGCTCGCTCTCCAAGCACTTAGCCGATCGTCTTGCTACCGAGTCTCAAGTCCGACCCACCCTCCACTTTCCGTCTAGTGCCCGCCCCCCTTGGCTTAACCCAGCTTCCCACTTCCACATCGCCTACCCATCCATCCATCTTTCACCTTTGGCCAGACCCCCCCCCGGTACATACACCTGGCCAGAGAGGCTGCACGTGTGCACAAAATACTGCACATCGACCGGTCAACTCCATCTTGGGCTGTTCGCATGTTACGCCCGGACCTATAAAGGGCGAACCAATAGTGCGACAGTATTTTCCCCATATTAACTCCCGTGTTTGCCGCGCACGTGTGTTGTCTTTTCCCAACTCGCTCCCCAAAGATAGGCCGAAGGACGGGAGACGACGCAAGGGTTTCACGGACCCGTGGCGAGAGAGCCATCACTTCTCGCTCCACTCCGCCTCCACTACACACCGCTACGCACCCGAGACCCATTGTTGTTGCTGTTGTTCAAGAAGAAGCTGTGCAGGACACTACCACCAGTGGCACCACCACAAGGAACGCGATTGCCACACACGGCCATGTCTCAGGCCGCACGCCCGTCACTGACAGTGGCCCAGGTATGCCTTGTGCCCTCCGCTTGGTCTGGGACAGTCCTCCCATCTTTCTTATCTATGTCGGTCCTGCACGCACATCTTCTCGAGCGTGCCCATCTCTATCTCGTTTTCTCGATTTGTTGCATTGCTGGTCTACCACTACCAAAATTCTTTCTTTGGCTGTTTCGTGTCGGCGACGTGTGGTTGACTGCGGTGTGGCGTGGTGTATGAGTGCCAAGCGGCCAAGCCACTGCCCATGCCTTCCAACAGAAGCTCACATCTTCTTCTCTACGCCAACCTAGTTACACACACCGCTGACCAACATACCCACCCTGGCCCACGCCCTCACGAGCGGCGACAGACTGGACAAGGTGATCAGCACTTCTTACTTCCCCCCCCCCCTCTTTCGCTTTCGCTATTTTCGCTTTTCGCGTTCCCTCCATTTTTCGCGTGTGGATCCACTGACGCGTTTGGTCGCTCGAGCAGGTGGGCATCCACCAGCTGCTTTCCGGGTTTGCCGAGCGGTCGGACGGCAAGACGTGGGACTTCACGGTCAGCCGCAAGCGGTCACGCGCCAAGGCAGAGCCCAGCAACGACACCGATGATGACGATGACGGCGTCGACGAACAGGAACAAGTGGTCGATGAGGAGGAAGAAGCTCCCAGCGCGCCCACCACGCCCACCACGCCGACGCCGACGACGACGACGACGCACCGGGCCAAGCGACAACGGAGGGGAGCAGCCAGAGCGAGCCCGTCGTTCGATGAGCGACAGGACACTGGCGAGTCGGCGGTGACAAAGGGCAGGGGCAAGGCGAAGGCGAAGAAGGTCGAGGTGGAGGAAGGCGACAAGGAAAACAACCACAACCACAACAGCAGCAGCAGCAGCAACAACCGAAACAGAGTTGCGACCAGCACCCGTTCGAGCAGAAGCCGAGGGAGAGTGGCGCAGAAGACGACGCCAAGGAACAGCCGAAGGCGAAAGGAGCTCAAGTTCGAAGACGACGAGGAGCGGCCAGCAGCCGAGACGGAGAAGGAAGAAAAAGTGCGAAGCGACGACGCCCAGGTCGACCAACACGAGCACAGGACGACCACCACCACCACCACCACCGCACAGGCCTACGTGCCCGGGAACGAGCCGCACCAGGGTAGCTACCTTGCTTTCCTGCAGGAAGCGTTCGTGCCGGCCAGCGACCGGCTCTCGGTCTTGGGCGACGACGGGCGCTACGACCCGGCGCGCCTGTACCACATTCCTCATCCCGTCGGGCGGCGGCACTCCCATTCGTTGATCTTCCCGCTGCTCCACAGCCTCGAGCACCAGCAGCCCCACCAACATCAGCACCAGCACCGGCACCCCTACGACGACTCCCTGTACGACTACAAACGTTACTCGCACTCGCACGCGGCCGTGGCGCCCACGCCGATCTTCGCGTCCACGCTCGCCAACAACACGGCGCTCTTCGCACCGCCGCCGACTCCGCCTCCGCCGCCGACCGGTACCTGGTACTCGATGCTCATCGACCACTCGATCCCGGCGCCGCCGCCGCCGCCAGCCCCTCTCAACGTCTTTCAGACTGCCGCTAGCCCACAGCTGACACCGTCCTCCGCGCGGCACTACCACCATCACTACCCGTCGTCTCCCTCGATGCCGCTGTCGTCGCCAGAGTACGGCCCGCAGCACTACTACACCTACGGCGGAGAGCGCGCGCCGTCGCCCCACACAACGCTGGGTGGCGGCGACCACCCGTGGGCCTGGCTGTCCGAGGCCGGCGAGGAGCAGATCCTCCAGTTTCTGCGCTCGACGCCCGCCCAGTCGGAGCCGCAGCCCACTTTCTACCATCAACAGCAGCATAGCGGCGCCGAGATGGACCAGATGGCGCCCTCGGTAGAGCCCGGCAGGCTACTGCTAGGCTTCGAGTCGGAATCAGAAGAGGCGCGCAGGGCGATGGCCAAGATGAGGATGAGCCTCGCGCGCCTGCGCGAGGCGGCAGTCGCCGCCGCATCTCCGATGATGTCCTCGTGGGCGACCAACAACCCGCCGTCGGGATTTGCCACTTCATTCCCACCGCTCGTCGATCATGCGGCATCTCAGCCGCGATTCTCCCTCGCTTCGTCGTCGTCTTCGAGATCGGCTTCACCCTACCATTTCGGGCGTGCCAGTGGCGGAGCGCTGCCCCACTTTTACGGGGGTGGGCACTGCTCGATGCCGTCGTCGGCCTCGTCATCGCAGCCCTCGTCGCCCTACACGGTCGACATGGAGATCCCCTACGCCACCACGCTGCCTTCGGTCGACTTGTCCCTGTCCGCCTCTCCGCTGCTCCTGCCGGTCCTCCACACCACCGCCGCCGCGACCACCTCGATGGCGACCACCACCCGGCCGCGTACCCCGTCGTCGCTGCTCCGCTCGACCACGTCACGTCGACGCCGGAGCCCAACCACGGGGCAAGCCGCGACGACTTCCACCTCAACCGCCCAAACGCCCAAGCGGCGGAAGAATGCGCCTAAGGCCAACGATGGCCGATGAAGGGCGATGACGGAGCGCGAGGAAGCTGATGCACCTGATACACCAGCAAGCCGGAGAGTACCGATAAAGTTGATGTGGCCGGAGTCTTTCGATGTCTCGGTTGTGTGAACACCAATTGCGGACTTGGTGTTATAAACAATACAACACAACCAACTCCGAAGCGATCATAATTGGCGCAAATGCGTGAGCCCCAGATGTTTCTCCTTTCCTGCACTTATTATTCGTTTCCCTACTTGTATCACTCTTCATTATTTTTATTTTGAATTTTAAGAATACTAAAAATGAAACCGATGAAAATCAGGAATTTGGTTCTAATTCTCCGAATACCAATTCTCAACATATTTTGCATTCTTGAGTAGCCAGGCGCAGTTCACCGCACCGCAAACCCCACAAACCCAACAACAACCCTGAGAGTGATGGAAGAGGGCAGAGCCCCGCGCGGACGAGGTGGCTTTCGTGGGCGAGGACGTGGCGATCGTAGGGGCGGTGGTCGTGGTGGAGACAGGGGGGAACGCCCCGCACCCACGGTAGGCGAAGGCCGAGGCCGAGGCCGAGTCGCCGACCGACCCTGGCGGGGTGGTGGTGCGGGCGATACACGACCCGCTCGAGGCGGGCGCGGGGCAGGTCGAGGCGCCCCCAGAGATGCAAGGCACCGCACCTCCATATTTATTTATGCTTATTATGGTGAGTAATTTTGTATTTTCGCGAGCAGGTCGGAACAGACGCAGCGGGCTCGTCCTCCCAAGGGTACCGAAATGGCGTGTCCCATGTGACGTGTGTAGTGTGTGGTGTGTCCTTGGTGTCGGCCGTGCGTTGACTGCTCATCACTTCGGATGTCATTGCAGCGAAGCGGCCGCGACTGCCGTCCTACTACGAAGTGGTGGAAGAGGTGCTGAGCGAGGCGCGCAAATTCCGCTGCGCCAATCCTGATACGCCCTGCCACTTCTTCTTTGTCGATCTTCACAGGTGCTGTCCGTTGCCTGTATTGTGCGTGTGTGTCGTGTGTGTCGTGTGGCCTGTGAGTGTGTCTGGTGTGTGTGTTTGTGCGTGCGTGTGTGTGCGTGTGTGCGTGTGCGTGTGCTAACGGCGAGACATTGAGCAGTGTGGCGAAGGTGGGGATCACATCACCCGAGGTCTACGATCTGGTGCTTGCCGACAACGTTGGCCAGTCCACCTTCGTGCTCCTCTTCACTGACCGCGACGACCGCCGGCCTCGGTCCACCGGCAGCGACGACGCCGAGGCAGCGGAGGCCCTCGCGACGCGACGCAAGGCCAAGCGGCCGGCCGTCTACCCGTGCTGCGGCTGCCACCGCCCGTTCAGTCCGCCGACAAGCGATGCGAAGGTGGCGCCCGCCGCTCAGGTGCTGACCGACAGGGTCTTTGGAGTTGCAGAGGCCCGCGAGGAGCCACGGCATGCGACGCGGCGCTTCGAAGTTTCGCTCCACCAGCTTGACGTCAAGAAGCGTAAGAAGCCAAAGAACGAAAACGAAAACGAAGACAGGGACAACGTTGGCGGACGTGACGAAGACAAGAAGCTGCTGGACGATGATGCAGCGAAGAAGATGAAGAAGAGAAAGCAGAAGGAGAAGAAGGTATCGATGAAGCACCTCATGGGCTCGGCGCTGGCCTACTTCCTGGCCCGACTCTCGGCCTACCAGCCCGCCCGAGCCGCCGGATCGTCGACGCCGCCCGATGCGCTGTGGGTGGTAGGCAAGCGGGGCGGCCGCTCCGGCGCTATGTGCGACCTGGCGGCCCAAGTCGCCGAGTTCGTGGCCATCCAACGTGAGCTTGCCTGCGATCGTGGCGCGTCGCAGGACATGCTGGCATCACACTTTCTCGGCCTGGTCGACGATCGCCACGCCGACGGCGGCAATGAAGAGGACATTGACGAGGGCTGGGCTGGCCTGCGCTCGGCGGGCGTCCTCGGAGTGTCCGACCAGAAAAAGAGCGAAGCGGCGAACACGACACAGCCCGACGTGCTAAAGAACGAAGGCGACGCCGCGCAGTCCGGCCAGACAGCCCCAGCCGTGTCCGCGAGCATCGTCAAGATCGTGAAGAGGGTCGAGAAGTGGATTCTGAAGAATGCGCGAAACGACTTCAAGCGGCACAAGGCCGCGCTGGCCGACGTCGACAACTACCGCGACGTGGTGATGCTGCCGCGCGACCGCGTCAAACTGCGCAACTTCATCGCGCCGCTGTGTCGGCTGGTGCGCAAGATCGACGCCGACGAGGTGCTGGCCCTGCTGCAGGCCGACGGCGTGCTGGGCGTGTGCGGCTGCTGTCGCCAGTTCAAGTGGAACGAGCGCGCGCTCACGAGCGATGACTGCCGGCTGGAGCGCAGGCGGCGCCTGGAGCGCGAGCGCGCGCGGGGCATCGCGCAGGGCCGCGAGCGCATGGTCGAGCGCATACTCGGGTCGCTCGAGGCCAAGGGCAGCCGGCCCACCAACATGGCCGAGCTGCGCAAGGTGGTCGACAACTTCGGCGACTACGAGGAGCACTTCGACGGCGACCAGGTCCTGCAGCACCTCATCAACGCCAACATCATTGCTGTCGACGCCTATGACGATGATGACGTCGGCGTCGACCGGCGTCGGCGTGAGAACGTGAGGTATGTGGTGGCTCAGCGGCGGATCGAGGGGATGAAGCACCAGGAGCGGCTCGACCGCGCCCGGCGGCAGGGCGACCAGGCCGCGTGGCAGGCCGAGCTGGATCGCGAGAAGCAGCGGCGCGAGGCCGCGCGCCAGGAGCAGCAGGCTCTGCAACAGGCCAACCGCGAGCGCGACGAGGCCGAGCGCGCCCGGCTACGCGAGATCCACGCGAGAGAGCGCGACGAAGCCGAGCAGCGTGACAAAGACGAGCGCCAGCGCCAGCAGGAGCGCGACGAGCGCAAGAAGCGCCACATCAGCGCCACCTCGCAGCAGAAGTACTCAGTCGAGCCAGCTTCGTCGTCGTCGTGGTCATCGTCATCGGCGGCGGGCGCCCCATCGCTCAAGCAGAGCGCAGATCAACTGACGGCCGTGGACGCACTCTTCGCGAGCCCAGACGACGACTACCACGACGGCGAAGAGGAGGTCAGGTGGGCCAACACGGCGCCGTCGCACGGCTGGGATCAGCACGAGGGAGGAGCTGGCAGTGGATGGGCCGCCGAGGAGGAGGCCGTGGACTGGATGGCGTCGGCTGGGGCTCTGTTCGATGGTGACAGCACCGACGGCGGTGATGACGACGAGGACGATGCCGGGAGCGGCCGTGGCGATTATAATAGCGAGCCTCGGCAGCAATGGGAGACCGACAGCAGGGGCGTCAACAACAACGACGACGGACCTTCGCTGGCCGAGATGTTCGGCGGCGGCTCAGGCGTGCCGCGCGGTCTCGACATGTTCGGCGGCTGGACGACGACGGCGACCACCACCACCCACCACCACGTTCCGGCCGAAGAGGAAGATGGCGATGGCGGCGGCGTGGTGGACCTCTCCGACGGCCTGCTCGACATGTTCGGCGACGATCGATGGTACGTCCCCGTTACGCAGCAGTACCACGGCCATCAAGCGAAAAAGAACGAAGACGAAGACGAAAGCGAAGGCGACGACGAACACGAGAGTGGGGTGGGTCTGCTCTTCGACCGAGGCGAGGAGGAGGAAGAAGAGGAGGAAGAGTCGACCATGGCCGGCCTGCACTACCTGGGCGGCGGCCACTCCTTCGTCTCCACGGAGTGGAACCCGGGCTTCTAATCTATGACCCGTGGGTGGCGATGCCTCGGGATCAACACCCGTCCGTGTATTCTTTTTTGGTTTTTTAACGCCGACCGCCAATACAAACGCTCCATTCCGGCGAATTCTCGGCTATGGCCCCTCGGCTTTGCTAGCGCTACCTGTCAACCCTCATCACCCGACCGGTCAGGCCTCTTGAGTTGTTGCTGGGGTCCAGAGGAGCACGTCCATTGCTCTGACCCCTCGACCTCCCCCACGCTATGATGATGAAGACCAAACATCTCAGCCCAGCTCGAAGTACCCAGCTTGCGCTGGTCGTTCGCTGCTTCGCCACCACCGCCGTCGCCACCATGCGCCAGGGCAGCCGCCCGCCACTCCCCGTGGATCGGCCCACAGTAGTGGAATCCCAGCACCACACTGGCCCGCGGACCGCGATGGGGCTGCCGCCGCTGTGGCGGGAGGCAGACGAGGAGGACCACTTGGTGGGCGATGATGAAGAAGAGGACGGAGAGCGAGTGGCGCGGTGGATGGGCGGGTGGTGGGCGGAGATGCGGGTCGAGGGCGAGCGGCAGCGGGCGATCAGGCAGAAGGCCGACCGCGAGCTGCAGGCGGCCCTGGCGCGGGTGCGCGACCTCCAGGCCCACCGCCTGCGCGGACGGACCAACAAAGCCGGCCTCCCCACCCTCGACTGACCGCACACGTGGGAAAATAAACTGTTCTTTGATGGAAAGCGAACGTGCAACGAGGGTTGAAGTGGCTCGCTCAGTGCTCGGTGGTGCCCGAAGCGTGAACCATCGAGTAGAACACGGAACCCGGGTTCTGGAGCAGCTGCGTCGGGTTCTCGAACTCGACCACCCTGTCGTGTGTGTGTCGTGTGTCGTGTGAGGAGTTGTGTTGCGTGAGTTGTTGTGTTTGTGTACAAAAACAAAATAAATAAATAAGTAAATAAAAATAAAAAGGACTCGTACAGGCCCTTGTCGAGCACGAGGACTCGATCGTAGTCGATGATGGTCTGAATGCGGTGGGCGATGGTGAGCACGGTCACATCGACGAACTCCTCCCGGATAGTCTCCTGAATGAGCCGATCCGTCTCGTAGTCCACAGCAGCTGTGCGGCGAGTGCGACACACACACGAGTTAGGCAGAGCGTGCAGTAGGCAGGCAGGGTTGGGCTCAGCGCACCAGTGGCCTCGTCCATGACCAGGATCTTGGCCCTTCGCAGCAGCGCACGGCCCAGGCACATCAACTGGCGCTGGCCCACGCTCAAATTCTCGCCAACTGCCCACATGAAGACTCACGTCAGTCGTGTGCGTGTGCGTGTGCGTGTGCGTGTGCGTGTGCGTGTGCGTGTGCGTGTGCGTGTGCGTGTGCGTGTGCGTGTGCGTGTGCGTGTGCGTGTGCGTGTGCGTGTGCGTGTGCGGCTGGGGAGGAGTACACTCGGACACGGCGGAGTCGATGCCGCCCATGGCCTGTACGGCCTCTTTCAGGTGGACCTTCTCGAGGGCGTACCAGATCTCCTCGTCCGTGTACTTCTCGAACGGGTCGAGGTTGCTTCGGATCGTGCCCGTGAAGAGCGTCGGGTCCTGCACACCATCGCCACCGTTAGAAGTTGCGTGTGCGTGTGTGTGTGTGGTGCGTGTGTGTTGTGTGTGTGTGTGTGTGTGTGTGCGTCGAGTGTGTTGATGGTTACCTGAGGGATGATGGACAGACGGGACCGGAGGGTGTCGAGACCGAGGGTGGCGATGTTGACGCCATCGATCTCCACCACGCCTTCTGCGGCTTCGACCAATCGGAACAGAGCCAACATAAGGGAACTGTGTGGTGATCCAATCGGAAACACAGGCCACGTCAGCACTCACCCACCACACGCACGGTCACGGGGGGTTAGAGGGGGAAGTGGTGTGCCTCTTGCCAGCGCCCGTTCGGCCGACGACGCCCACCTTTTCCTTGGGCTTGATGCTGACGTTGATTCCCTTTAGCACCAGGTCCAGCTCAGGTCTGCGCCGAAAAGAAATCAGCCTACCGTCGTGCCTGCGTGTGCCACACCGCACACGCACAAGCGACACGGCACACGACACCGCACCACCGCACACGCGCCACCGCACACACGCACCGATAGCGGAGCTTGACATTTTTGAAGTCGATGGCGCCCTTTTCGGGCCACGAGCGCGGAGGCAGGGTCTCGAGGACCACGGCCGGCGCCTCGGTCTCGACCTTCATGTACTGGATCACACGCTCCACGCTCACCAGCTGCGTCTCCGCCTCGGTCGACATTCGCACCACCCTTCACCATCACGGTCGTGTGTGCGGTCGCGCGCGTGTGTGCGTGTGCGTGTGCGTGCGTGCGTGGTCGTGTGGTTAGAAACTGACCACGAAGTAGAGGAATGAGCTGTAGGGGCGCACCAGTTGAGCACGCCGGTGATGTTGAGGGCGTAGGTGAGCGAGAGACCGGCCATACCCGGGTCGATGTTGTCCCGCTCCAGCACCGCGAACAGCGCAGCCAGGGACACCACGCACGTGCCTGGGTGGCGGCGGCGGCGGCCACCACATTCAACGGTTCAGTCCAAACGCTGCACAAACCCACCGATCCCGCCCGCATCACCAGCGCAGGTTCCACCACGCACCAATGAATTCAACGCGGATGCCGAGCCATCGGTTGGCCACCACCGATGCGAAGTAGGCCTGGACGAAGAGGCAGACATTCCAGTCAATAATAAAGATTCAATAATGCTTATTATCAATTACTATATGATCTATGATCTATTATCGGAGTTGAAAGGGGGGAATACCTTTTGGTTCTCGTCGAGCTTTCTTTGGTTCTCGGTGACGAAGCGCTCCTCCTGGTCGTAGGAGCGGATGGTCGAGATGCCCGCCTATGCGTGCGTGCGTGCGTGGTCGAATTCGAGGGCGCCAATCAATGAAGTCAGTCGTGTGCCTGGCGGGTGCTGCGCGGGGGAAGGGAGGAATGACGCACCAGGGTCTCGGAGAAGTGCGCGTAGATGGGCGAACGCGAGATGCTGTCCAAGCGCTTCAACTCGCGCGAAGACCGAATGTAGTACTACCGTACGGAAACGCATTAGCCACGACACGACACACACGACACACACGACACACACGATCGCCAACTGGGGATGGACCGGTTACCTGCTGCATGTAGTGGTAGACGAAGCCCAGCGGAATGAAGGCGCAGAGGAAGAAGGGCGTGACCATGGCGATGACCACCATGATACCCACGCTGCCGAAGAACATCATCAAGAAGAACCTGTCGTGTGTGTCATGTGTGTTGTGTGTGTGTCGTGTGTTGTGTGTGTGTGTGTGTGTGTGTGTGTGTGTGTGTGAACGAATCTGCATGATGGTTCAAGGACCTGACTGTGTGGGCGGCACGTACCCCATGGTGCGCGGCAACATTTCGTCGATGACGTAGATGTCCTTGGAGAAGCGGTTCAGGATTCGACCTACGGGCGTCGTGTCGAAGAACGCCATCGGCGCGCGCAGGATCTGATGAATGTACAGATGAGTCTCAGAGGGCTCTCAGAAATGATGCAAGAGGTGCCCGCGGGTACCCTGTGAAGCAGCTTCTCGTGCAGGCTCTTGGCCGAGTTGAGGCCGCCGTAGGCGAACAGAATGGACCTGATGAGCACGAAGAGGGTGTTGCCACCGCCGATGGCGGCGTAGATCCCCAGATAGAACCACACGCTGTTCTTCGATTCGTTGTCCGACCAATACGACAGCCACCTGCAAGACGCAACACGACACACACGACACCCACGATATCACACCGGTTGGTGAGGTGGACACCTGAAAGAATCATACCGGGCGGTGATGCGTTACCAGTTGGACATGATCGAGGAGCCCTGGTCGCTGATGTAGGCGGCCAAGATGAGAGACACCAGCACGATGCCGCCTGTGACCCACAGTGCACGGTGTCCAGCAGTGAGACCAACAATTCTCTCAAGGGGGGAGGTCCCAGGCCTGGTAGGTAAGAGCACTAACTACGTACCCAGGGCGACGATGTACTCCCAGTAGACCCGCCACGAGACGGATCCCTCCTCGCGCTCCTCGACGGACATCATCTTGTCCTTCTTCTTCTCCTCCTTTTCCTTGTCTTCGCCCTTGGCCCTGTCAAACAAATGGAGGTGAGAGTCACCATCATCGTCGTCATCATCATCATCCTCATCATCGTCGTCGAGTTTGTGGGTTTGTGGAGAGGAGTGTGGAGGAGTGTGGTACTTCTTGTCTTTGCCGGTGGCTTCTTCTTCCTCGTCGGCTTCCTCTTCTTCGGCGTTGTCCTTGGCCTTGGAGTCCTTGACGTGCGTCTTGATGAGCGACGCAAATTCCTTGCCGTCTTGCATCAGATCCGCATACGACCCCATCTCGGCTGAAGCCACCAACGCGTCGCACCGCAAAAGCAAGTGAGTAAAACGAAAACGAACAAAAATAACGAAAACGAAAAGACGCGTGAATGGGTCGGTGTAGTACCGATCCTGCCGTCCTTGAGCACAATGATCTGGTCGGCCTGATGGAGGAACTGCAGCTGGTGCGTCACCAGCACGCGGGTCTTGCCATCCAGCTCGCCCGCCACACAGTTGTCGAATATGGCCTTGCCGACATGCTCGTCCACGGCCGAAAGCGGGTCGTCCTGCAGCCACAGCGAGCGATCAGGACTGAAGAAAATACGCGCCGGAAGGCAAGAAAGGCTCGTACGAGGAGGTAAACGTCGCGATTGGCGTAAACGGCACGAGCGATAGAAACACGCTGCTTCTGGCCGCCGGACAAGTTGATGCCCTGCCAAGCCGTGCAGCGAGCGAAAGGTGGTTGGTCACGACTTCCGAGAGGGCGAGGATATGGCGGTGACGCACCTTCTCGCCGATCTCGGTCATGTCGCCGGCAGGCAGCATGGCAATGTCGGGGGCAAGCTCACAGCAGCGCACGACTTCTTCGTACCTGCACGTGCCCAGTCAGTGTTGGTGCTCGCTCTCTCATCTTTCAGGTTGTTCGCAGTGCTGTTGGTTTTTCTCCCGCACCTCTCGTGGTCGTATTCGGAGCCGTAGAGAATGTTGTCCTTGAGTGTGGCGTTTTGAATCCAGGCCTGCTGTGTGACGAGCGCCACATCGCCGCGCACAGTCACCTGAAGCGAACATCGCCTACATGTCAGAAATTGTACTCGACGCGCGTATAATAATAATAATGCACAATAATACTAATAATAATAGAAGGTTATACCTTTCCTCTGTTCTTCTTGATGTCGCCCAGGAGCGCGGCCAAGAGCGACGACTTGCCGCTGCCCACCGCACCAACCACGGCCACAAGCTCGCCCTCGCTGGATCACCACGCGGCCACGTACCGTCAGCGCCATTTCTTCCTGTCTCACCACCTCAATCAAGGAATGTGGCACGCAATACCGGATGGTGATGTTGATGTCCTTGAGCGTGGGCTCGGCAGTCTTCTGGTCCCACTGGAACTCGCCGTCGCGGATCTCGATCGCCACGGGGGCGTCGCCGGACCTCGCGCTCTTTCTGCTCTTCCTCTTGCTCTTCTTCGTATACTCCCTGGTGGCCTGCGCGTCTTCCGATCCTGAAGAATGAATGAATGAATGAATGAATGAATGAATGAATGAATGATCACAGCGACGAAGTGGGGCGAAGTGGGGTGAGCGTACGCGGCTTCCGCTCGACGGCGAAGGGGTCGACCTCTTCGGCGAGGAGGTACTTCTGCATGCGCTTGACGGACACGTTGGCCTCCACGAGGGAGGAGATTACCTGCGGCAGCATGTTCAGCGGGAAACGCAGCACGTTGAAGAGCGACAGGGCCGTGAACGCCGTCGCTGCGTCCAACTGGGAATATAGAGCGAGACACGTCGTGGGTTGGTTAGCAGTGAACAACAACAACAACAACAACAACAACAACAACAACAACAACAACAACAACAACAACAACAACAACAACAACGCATGAAAGGGTAAAGAAAGGGTTGGCATACGGTGTTGTCGAGCAGAGAGTACATGGTGAAGGTCACGACCGACACGAGCAGCGGCGTCACAGTCCAAAAGAAGCTGCTCACCGCCTGTCCAATCACAAACAGCCCATGAAATGGTCAGCGACCAATCGCGTTGATTGGTTGCAGGGTGTGTGCATTCCACACACATACCCGAAGGTAGGCACTCTTGCGCAGAGTGGCCATCTCGGCATTTCGCACGCCTCCCACCTTCTCGCGGAAGCTGTCCTCCCTGCGCAACGATGCGTTGAGTCTTTCGCTGATGCTGTGATGAAGGTGTAAAGGGGCAAGGGGAGAGTACCAGGCGAAGAACTTGATGACGCGGATGCCCTGCAGGACCTCGTTCACAATCTTGTTTCGCGCGTCCTTGTGCTTCATCATCTCCTTCTGGATGCTGCCGAGCCACCGCGCCAGGACGGCGTTCACCGGAATCAAAAGGATCATCACTGCGCGACACACACAGACACACACACACACACACACACACAGACACACAGACACACAGTCACACACACACACACACACACACGCACGCACGCACAGACACACATTCAAAGCGCATCAGCTCGTGGTTCCTCAACAGCAAAGGAGCAAGGAGGCAGCGAACCCGCAAGACCGCCGAGAGTGGAGACACCGACGACGCGCCACAGGAGGCCGAGCGACACGCCGATCTGGAAGAGGGCGCTCCACACCATGTGCAGGTACCTGTCGTGGTGGTAGTAGTATGTATGACAGCCAGGTTTCGTCAATCTCTGCGCTACAGCTGCGGCACACCAAAGAGGCGGAGACGTACGGGACGAGGTCCATCAATCTCTGCGCATCGAGGGACATACTGAACACAGCAACAGAGGCGAAGAGTGGGTCAGCAAGCATTGAAAAAAAGGAGGAGTGAAGTGGAGTGGTGGTACTGGTTGACGATCTCGCCGACGGTGGACTGCTGCCTGGCGGCTCCGCTCATCTTGAACGCCTTCCTGTAGACGGCCATCACAAGCGCAGCACGGATCTGGAAAAGGGAGGTGTTGAGTTGGTGTGTGCACCTTGGGGTGGATCCATGACACATGAAAGAAAGACAATGCACCTTCATGCCCACGCGGAAGCCAATATGAAAGTATTGATGCGAGGCGATCGACTGGACGGCGGAGCTGAGTAGCATGAGCGCGGCCAGCAGCAAGCCGTACCTGTGTGATTGGGTGCGAGGGAAAGGGGCTTAGGAGAAGAGATTGAATGGTCTGGGCTCGCAGGGAAAGCCAAGTATGGTACCACATGGGGTCCTCGTTGTCCTGAATAAAGGCGACGATTGCGCTGAGCAGGAGAGGGCCACCAAAGACGGCGACATCGTTGATGAGCTTGTAGACTCCGGCGAAGGCGAACTGCCACCCAAATGAGGCGAACAGGGCACGAGCCAACGAAGGCCTACACACCACACACACACACACACACACACACGATCAGAAGTGGTCTACAGGGCAAAGCCTTTTCATCTGCCGCACGTACTTCTGCCGCTGCAGCTGTTTGTCCCACGCAGCCTCGTAGGCCGCGGCGATGACGGGGGACTGGTCCTGTGTGTTCGCAGACACCACCCAAAGAGTCAGGGCCTTCGAGGCCAGGGCCAAAGGAGTGTAAGGCCAGAGAGACGGAGAGGGACTGGGGTACCTGCTTGCACAGCTCGTGAAGATCTTCCATGGCGAGCGCATGATCAAACCCGAAATAGAGGAGATCGTCGAACCACCAGAACGTGCTGTGTTGACACGCAAACACGGCCAACAGAACGAAAGTGAGAATTGAGATATCGAACGAATTCCGAGAGTGGGAGGGATACGTACAAGCGCGACAATATGTTGGCAGAGTCCTCGGGGCACGGGCCTCCGCCGTCAATGAACTATGTGGCGCCATCACACGAGTCAGACTGGAGCTTTCAACGCAAAGAGGTGCGTGCAAGAGAGAAGGGAGGGGCACCCTCTCTTCGCCTTTGTGAAGCAGGGACTTGTAGGCCAGCGGCAACTTTTCAGCCTCGTCCTGGGACAGTCGCTCGAACTGAGCCGTAACGGGCACCTAGTGGGTCGATGAAGGAAGTGAGACGAGGTGAACCATCGTGACCGACGTATGCGTTGCAACCACCGCCTGGGACTCATGCGCGCTGTGTGGACAGGGCAATACATGTTTACCTCATGGAACCAGAGACCGAGGATGGAAATGACCGTGTAGAGGCCAAAGTCGACGAAGAACACATTGTAGTCCCACTCCCAGCCATACTGTGGGGACCAAGAACGTGGGAGACGCAGAAGGAGGTGAGAGGGGATATGAGTCAAACAGTGCCAGGCACGGCACGAGGGCTTTGGCAGCTGATAAAGTTGGCTGCATACGTCTTCGATGAGCACCACCACGGTCTGCAGGCGAACAGCGCCGAAGATGAAGGCCAGCAGCCACCACCCACGCAGCACCCAGTTGTTGGGCAATCCGCGCGAGTACTCGACCATGTAGATCGCCGAGGCGTAGATCTGTGTGTGTGTTGTGTGTGTCAAGAACACAAAGCAATGTCAATACACGATCAAACGATCCAATATATGGAGAGAACGCTGTAAGACGTACCCAGCCGGCAGCGATCATGCCATCCGAAAGGAGCTCATAGGGTTCCGCAGAGTCGATAAAGAGAGTGATGAAGGTGCGCGAGACAGCGATTCCCGCCACGGCAAGGCACACGAGGAACTGCACGCTCGCACGAACGCATGCATGACAATGAGGGTCGACCACGGTGCAAGAAGCGAACGAGGGGGAAAGAGAGGAGGTACCTTGGCGACAAAGACCCACGTCGTGGGCAGGTCGAACCGCAGCGGGAAGGAGCGGCGTATCTCGATCAGGCGGTAGGACCCGAACAGAGCGATGAACGCAAAGAACACGCCACCCAGCACCCTGCAGTATTTGTTGTTCACAGTGAAAGTGGAGAGATTTACAGAAATATTTAATCAAGAAATCATATGGTTTTTTGTTTCTTTGTGCTAACGCGTGCGGGGAGCAGTACACGTCTTGGAAGCACAACGTGAGGTTGCCGTCCTCCCAGGGTCCCTGTTTCCCGCACAATAAGTGAAGGTCTTTAGTGCGGAAGGTTGCGGGTTCGATCGTTACAGATTTTTCCCGGAATGATGAATCGAATGATTTATGGGCGCGGGAGTACCCATGGATGCGTGCCGCACAGATCCTCGTCGGCACCCATGTGCAGCAAGGTCGTGAGGCAAGGAGATAGAGCGGGTGCTGCTCGTTTGAACACAAAGCACTCCCTTCCAGCCGGCTGATTGTTGGCACCACTGGTAGGGAGCAAACCGCCGATTGCACGGCATTGGGGCGGGCAAACGCGCTCTGGCTCTAAATGGCCGAATTATTGCTATTCGTCCAGCCGACGGCTGCACAGCTTACCTTCACGCCTTACATCACTCCTCCACAGAGGCCTTGGGCAGGGTGGGATCATAAGAGCAGTGTACAGCCACCCCATGAAGAGGTTGATAGGCCCAGTTTGCTCCTGGCAGAACGCCGGTTGGCGAAACTATGCCAGGAATGCAGCCGCTGGGCAATCGCTGAATGGCACTCTCATTTTCGCTACTTGTGTTCCTGCCCAAACAACGAACAACAACCTTCGCCTCGCCCCCTGTCATTGACGCCGTTGAACTCTCTTGTTGGCTGGGAAAGATCGACACCAGGTGCCCCCTCCTTTCTTCTTGGTGTTCGTTCGCGGCAGTTCCATTCGATCCACTTTTAATTCAATTCAATTCATTTAATCGGTGTTGGGTCCAGAAAATGGGAAACGATGCGTCGAAGCGCAAGCCATTCATTGGGACGACCATCCAACGTATTGGCATCGATGACGTAGCCGAGAGCGTCGCTAAAGCAGAGGAGGCCGCCAAATCAACACCCCAGAAAGTCATCGTGACCCTCTCTACTGGACAAGAGCTCACGAGGAACAACGTATGCGAAATCTTGCAGCAGCTCATTGTCGATCGATCAAAGATGGAAGTAGAAGCGGTGAAGCCGAAGAAAAAGGCCAAAGACAAGGCCAAGCTCGACTACGAGCGCTGCCTGAAGTACCTCGGCAAGGAGCTCGTCTTCATCCTCAAGGACAAGGAGCTGCGGGACACCGTGCTCGACCTCAACCAAGAGGCCTTCGAGGCCCTGCTTAAGAGCGACGAGCTCGTGGTGCCCGACGAGTCCTACGTGCTGCTCATGCTGGGCGCCTGGGCCGAACGGCGCGCCTACAACGAAGAGGAGAAGGACACCACCACGACGCCTCTGAGCGGCGGCGGCGGCCTGCAGCCACCCGTGAACGCCGTGAACATGCGAGGCTCGGATGGACTGTTCCAGGCGCTGGGCGAAGGCGCGGCCAAGCTCCTTGATCCCAAGGGTACGTGAGGTGTCATCAATGATGGTGATGATGGGCGATGGTGGTGCCGTTGCCTTCGGCTCACGCTACTCGCTCGCTGGTGGCGCACTTCAGCGTCGGACTGCGGCACGGCGACAGCTACGACGGAGGAGAAGACGGGGGAGGCGAAGGCGGAAGACGCCGCAGCAGCAGCACCGACGGACGATGCGAAGGAGGCGCCGGGCAGCAGCAGCACCGATGACGGAAGCGCGAAGACGGAAGCGCCGCCGGAGACGGCCCTCAGCAAATCGGAGCAGGAGAAGCTCGAGGTCAACCTTCGCGGTACTGCGGGCCTCTATGCCACCTTTGCCGGAGCCTACGTCAACGTACACTTGCATCTCTTTCTCTGTGTGTGTGTCGTGTGTGTGTGTGTGTGTGTGTGTGTGATTGTCTTAACTCGCAACTTTCGTCTGTCTGCGTGCTGCATCGACTCGTCGTGGTACTAACACTGCTGAGATAACAGATGATTTCCGATGAAGAAATGGCTCGAAAACTACAAAATGAGGAAGAGGAGGAGGACAAGGTGCGAAGGAAGCTGATGGAGGAGGAGGTACGACCCTCTCAGCTTGTTCTTATCGCCGTCTTCACCACCCCCACGACGCTCTCAAGGACGAAGGCTGGTTGGGTCTTTTTAGCTGAGCTCAGCTTTCTTCTCGGTTTTCTTCTCCGCTACCACTACCCCTCCAGGACGAGAAGTTGGCCCGAGCTCTACAGGACGGCGAGATTGCTGACGGCGGCGCGCTGCCCTCCACGGTGGTACCGCCTCTCCTTCCCCTCTACTCTTGAGAATGAAGACATGACATCGTTGTTGCGTGTTTGGACCCCCCCCCGTTGTGTTGTGAGCTCACCCCCCGCGACGCATTGCAACCTCTAGGTCCAGGACCTAGCGGTAGAAGAGGAGGAAGACCTGGAGCCCATTCCCGAATTCAAATTGACGTGCGTTCTTCCTCGACTTCGATTCGATTCGGCGATGACGATGATGATGACTGATGATGTCGTGTGTTGATGTCGTGTGTTGATCTTCCCGTTATCATGTGTTGTGACCCACAGGCCGGAGTACATTGATCGTATCAAGAAACACATGCGACCGTTCGTCGAGCACATCCGGTTCAGCATGCTACCCCTGCCCATCCTCAACACACTCGCCAACGAGATGCTGGTGCCCACCAAATACCTGACCGAGGTGCGGCCCAACCCTTCTACCACCCCCCCACCCCACCAGACCAAATGTGTCCCTGGCGCTGTTGCTGATGCGTCGACACTACTGCTACTACCAATGCTGTCGACAACAGGCCTACAAGTACCACATGCTGGCGTCGGCGAACCTAACGGACCTGATGGAGAAGAACAACACCCGGTACAAGCGGAGGCGGTACATCTGCTCGGTCCTTTGGGACTCTACTTGGTACGGCTGTCAAAGTCTGGCTTCCTTTTCGCGGTATAATATGAGTTGCCTGTGCTGATGGGCGGCGGCGGCGTGGCAGGCACGGCCAACACATCCAGGTCAGTGGCGACGGCAAGGTCGCCAACAAGACCCAGGCCTCGTGGTACAGCATTGCTTGCGCCTCGGAAGGCTTCCAGTACGTCCATGCCTTGTCACACGCACACGCACACGCACACGCACACGCACACGCACACGCACACGCACACGCACACGCACACGCACACGCACACGCACACGCACACGCAACTCTCTCATCTTTGTTGTGGACTAAATCATCGCCGTAGACATGGCAAGCACTTCTGGGCCATCAAGGTGGACGGCGACGAGGCCTACATCGGTGTCACCCAGAAGAGCAACACAGCCTTGGACAATTATTTGGGCGGTACGACCCAAGACACGCCGGGCTTTCCGCCCAATCATTCACGCGACGTGGCGCCACTCACCACTCACCACCGCCTTGCTTGATTGATTGAGAACAGGCAATGCGCAGTCGTGGGCGTTCAGGACGTCGTACAAGTATTCGAACTCGCACGGCAACGGCCACTACGGCGACACGTTCGGGCGGGGCGACGTGATCGGGGTGCTGCTCGACATGGACTTGGGCAACGTGACCTACTTCAAGAACGGGAAGAACCTGGGCCTGTGCTTCACGGGCCTCCCGCGCAACGAGAAGCTCTACCCGGCCGTCGGCTGGCGCGCGGGCCACATGACCCTCGTCGACATCGACCCGGCGGCCTACCCCGGCGAGTTCATCTCCACCCTCATCGGCTGAGCTCCGAACAACATCAACAATGCCAAAGGGAATATAAAATAATATTTTAAATAATTATTTAAATGTGAATTTGTGTCGACGATCTTAGTTACGTGCAAGCCTAACGCAGCTGAAGAAGACGGCAGCTCATGAAGGTACCACCTTACCCCTGGGGTGTGGCCCGTGGGGCACGCCACGAACAGCAAGATATATATATATGTATGTATTATTGGATTGTCACTTATTTATTTGCCTTTATAATAGCGCACGACAAAGGGAAGTGCCACTGGCGACGGGGCGGGTGCGGCAGAGGACAAACAACGCGTACCCCCCCCCAACCAATGTTTCATCTGCTTTTGTTATTTTATTATTGTTATTATTTACAATAATAAAAATATATAATGGTGCAGCACCGGCGCACACCGTCGATGGACGAGATGATGTCGTCCTACGTGCTGCAGCCGAACACGTTCCTCTACGCGTCGTTCGGCCTTCTTCTGGTGCAGGGATTCCTCTTCTCGTTCGAGTGCCTGTGGCGAACGCTCACCGGTACGACGCCCCGCGCGCAGTGATCCCTGCTACACCGTCGCACACACGCGCGCGTGTGTCGTTCTCGTGTGCTGACGTACGGCCTGACTTCCACGGCGCACACGGACACCGACCAGCCGACTATTCCAGGCCGGCCTACGCGGATCACGACCACCACCTTTGCCACGTTTGCCTCCTTCGCCCGCACGGCCTCGCTCGCTGTATCGCTCACACGCACGCGCACACATCGCCACATCGCCACATCGCCACATCGCCACATCGCTACACGCACACGCACACGCACACGCACACGCACCTGTGTTGTTTTTGTTGTGTTCCGAATCGCAGGTGTTCGTGGTGGTGCTCTCGCTGTTCGCCTTCTGGTATTTCACCACGGTGATCCTGCTCGTCCGTAACTTCGAGGCCATGAAGCAGACGTGGGCGCTCAACCTCATCGGTACCTCACCCCTTTTTCTCATTCGTTAATTTTGGAATAAACAAAAATAATATTAATTTTGTTTAATAATATTTCTTTCTATATATTTATATGTATCTTTTTTGTATATTAAACTGTTTTGTTGTAATTTGATGTCTATGCGGCTTTGCCTCTGCCCATCGATGCTGGCCCTTGGCGGCTGTTGGTGCCGTTTTGCGACCACTGGTGCTGGCGCTGGTGCTCATTGCGTCAGGCGTGCCCACAGCGCTGGTTACTGTGGCCGAATGTGCCACTTTCGCTTACCTGTGGTGGACCTACGACGAACACCGCGAACAACCATTCGTCAATGCCATGTCTTTTGGCTCAGGTACGCACACAGCACACAGCACACAGCACACAGCACACAGCACACAGCACACAGCACACAGCACACAGCACACAGCACTAAAGTCTCTCATTTTCCTACACTCCAGGCGTGTTCCTGATCGGCATCGCGTGGTGGGGCCTCACGCTTGCCCATGTGCCTCTGCGGCAGGGCAAAGAGTTCGCCTGGAATTGGTACGCGCGCGTGTACCCCACTTTGCATTCCTTCTCCCTTCAAGTGTTGAGTGTGCTGTGGCGTGGGCGTGGGCGTGTCCCCCTCACATCGTTCAGGCTCGCCATCTACGGTGTGTTCCTGGTGGCTTATGTGGCGATCTGCTATTACAACAACCTGGTCGTGCCCACGTTCATCGGCGGTACGTCATCGCCTCCTTTTTCCGTCTTCTTCAGCGCGTGCCCGGTCTGACGGCTGATGGCAGCAGGCTTGGTGACGGTGCCGTATGGCTTCGGCATGTATGAGAGCAAGCAGCAGCTCGATGCCAAGAAGCTCAGATAGAACGCAGCGGCAGCAGCTGACCAACACAGTGTTGAGCGCTGAATGTTGTATTTTGGTGATAGCGTGTAGTCGGTGCATAGTTCCATTATAAATTATTTTAATAGTAATTGGTGATTTTAATTCTCTCTTTTGTCAAATAAATAAATAAGAGGTGTAGCATCGCTACACCACCACTTCGTCCTTAACTATGAGTGGGAAGTGGAGCCGGCTGAGGTCTGCTGCTGCTGGGGCTCAGAGTCGTCGGCGGGGGAGGTGGACGGGGCGGCGGTCGAGCGGATCTCGCGGTGGAGGAGCTCCCGCCAGAAGAGGCTGCCCTGGCCCACGCTCCGCTTCCGGGAGTGCGCCTTGACCCGACCCGACCCTCCACCACCACCGGCGGCGGCGGACTGCGTCGACGTCGCCGTCGCTCCGTCGCTGCCGCCCAGGTCGCTCGAGTGGCGGAAGAAACTCTTCATCGCGTAGCTCCCGCTGCCTTTTCTCGCCGGTGATGGTGGCGATGATGAAGAAGACGAGGAGGAGGAAGACGTGGAGGAATAGGAGGAGGAGGATGGTGAGATGGTAGAGCAAGAAGAAGAGGATGAAGAGAGCGGGACGGGTGGGGAGGTGAGCGGTGTGATGGACGAGGAGGAGCTGAAGGGCGCGGAGCGCGACTGGGCGGTGAAGAAGGGCCGGCGCCATCGCGGCAGCGACGACGACTGGTCCTTGGTCGCGGTGGTCGATGACGGGCCGGCGCCCTCCCTGGCCTTGGGCGCCGGCTGCGACGACGACAACCACGACGATGAGGCCTTGCTGCCGCCCTTGTGGTGGTGCGCGACGGCGCTGCCGTCGTCGCTGTCGGCCATGCCGCCGCCGCCGCCGGCGAGCTCGCGCAGCTCTGAATGGAGGCGCTCGCGGATCTGCCGGGCGCGCAGCTTCTTCTCGCTCTCGCGCCGCTCCTCGAGCTCGCGGTGGAGGCTGTGCTTGAACTCCTTGACCTTGGCCTGCTCGTTGCGCTCGCCCTTCTCTCTGAGCTCCCGGTGCAGCTGCTGCGTCAGGTCCTTGTGCTTCCGCACCGTGCCGCCACCACCCGGGTGGTGGCCGCTTTCTCCGGCCACCGGCGGCGGCGGCCCAACAACACCGGCGTCGCTCGCCTCGGTCGGCACCGTCGACGAGCTGCTGACGTGGATGGCCGAGCCCGATGACAATGGCGCGCGAATGGTGCTGCCGCCGCCGCCGCCGCCGATGTGGCTGTTGTTGTTGATGGTGTCGACCTTGGCGCCTCGCCGCGGGTGCACGTCGAGCTTGGTGGACTTGGTCTCGTGGTCCGCTACGGCAGCCGCCACAACGCCCGAGCTGCCGCCAGCGGTCGGCTGTGCAGGGCCGGCGGCTCCTCCGTTGTCATCGCGCAGGTTGGCCAGCGAGGAGGGCGGCGCAATGTAGCAGCCGGTCCCTCGGCGCGGCCGCACGCCCGAACCCGACGACGAGGCCATCATCGAGGAGCCCACCGTAGACGACGACGACGATGACAATGATGACGTCATCGACGAGTCGGCGTGCGGCCCGGAAGCCGTCGCCGCGTGTTGCTCGATGGTGTCTGGGCCGGACCCCTCCATGACGGCAAAGACCTTGCCGTAGGTGGTCGACAGCCGCAGCGAGGACCGCTTCCGCGTGATGGCGGGCTTGCCGTCGCGCTCGGCCTTGGAGGTGCTCCGCTGCTTCGAAGGAGGAGCGTGATGGTGGCCGATGGACGTCGCGACGTCCCTCTTCCGCTCCTTCTCCTCCTTCTTCTCCTTCTCCTTCTCTCTATGCTTCTTTTCCCTCTTCTTTTCCTTCTTCGGCTGCTTTTCCTCCTTGTGCGACCTCTTTCTGTCGACACTCCCGCTGCTCCGCTTGCCCTTCTTCGCCGGCGCCTTGGCCGAGGAGTGCGTCGCGGCCCCCGGGTCGCTGATGCTGCTGCCGGCCGGCGACCCCGCCGACGCCCCGCCGACGGTGTCGTCATCGGTCGCCGCCGTCATCGCAAAGTCGTCCGTCGTCGCCGCAAAGTCGTCGTCATCAAAGGCCTCCTCGGTGGCCTCGTCGCCGTCGCTCCGCACGCTGATGCAGTCGCTCCCCACCTCGCTCAGGTCGGCCGCCGACAGGCCACCCTCGGTGCGTTGGCTCAGCTCGTCGTCGTCGTCGAACGACTGGGTCTCGTCGTCGTCTTCCAGGCTCTCCGAGTCGCTCTCCCCCGGCTTGGAGGAGCAGGTGGTGATGGTGTCGTCGTCTTCGGTGTAGTCATCTTCGTCCCACGAATCGCTGGCGCGGTGGAGCGGGTTTTCAAAATCGAGCGAGCCGCCGGCGCCACCGCCGGCGCCAGCACCGCCGCTGCCCCATCGCGGCAGCCAGTGCTTGCCGCCCTTGCCGCGCGAGTTGGTCAGCACGATCGGCATGCGCGGAGACAACGGCACCTGTGTCGTTGGTCGTTGGTCGTGTCAACGAACAGAAACAACACGAGTAAGCACGAGGGAGGCGTACAGGCTTGGGCGATGCCTTTGGTCGCGGGAGCTTGTAGATGTTGGCCACCACCCGGCCGTGGTTCGGCGGCAGTTTCGGCACAACCTTCACCTGCCGGGGTGTGCTTTGGCTTTGGCTTTCGGCACGCGCCCGCGCTGCGTATGTTTCGTAGTCCACGCGTCAGCACTTGTCCGACAGCCATTTAAAATAAATAATAAAAAATAATAAAAAATAACCTAAACCCAGACGAGGGTACCCGTGAGAGAACCGGCGCTCTCTGAATCGCCCGCCGCTACGGACTTGGACCTCATGCGCGGAGTGATCTGCTCGGACTCGCGCACAAGCTCGGCCGATTTTCTGTTGGGCCGGTCACCAGTACCACCATATCAGCACCAGCGCTTCGCGAAGGCTCGCCGGGCCTCGGTCGAGGTTTGGTCTGGAGACTGAACGCACCGACTTCGGGGGGAGTTGAGCGCGGCGTAGGGTCCGCTCGTGTCGGGGGTGAGATAGAGGCTGAAGTAGCGCCTGCCCCCGCCGCCCGTGGGCGGTTCGCCTCGGCCCGCCGCCAGCCGCTCCACTTGCCTGGCATCGCACACGTCACACACACACACGACGAAACGTTGGTGTGAGCCCAGATCGTCGGGCCACACTGTTACGGGGGTCGTTAGTTACGTACATGTAGAGTTCGTCTCGCGGCGTGGAGGCGTCGCCCGCCGCGGGGTCGAATTCCTCGGAGGAGTTGAAGAGCGAGAAGTCCGAGTCGGACTTGGACAGCGGACTGCTCAGCGATCCCTCGCGCAGGCGCGGCTCCTTCGCGATGCCCGTGGGACCCGCCGGCTCGGCTTTGAACGAAAATTTTCTGTGAAGAGACAAAAATTGTTCAACATCTCGAAATAGAAAGGGATCGCATGGCTTGGGGAGTCTGGCTTACCGAAGGATGTCCTCGTCCATCGGGCGAACGCTCTTGAGGTAGTTGAGCACGTTGTAGTCCGTGAGCAGGTTGTAGGGAACCCTCTGGTACCGCAGCAGCTCGCGAACCTGACAACCCAACAGATCTGGGGACATACACACACACACACACACACACACAACACACAGGCAGCAGACGTGTTCGCGTGAGTGTCAGTGTCAGGGCAGTTGAGCAATGAGAGAATTGGGCGAACAGATGTGCATACCCATGATCTCAAAGTTGATCTTGCCGGGCGATATGTATTCGCGGTTGCCATCGTATATGAACGTCACGTCACGCAATGTCGGCGCTGCATTGGGGGAAAGGGGAGGTGAGCGTTTAGAAATGGAGGGCAAAGAGCAAAGCCGCAGGGTGGCGGGGGGAGCTATGGGCCAATACCAAAATAGGGGATGGCAGGAAAGTCGACCTGGCGCACTTCCTCCCTGTAGAGCTTGAAGTTCTGCGAGGGGTTCATGAGCTTGTCGAGGTCGTCGAACCGTGCCAGATACTGCGACGGAAGCATCTGTTGGCGGCCGCCGGCACGAAAGGATGCGTCAGCCACAGCCACAGCCACAGCCACAGCCACAGCCACAGCCACAGCCACAGCCACAGCCACAGCCACAGCCACAGCCACAGCCACAGCCACAGCCACAGCCACAGCCACCCATCACCACGTACATTCCACAGCCCCTTGAGGCGCTGGACGGAGGAGTTGTTCAGACCAGCAACGACCTCCATCACAGAATTAAAATTGTTGAGCGCTCGCAGTTTCTGTTTGGCGGTGGACAAGAAAAATAAGAAGAAGGTGAGCGTGTATCCGGCAAGGCCAACGCCACAATGGAAGCGTACCTGAGCTGACTTGATGAATTTCTTCAGTATGTCGACCCTCTGCTTGGGCGTGGGCGCCGTCACCACCTCGGTCGCCACCCAAAAGCTCACCTGACGGAGCACCCAGTCAGCACAATCGACACGACACGACACGACACGACACGACCAACGACACGACACGACCAGAGAAAAAGAAAGACTGCACACTACGCGTTTATACCTGATTGAAGCGCTGCGTGAGGGAGGAGATGTTGGGCGCCAACGTTTCTCGTTCCGGCTTCTGCCAGTTCATATGAAACAGCTCCTCCGGCCGCACCTTCTCAAAGCAGGCTGCGTGCGCACAATAAAGAAGCCGAAGAATGGTGAGGCGATTCTTACGGGGGGGGAGGGGGAATACGAGTGGGTCCGCTGATGGAACACGTACCGAACTCAATGGCGGTGAGATTGATGGCAATCTCGCTGGGCGAGAGATCCTCTATGTACACCGTCCGTTGCGGGCCAGACTGGCCTGCTGGGAGGAGGGCGATCGGGTTAGCGCCGGCGGCGCATGGACAAGTCGTTCGCGAGGCCACGAGCGTCGTTTAAATGGGGGGAAGAGGGAACTCTCTCAACAGCGCTGTACCTGCACTCCGCGGTGTCGGGGACCGGAAGCCCGAGGGCGAGAGAGGCCCGCGTGGCTTCGCAGGAGCCCCGATACTCAGCATGGGGATGCTCTTTATGCCGCTAGACTTGCGCGAATGACTCGAGCCTGAAAGGAACAAAAATTTGAATTGCCACCCAGACAAGACGTAAATCAAATGAAATTAAGGTACAGCACACGACACGACACAACACGACACGCAACACACATCACACGATCATGAGACAAAAAAATACCGGCGCCTGATTCGTTCTGTACATCGGGTGGGTGAGGGGCGGCCAGTGCACTCGGTTTCTGATCAGAAAGGTCAAGCTGTGAGTTCAGTTGCCGTAGCACTGCCAACACCTGAGAGGATCGAAGCTATGGAGGAGGAGGAGGAAGGGGGGGCTCACCTTCACGAACGCCAGCTTGAGCTTGTTGGCCTCCTCCCGCGGCAGATTCTTGTTGATGAAATCCACAAGCTCGTAAAATGCAGGCTTGTCCCTGTGTGAACGGCCAACGGTGCGGTGAGTAGTTGGTAAGGAGACCATCACGAACGTGATATGAACAATAATGGAGGGCCGTGGGGCGTGGGTGGTGTGTCGTACTTGAAGTCCTGGTCAAAGAAGTGGTCGACCCAGTAGCGCATGAAGAGGACCATCCGGTGGTTGAACTCGCGGCTGTAGTCGTCACTGTCCGCCGCGTAGGTTGTGTACATGCCCATCCACATCTTGAGCAGCTGCAAGGGCGGCGCGAAGATGCGATAGGTGCTCAAGTAGCTCCACATCATGTCTGCTCTCGTCGTGAACAGTCAACGCAAAGACACGAAGCGCGTTGTGAGCGTTGCTGCCAGTGAGCGGGAAGCGAGCTTCAAGTAGTCTCACAGCGATGTTGTGGTGTGGAGTGGTGAGCGCGAAAGGGGTGGATAGCGAGAGAGGAGCTAAGGGACCAGGTCGCGCGGGCAGTAGCACGGAGCAAGAGTGGGGCAGGGCAGGGCATTACACATACCTTCCTCGCCTGTGGAGACGACCCACTCGAGCAGCTCCAGCAGCGTGCCGCCCTTTCGCTGGCCCGTGACTCGTACACGCTCCTTGCGATCCGCCACTGCGGTGGAGCAGCCTGTTGGATTGGGGGGGGGGTGATTGATGGAGGAGTATGAGATGTGGCGCCTTCGATTTGACCAACGTCGTTGGAAATATATTACCATTTGTATTGGAGAGCGATGGCGATTCCCCGGCTAATGGTTCCTCCTCCATCGTTATGCGATCGTGTACTCCTCACCACCGCAGCCCGGGCGCACGCAATCAACGGTGATTGGCCTCCACAAGAGGTCCCAGCCTAATAATCGATGTCGTTGTTGATGTAGCGTGTTGGCGAGAGTACGGCGGCCAGGCTACGGAACTCTCGCCTCGGTCCCTTCTCCTAATCCCAACCCATCCCACGCGCTTTGGGAGCTCTTATCCCTCATCTTTCCTTTGCCGTCCAGGCCATTCCTCTTCTTGTGTGGTGGCGTGGTCCTGGAAAGGAAATCAAAATTCCTTCCTTTTCTAATTATTCAATTTTTGTATTTTTGTATTTTTATTTGTTTTACACGCCACAAAGATGGTGAACGGCGTCAAGTGGTTGAAGAAGAAGAAGGAGGACGAGGGAAGGCCTCTCTGTCTTTGTTCGTTCTTCACTGGAGCTTCTCGTTGACAAAGGACCGCGCGAGGGAGAGGGCGTCGGCGATCTTGGTCAGGTCGGAGCCCGAGCCCTGGGCAGTCTGGGGCTTGCCGCCGCCCTTGCCGCCGAGCAGGCCCGCCACGGCGCCGGCCCACTCGTTGGCCTTGAGGCCCGCCGCGACGAGGTCGTCCGAGACCTGCGTCACCACCGTGACCTTGCCCTTGCCCTTGACCTCCTCGGCGCTGAGAAGGAGGACGGCGAGGTGCGGGTGCTTGGCGCGGATGGCCTTGATGGCGTTGGTGAGGGCGATGACGTTGGAGCCGACGTCGAGGTGGCCGATGTGGGCCTTGTCGGTGGTGGCCTCACCGAGGGCGGCGAGGACCTGCTCGGCGTACTGCTGGGCGGCCTCGAGCTGCTCGGCCTTGGAGTTCTTGGAGGCGGCAAAGGCGCTGCCGCGGAGCTTGTCGAGGAGGGCGCGGGACTGGACCTGGCGGGCGGCGGGGATGGGCTGCTCGGCGTCGTTGATGGCCTTGTCGAGTCGCTTGATCTCCTCCTCGAGGTCGGCGCCCTTGAGCGCGGCGGCGGCCTCGATCTTGCGCTGGAGCTCGTCGGCGCGGGCGACGGCCTGGCGGGCAGCGTCACCGGTGAAGGCGACGACTCGTCGGATGCCACGGGCGAGGGCCTCCTCGCTGATGACGGCGAAGCTGACGGCCTCGGAGGTGCGGGCCAGGTGGGTACCACCGCAGAGCTCGATGGCGTACTTCTTCCACTCGGGGTTGGAGGGCGCCGCGAGAAGCTCGTCGACGGTGGGGCCGGCGACGACCACGCGCACGGGATCGGGGTAGGTCTCGCCGAAGACGGCCCTGATGCCGTTGATCGAGAGGGCGTCCTTGAGGGGAACCTCCTTGGCGTCGACGGGAAGGTCCTGGGCGATCTGCCCGAGCACGGCCTTGTCGACGGCGGCCAGCTGGTCACCGGAGACGGGCTTGTTGTGCGAGAAATCGAAACGCAGACGCTCGGGCTGCACGATGGATCCCCTCTGCTCGACGTGGGCACCGAGCACCTCACGCAGGGCGTGGTTGACCAGATGCGTGGTGGTGTGGTTGGATTTGAGGCTGTGTCGGCGGGAAGCGTCGACCGAAAGGCGAACGGCGTCGCCAACGCGGAGAGTGCCCTGGACGGCGCCCATGTGGACGACAAAGCCGCCGTAGGTCTGCACATCCTCCACGGTCTGTTGGCCAGTGCTGGTCTTGAGCACACCGTTGTCGGCGACCTGGCCACCGGACTCGGCATAGAAGTTGGTGCGGTCGAGCACTACGCCCGCAGCAGCGTCGGTGACAGAGTCGGCAAACTCTTTGCCGGTCCAGATGGCGCGCACGGTGGCGTCCACGTCGCTATCGATGTACTTGGCCGCGTCGTCGGTGGGCACGACGGGGACGCCCTGGAGGTGGGCCACAGCGTGGGTGCCGAGGGCCAGGGCGGCCTTCTGCATGGCGGTGACAGCGCCCGTGGGCTGCGCAGTCTTCGCGGCCTTGAACCCGGCCTTGTCGACCTTGAGGCCCTTCTCCTCGGCCATGAGAGTGGTGAGGTCAAGCGGGAAACCGTAGGTGCCGTAGAGACGGAAGGCGACCTCGCCGCTGATGGTGTCGCCGCGTTGCATCTTCTCGGTGGCCTTGGCGAACTTCTTGAGGCCCTTGGCCAGAGTCTTGGTGAAGGCGACCTCCTCCTCCATGATGGTCTGCGTGAGGTGGGCGGGGTCGCGGCGCAGCTCGGGGAACGCGTCGCCCAGGCTCTCGAGCACGACGGGCACGAGCTTGTGGAAGAAGCCGTCCTCGGCGCCGAGGATCTGCTTGCCGTATCGCACGGCCCTGCGCAGGATGCGGCGCACGACGTAGTTACGGCCCACGGCACCAGGCACGGCACCGTCGTTGATCGCGAAGGAGAGCGTGCGGATGTGATCGGCCACGACGCGGTAGGCCATGTCGCGAGTGTCGACGTCGTCGGCGCCCACGCGGCCGCCGTAGGGCTGCGCGCCGGTAATCTCTTGGATGCGGGCGAAGATGGGGGTGAACACATCGGTGTCGTAGTTGCTGAGCTTCTTCTGCAGGATGGAGGTGATTCGCTCGAGGCCCATGCCCGTGTCGACGTGGCGCGCGGGCAGGGCCTTCAGCTTGCCGTCGTCCTCGCGATTGAACTGGATGAAGACCAGATTCCAAATCTCGATGACGGTGGGATCGTCGGCATTCACGAGGCTGGCGGCGTCGCGACCACCGAGGCGATCGAAATGAATCTCCGAGCACGGGCCGCACGGACCCGTGGCGCCCATTTCCCAGAAGTTCTCCTTGCGGCCGTAGGGCAGGACACGCTCGGCCGGCAGGAACTTGAGCCAGATGGCACGCGCCTCTTCGTCGGCTGCGAGTCCATCCTCCTCGTCGCCCCTGAAGTAGGTGGCGTAGAGACGCTCAGCGGGCAGGCCGTACACGTTGGTGAGCAGATCCCAAGCCCACGAGATGGCCTCCTCCTTGAAGTAGTCGCCGAACGACCAATTGCCCAGCATCTCGAAGAAGGTGTGGTGATAGGTGTCCTTGCCCACGTCCTCGAGATCGTTGTGCTTGCCTCCAGCACGGATGCACTTCTGGCTGTTAGCCGCCCTCTTCCAGGTGGCCTGCTCGCTCTTCGGATCGACCTGGCCGAGGAAGATGGGCTTGAACTGGTTCATGCCTGCATTCGCGAACAGCAGGGTCGGGTCATCGTGCGGCACGACCGACGATGATCGCACGTGGAGATGCTGCTGCTTCTCGACGAAGTAGTCGACGAAGGTCTGCCTCACCCTCGACACGGGCCACTCGATCGAGGCATCGCTAATTGGCGATTCCATTTTTTTTTGATGTTTCTGTACTCACTCGAAAAGAGAGTTGTGAGGTTTGGAGTGTCGCTTCTTCTGGTGAAGTGAAGCCGACGCGAATCGAAGATGACAGATGAGGAATGCACGAATCAACGCAAACACACAAACACCAAATAAAAAGAGACGACAAGAAGCCACAACCCTTCCCACCATTCCAGGTTTTTTCGCAGGACCGATTCTCCGCTTGTCCGTTTTCGCTGTCAGTTTCGTTACAGCTCAAACTATTGCGAAACAGCTTTCGGAATTTTGGCAACTGTCAAGTGACGCACAATGTCCCTTCGTGGACGGCCGTAGGGTAGACCGCCAACCTAATGGGTAATGGGTCACATGATGGCATGCCTAGGCGTGTCGATTTCTAGGGAAGGAGAGTGGGTTTGGTCACGGCTTTACCTGTCCCCGTCCGAGCTCGGCCCTCCTCCTTCAGAGCCTCCGCCCCCTGCGCCCACCATCGAGCCCGAGAGCGTGAGCAACAAACAGAGCCCAACACAGGAAACGTTCATCAGCTGAGATGAGAGCATCGGTCAGGACGGCAAGGCCTTCTTCATCACGCCACGAGAATTGATTTGGAGAAAGAGATAGTAAGGCCTGTATGATGGCATGTTGTAGCAATGAAGACTTGTAGTTGAATTGAAATGTAGTCACCTTCATTGTATATGTTGGTGCGCTGAACCACACAGATGTGTGACTATGTATACATCAGAGAGAGAGAGAGAGAGAGAGAGAGGAGTCGCTTCGAGGTGCGCCAGTAGGTGGCTCGGTGGGTATGTACACTGAGTATTCGCCACTGCGGCAGACACGAGAAGGAGGGTAGGATGACCGGAGAGATACATCGATACATGCATCGTCGTCGCACCACACGGGAGCCGTTGTGCCGTCAACCAGCGGCATCGCCGTGTGTATGTGCAGCAGTCAGAGGTGGTGAGAGATGGAGGTGGATAGCGAAGGGGTAGATGATTGGATGGCATCGTGGCTGCTGCTCTTCAGGCGTTGAGGACGAGCGAGAGCGGCAGTCGGCACTTTTCTCGCTTGTCGGCTTCCCGCAGGTACTTGGCGTACTGCAGCCCGCACGCGTTGCACAGCGTCTTCGGGCCGGCCGGACCCCGTCGCCACTCGGGCGTGTCGGTCTCGCCACAGTGGAAGCAGCGGAGATTGCCCGGCTCGGGCTTGGCCTTGACGCGACGCGCTCGCTTCTGTCGCTTGGCCGAGCTCTGCTGGCCGTCCGAGTTGCACTCGCTCTCGTCGCCCTTTTCGTCGCACTCGTGCTTGACCACCATCGATGCGTTGTCGTTGGACTCGTCGTCGACTTGCTCGGTCTTTCGCTTCTTGAGCAGAACCGGGGCCGACGAGCAGGACTGGCGTTGCTGAGTCGCCGCTGGTTGGACGGAGGAGTTGAAGGTGTGGAAGAGGCTGAGCAGCTGCTGGAGCAGAGGGAACAGCGCCGGCGTCGATGATGACGAGGTCTCGGGCGCCGTGGCCGTCACCGTCGCGATCGATGTCAGGTCACGCAAACGATCGCTGCAGTCCTTGATCTGTTGGTCAGAACATGAACATGGAGGTCATCAGTTCATGACTCCATCAACTTTCGTAACGCCAAAAAAACAATAAAAACGAATTTCCGCGGTAGGCCGATCTCCGAACGTAACCGAAGGAAATTCAAAAGAAAAGAAACCTGAGAAAGAGACGTGACCCAAGTTGTAGAAGATGCTCGCGGAAGGAGAAAAAGGGAAAGAGATGAGGTAAGGGAAGAAGAAGCTGGTGGGTACCTGAGCCCAGATGTGTTGAAAGGCCTTGGGGTCGGGGTGGGCGGTGGTGGAGGGAAGTGCACAGAGAGCGGCTGCCGCCTCGTCCTCATCGGCCACCATCATCTTGACGTGGTGGTGCTGTTGCTGGGCCTCGTTGGTGTGGAGGAAAGTATGGGGCGAGAACACCAGCCCGGCGTGCTGTGCAGACATGGTCATGTTCTTCTAGTAGTGCTGTGTCGCGGTCGGAATCCTACGAAAGACGAAGGGAGGGCGGTGTTGCTTGGTGGAAAGGAAGTTGTGTAGTGTGCTCTCGTCTGGGTTGGGGCTTTTGTAGGGCCAGCGATGGTGTGGCGATGTGCGAGCAAAAGAGTGACTGGGTCACCCAGCCCCGCCCACCAAGTCTGACGAAGAGGACCATGTCCCGCCCAGCCCAGCCCATCCCAACGCATCGGCCACGCAGGTTCATCCGGCATCATCGCTTTGGCGGTTGGGCTCACCTTTCGTTTGCCCAACAGGAATTCTTACAGGCGACTGTCGACGTTCCCAAACGACGAAAAGTGCGACAGGTGCGGCGGCTAGAGGGCGTGGAGCACCGAACGGAGCGTAGGAAAGGCCGTCGACAACCTTAATCCGTGCACATCACCTCATTTTCCGTCGGTTTGTTGCCCATTGGCAGGATCTAGGTTTGGCGGACCTCTGAGAGGTCGGATCGCAGACACCGGCCGAAGTTCCCACGGTCCTTCTCCATCCGACCAAACTCCTCGTGGCGATGGCCTGGGATGCGCGGGGTACCCCGAGTTCTGGGACCGGGAATCTGTGCCTATGTTAGGATTGTCGTCGTCCGTCAGGACCTTGCCTTCGCCACAAAAAAGAGAGAAAGCGAAGCCGAAGCTTCACCTACCACAACAACTTCGTGTGCCAATTCACGCTCGCGAGGAGAGGCCGTCGGTGAGAAAGTGTGATTGTTATTTTCGTAATTGTGGTCCACACGAAGAAGGCACGGCACGTAGGAGAGTAGAAAGTCCCAAACCCGCGAGTTGGTGTTTGTCCCCCGCAAAACTACCCGTCCGTCACGCGCGTGTCTCCCACTCTTCCGCCAAGCGCCATCTTATCCGGCCGTACAGAACCACCACCGTTTACCGGCGAAGCGTGGCAGCCGGAGAAACGGGCGCTTGGGCTGCCGCGTCGTAGAAGGGAGGCTCTAGTTTCGGCCCCTGCCGCCACGTCCGCCACGTCCGCCTCGACCACCGCGTCCCCTGCCGCCACGTCCACCACGTCCGCCACCACGGCCGCCGCGGCTGGCCTTTCGGTCGCCCTCCTGCATCACCTTGTCGATGTACTCCATCTCCTCATCACCTGCAGGCGGCATCAACGTTTTGGTGAGACATTCTGACCGCGTCATCGGAAGGTGGAGGAATCGCAGGGCTTACCCTCAAGAAGTCGGACGTTGGTGAACTTGACGCCCTTGACCTCCTTGGGGTTGGCAGTAAGCTCGGCAAGAGCCTACAGGTGCGACACAATGATCGGTGAGCGAGCGTAAACATAGAACCAGGCGCAGGCGTGCCAAGGGGCAAGTGCCAGAGGGTGGAGGTGGAGGTGAACCTTCTGGGCGGGCTCGGGAGAAGTCATGCGAACCCACGCGTTCTTGGCAGCAAAGTCGACGAACCTGATGTTCTCGGTGGAGACGATCTCCTCGAAGAGGGCCTTGACGTCCCACTTGTTGAAGTCGGAGCTGAACTCCTGTCCCTCCTCGCCGGTAAAGGTGACGTGGAGCACGGTGCCCTTCATGCGCTCGATCCTCTCCTCCTTGGCCTTCTTCCTCTCCTCGGCCGCCTCCGCCTCCTGCTGAAGCTCCTCCTCCGTCTTCTCGCGCTTGTCACGCTTCTCCTTGTGATCCCTCGCGGCCTTCTCCTTGTGCTCCTTCTTGGGTGTGATGCTGATCTCGCGACCATCGAGGTCCAGCTTCGCGGCGGCGGCCGCAGCCTTGGAACCCTCCTCCGTCTCGAACTCGACGCAGGCCTCGCCCTTGGCCTTCTTGGTCTCGCGCTCCCTGAAGATGATGATGCGAGCAACGGCGCCGAACTGGGAGAAGACGGCCTCGACAGAGTCGATGGTGGCGTCCTCCGGGAGTCCCTTCTGCAGTTGGCCGGAGAGGCAAAGAGATACGAAAGCACGCGTGAGTATGTACATTGGCAGCACACGTGCGTGCGCACACACGTGTCGCGTGAGTGCGAGTCGGCGCACAGGGTGAGCACGTACCACAAAAACGGTCTTCAGGTGCGAGTTGTCCACGGCAGGCAGAGGCTGAGACCGCTTCACGAGCAGTCCGTCCTCCGACACCTTGATGGGATGGGAAATCGTAAAAAGAAGATCAATCGTGATGGCTTGTGAGCCGACCAACAATCAATCCCACATCACACAACGCCAACTCCTCGTACCGTCAGACGGTCGGAGCTGCGCATGAGCTCGACTACGACATTCAAGTCGGTGGTCATGGCCTGAAGACGGGGGAAGGCAGCGATCTTGGCGATCTCAATGACTATGGAGTTCCAGAAACCATGGAAGATCGTAAGATGGAACGAAATGAGATTAATTTGATGGTGAAAATCATTGAAATGTTGTGAAATTGGCACGTACAGCCCTCAGGGTTCTTGGCCGCTTCCTCCTGAAGCCACTTGTCGCGACGGTAGTTGCTGTCGGAGAAGTAGTACTCAATCTGCTTCTTGATCTTCGCGGGCGTGATCTCTTCGGTCTCGACCTTGGCCTTCTTCGCGCTGGGCTCCCCAGTCGCCTCGACCTTCGGGGCCTCCGCCGCCGTCTCGTCGATCTTCCTCTTCTGGCTTTCGTTGGGCTGTTCCATTCTGATATGAACTTTGTGTCGTGGGAGAGTCCTTGATTCGAAGGAGAAAGATGATTACGGGCGAAGCGGGCAATGTGCGATCGATCTTCAACGGCAAGAAGAACAAAAGACGGAAAAAAAATGCCACAACCACTAAACCAGGAAAATGTTCAGAATGTAGAGGGAAATGTCGAAAAGAAATTCAAAAAGAAAATGGATTGTTGTTTGGCCATCAGGCCTTCTTCCTCTCCTTGGCCACCGTCTTGTACGCCTTCTTCAACTCCTTGACCTGCATTGATCGGGAAGGCAGGCATCAGCACGCACGGAAGGACATAATGGGATGGTGGTGGCACTACCTTCTTCTTGCTGTCGCCCTTGAACTCGTAGAGTTCCTTCTCGGGGAGGCGTGGCAGAACCTTGAGCATCCATTGGAGCTCCTCGGTGGTACCTTCGCCCTTGGTGCCCTCCCCCGCGGCGATGGACTCGATCATGGCCTCACTGTACGACACCTCAAAGCACCGCTTGAGCACGCTCAGGGTCTCGTAGATCATCGTCATCTTCTCAAAGTGGATCAGCTTCTCCTCCGTCCCGCTGGCCGCACCCGCTTCTATCGTCACAGCTGGGCCTGTCGATCGACGCAACACTAGTGAGCGAAGAGAACAGCGCCAATCTGAAGAAAACGAAGGTAGGAGGAAGGCGTACTGTCCTTGATATCGATGTTGTTGTCGTTCTCCTCGATCATCGTGAGATCTGACAGGATCATCGATAGCAAGGGAATAGCCGGAGCCGCCACCGTACGGCTGTATGACGAACAAGGGGAGTGGGAAACGTTAGCGGCCGACCAAGCTCATGACGTGGTCCCGGGCGTACATGACGTTACGGTAGTTTCTGAAGTTGTTCTCGCTTGCGAAGAACACCTGCAAGTCGGCATATATCTGTTGCGACCTCTTTGGGAGTGCTTTCCATTCGTCCTTCAGGCGCTGCACGGGGCTCATGTTGAGGGCCGAGAAGATCTGCATCGCCGATTGATAGTTCTGCAGCTTGAGGCACGAGTCCGCCACCGCAATGAACAGCGCCAACATGGGACTCCTGTTGTGTGGTAGGCGTTAAGGGTTGGTCTGTCGGTCTCTCACTCACCCACATGGACGAGTTGCTTAGAGTCGAGTCACGCACGGACCTTTTCTTCGTGGAATGGCCGTGCGTGAGGATTGACGTCACAGCCCAGAAGCTCACGGCGTTAAATCGTTCGATCAACTTGCCCAGTTTCTTCGCTGTAAGGTTGTTGTCGTGATGGTGAGATACAACAACAACAGCGCACACGCCACTGGCGACCATGGGACGTTCGTACCTTCTCCCCCCTTTTTGCTCCAAGCGTTGTGGAGGTACTCACGCTGAGGGATCTCCGAAAACAGTTGGAACTCTATTTGCGTGAGGTGGAACGCGATCTGTGCCGGGGCGAACATCTTGGGATGGAGGCCACTGTCGACCCCCGTATTTGATTCGCGTGAGTAATTTAGGGTTTCAATGTAACACACACAGTCGGTGGCTTCTGGCACCTGATCTGATAAAGGATGACTGTTGGCGAGTCGCTGTTCCTGTTTGCTTGCTCCTGCAATCGGAACATTGATTATGGGTCAGTGCACAGATATCACCAACATTCGTGAGTGTTCAGGAGTGAGGCCGTGATCGCTTACCACCGCTTCCCTCGCAGCATCCTCTTCCTCCTGTTTTTTCGTTTGTCGGCGATGATCTGTTGTTCCCGTATCATCTGCCGTAGCTTGGTCGTAATCGGCTGTAGGCCTGTGTTGACGACATGGTGGTGTCAGCGCTGATCCCCATTCTCGCCGATCCGAAAGTGGATTGATGAGGGTGAACCCAGACGCTGTACCTTTGCTGTCGAGGTCGCCGAGGAACATGTTGAAGAGGAGTTGGTTCTCCTCACTGAAGTCTTCGCTGCCATAGCAGTTAATCCACTTTTCGAACACCTCGACTACTCGTGCGTCGTCGCCATCGTAGAATCGGGCCATCAGTCTACAGCATGCGAGGGTGAACGTCAGACAGGTTCCAACGTTGGAGGTGTTGGTGGGGTGCAGCAAGCGGTGTACCGGCTCATGAAAGATTGGGAGTCTATGAAGTAGTTATGGGTAGCAATGAAGGTTTCCACGTAGTCTGGATCTGCCAGCTCGTCCTCGGCCAAGAGCTCCACCAGAGATTCCAGCGTGCCTGGGGAAAGGGGAACTCGATCAACGCATGCAAACACAAGAGAGAGAGAGAGAGAGAGAGACCGGCTGGGTGTAGCCCTACCTGCCCTAATGGAGCGACGCCCGTCCTTCTTCTGGCCGTAGATAACAATGGAGTTGCGCTCGCCGCTGTGTGCGCCAATGGCAGCTCCTGACCGGCTCTGTTCATTTGACAGCGCCAGAAGGAGAAGAACAACGAAGTCAAACGAGTGTGCAACTTGGTGCGGCGCTGGTGCCGGCTAAATAATGACGACGACTCAAAGGGTAGGGGCGTACAGGTATGTCGAGAAAGCAGGGTACAGAGAAAGTGCGATCCTTTCGCACGGCCTGACGTGTAGTTCGTTGGAGGGAGCCTCGCTTCTTCAATGTGAGGGGATCCATTATCTGTTTGGCTAGATCGATCAGAGATCAAAACGAACGATCATGATAATGCGAACAGGTGTTGGCGTTTGCTTGACTATAGCCCCCCCTCAAACACTCCTTCGAATGATCGCTCCCATAACTAACGAGGTAAAGGAATGGAGATGGAAGAAGTACCAACAACGTAGGTCTGAACTCGTTGACTGGTGAATGCGGCGAAGAGGCAATGCGTCAATATGGCCTAGAATCGAACTTCACGTCTCCTTCTTTTCTCTCCCCTCCCTCTTCCAACCAACAATCTTCTGGAGCGGTTACCGCTCAAGTCTCTCCTTCGTAGTGCCTGCGACCGTCCTTTCTGTTTTTCGAACAGAAACAACGAGTGGTCCGCAGAGCGTGGTGGTGTCAGGATACCGCGTGGTAACTATCCCCCATGAACAACTAGCTAGGGCGGGATGAACAACAAGGCACGCTTCCTCGATGAACAGGCACTTTCCCTTCCTGGCTCGCCACGTCAGCAGCCTAATTTTTCAAGTAACAGATTCAAACAGAAGAACAATAAAATAGTTTAGTGGAAGTAAAATTATTAATAATCGAGGGCTGAAGATGGAAGACATAGAGGAACTGTGTGCCTACGACGAAGAGGGCGAGGGCGAGGGCGAACCCTTCTTCTACGCACTCGCGCGGCATTGCAGCGAGGTCGCGCGAAGCTGCCGGGTGGTGGCAGAGGAATACCGCGCCGTTGCCGAACACGGAGGCAAGCGGCGAAAGCGCAATCGAGAAGCAGAAGAGGGAGGCAGCGCTGACGATGCCCGCCTAAAGCCGCATCGACGGAAACGAACCGGTTCATCTACGAAGCGAACATCTCTTCCCCCGTACGCCCAGATGCCTCAAATTTGATCGAATCGTGCAGAATTGAATGGAATGGAATGTTGCCGGCTTTGCTGGTGTGCAGGGGTGTTTGGTCCGTCGAGGACCTGGAAAAGTTTGAGGAAGGAGTCGCCCGGTGGGGTCTCTCCTCGCCCGACGCCATCATCGCCTTGCTGCCCTCACGTCCGCCGTACTTTGCCCCCCCCCACTCATGTTCTATTTTATTTCAACCCCAATTCTATGTTTGGTCAAATACTCGCTTGCGCCCTAAATGTCCCTCCGTGCGCGTTCACGAACCGCCATTTCGCGCTTGGCTGACCGTCGTGTTGGGACTGTGCTAAGGGACGATGTCAGGGAGCGCCTGGAGACGCTACGGCGCGTGCGAAGCTGGGACGACGACAGTGAGGAAGATGCAGGCAGCTTCACCGGAATGCGGTTTCCGGGTGCCTAAAGCAGACAGGCTCTCGCCAGGCAATAAACCTTCCATACTACGGCTAGCAACCTCGGCACCACACTGATCGGAGAGTCGCCTCTCTATTAGGACATGTTGCTAGATCGCCAGCGAGCGACCAGTGTAACGCTCGTGGGTCCCCTAACTTCTCTTCAGTTCGCCTCTCTATTAGTTTCACAAAGCAAACACGCAGACAGGGTCCCAGGCCGAGCACTGATGTTGTATCGGTCGGTGTCGGTGTGGTTCGTTTTCGCCCTCTTCGTTAGCCAACTTCATTCCGGTACGCAATGTCTCTTCTCTCGCTGTGTTGTGTTTCCTCTGTCTATATTTTGTAATCAACGTCGCTCAACCGTGTTGTGTTGGTGTTTGACCGCACATTACAGGGCAAGCAACAGACCTGCCAGGCTCCGGTGGACCCAATGCTGCTGATATTTTCAACGCCTGGGGATATAGCTACCGGTTCGCGATCCCGCTCTGAGGCACATGCAGGGAACACATGCGTGCTGACCCCCATTCTCCCAAACCTTAGGTTCAACGTAGACGATGTCCGCGTGCTCTATACGGCCTCAACAGCGCTGGAGAGCGTTCTGTCCTACCTTGCCGGCGACCTCTCCTTCACCGTGGGTGAAGTGACGCTCACCCAACAGCAGCTCGGTATGCCTACTCCCTCATCGATCGATGAGATTCCTCTCGCCCGGCTGACGTTTTGCTCTCACGGGCCATTCGCCCAGAGGAATACAATGGCACGGAGATACCCATGGTCGCCGGAGCGGTTACCGTCGTCTACAACCTGGGTAGCACAATTTCGAGCTCCGACCCTCCCCTGGTGTTGGATCGGTAGCTCTCTGCCACCGCCGTATCGACGAGACCGTTCTCCTCCTTCTCACACTTTCATCTTCTGTATGATACAGGACCACGCTGGTTTACATCTGGCTTGGTGTGATCAACCAGTGGGACCACCCCGCCATTACCGCGCTCAATCCCGCCCTCTACGCCGCCGGCAAACTGCCCAGTGCCACCATTACGCTCGTCTACAACACGCAGGGCTACCTCGACATCACAAACGTGAGCCACTCTCCCACTGTTCACCCGATCGGGAGGCCCTCCTCCAAGCTAACCTTTGCCTTTCTGCCCGCAGAGTTTCATGAATGCGCTGGGGCGAATGGACGCGACATTTGGGGCTGTCTTCGCGGGTGTGCAGAACACGTATGAGTACCTGCCTTTGGCCTTCCCATTGTGGAATGGAACCGCCGTGGGCTATGCGGCGCCGAGCGACAGGATCGCACACGTCCAGGTTTCTGCCGTCGTAGTGTGTGTGTTGTGTGTGTTGTGTGTGTGTGTGTGTGTGTGTGTGTGTGTGTGTGTGTGTGTGTGGTGTGTGTGGTGTGTGTGGTGTGTGTGTGTGTGGCTGACCTTTCAAGTCTTGTGACTCAGGGAAACGAGTACTCGATGACGTACATAGCGTGGAACGACGCGCGCGATCTCGATCTGCCTTCGATTTCCTTGTACAACAGGGCCGGCAAATATGTGAGGCCCTCGCTTGCCACCATCAAGAGCGCCTTGTCGGACTACCAGAATTCCTCCAGTTTCGTTGTCGACATCTCTGATGGCCCTGGTGCGCGCCGCCCGAATCCCTACGCACGCTTCTGATGCCTGTGGCCTCACATTTCCATCCACTCGTTCTTCTGCAACAGGCGAGCAGTCGTGGCCCCTCTGCCATTTCATGTACATCCTCCTTTCCTACAACAGCTCTGGCGCCTCTGATTGCAGCCAAGTCGACACCCTGCTGCGTTTCATCGCCTGGATCCAGCTCAACGACAACGTGCGTTCTCTTTCACTCCCTCCTCACTCGCGCCGGCATGCAATGAAAACCGTTCGTTGCTCACATGATGCTATTACCATCATCATCATCACACCCGCCACAGGCCGGGAGCGTAGCCGAAGAAAAGGGGTTCGTGCCCATCACCAGCAACATCAAGAAGCGGATATTCGATGATCTGTACAAGGTCACGTGCAAAGGAAAACGGTCCTTTTCCACCGCCGTCCTCCTCGGCTCCGGCGCCAGCTCGCCCGTCTACCCCAGTACGACTCTGCACCCCCCCCCCACTGGGGTCCTCCCTATTTGAGCCCGCCCGTGTGCTAATTAAGCCTGACGACGACTGCGTTTGTTCACATTTCAACAGCGTGGGCCAATGACTTTGGGTCGAGCACGTTCAAGCTCAAGTACCAAACCACCACCGACGAGAGCGCACTCGGAGAGATACTGGGCCAGAATCTGGACTTTGCTGCCATGTCCACCGGTGCGTAACATGCCCTCACTTGCTGATGGTGTGCTGCAAGTTCTGAGTCGTGTCTGTCGTGTGTGTCGTGTGTGTCGTGTGTGTCGTCGGTCTGCTGATTTGCTTGTTTCAATTATGACCGGCCACAGCAATCGATCTCACGTCCCTTGGCGACAACGATCTGGCCTCACTGCCAGTGGTCGCCCACGCAGTGGTGCCGGCCTACAATCTCCCCAACGGAGCCAGCCAGGTACGCATCACTACACCCGATCCCTGCTCTCTCTCTCTCTCTCTCTCTGCCAGGTCGCGAATTCACCACATGGCTCCTATCTTCCCCCCCCCCCAAAGCCGCCGCTGGTGTTCGACCTGCAAACGCTCGCGGACATCTGGATGGGTTGCATCACCCGCTGGAACCACGCCAACATCACCCGACTCAATCCGGTCAACGTGACCCTGCCGGACCACGACATCGTCGTGGCCTACACGGCCACCGACGCGGTCCAAACCCTGCTGTTCACCTCGGCGCTGAGCGCCAGCGTGCCCGCATTTGCCACACAGGTACCCACGCCCCTCCCCCGCCGCACACCGCACACCACACGCTACAGCCCTGACTCGTTGTCGCAGTTTGGTGCAGTGGCGCAGTTGAACTTGACCGGGCTTAGCGGCTCCTTGGTGACCGATGCGGACGAGATGGCCCGTCAGATTGCCTCGACGCCGTATTCCTTTACCATGTGGAGGTGCGCCTCACCGGTCTCTTCTCCTGGCCTGGGGGCGGGTTGAGAAAGGTAAAGTTGAAACCATAACACCGGTGTCGTGACCGCACACCAGCTTCCCCGACTTCTACTACACCCGCAAGATCCAAATAGGAAGCATGGTCGATGTGTCCGGGGACATTGTGCGCCCCGACGCGACCGCACTGCTGACCGCCCTCTCCGACTACTATGCAAGCGGCAGCCCACAGATCGGTACCGTTCCCACAGCGTAGTCTCCGACGTGCCACTTCGCGTAGTCTTGGCTGATCGTGGTCGCGCCCCATGTTTTTAACTAACAAAAGGTGCACTGCTGGGAGCGAGTAAGGGCAGTTGGCCGATTACGGCGATAGGCTCCTTCCTGTTGAAGACAACGAGCATGGTCGACTGCAACAAGGCTGCGGCGCTGGTTGACTGGTTTTACTGTATGCCACTCACACTCTTAAGTGTTTCGTAATATTGTTGTTTTTATATAGATTATTTTTCTACTTAATTGACTCCTTGCAATGTGTCTCTATACCAGGGAGCCAGACGTCAGATGCCGCGATAGACGTGGCGTCAAGGTACGATGCTGTGCACACAGAGGAAAACTGGACATCACCCTTCACATGTTGGTTGGTCATGGCCTGACTTCTTCATCGCTCCTTGCATACGAATCACCGGCAGGGTGGGGATGGTGGTGGGCTCCGACTTGTCAGTAATCAAGAGCCACATACTCACCGTGCTCAGCAATGTCACCTGCGGTAATGTTCTTGTCGGCCGATTGCACGGTATGCTACCCGTGTTCGTGTTCGTGTTCGTGTTCGTGTTCGTGTTCGTGTTCGTGTTCGTGTTCGTGTTCGTATGGTGTGTGATGTTTGATGTGTGTGCTATGTGTTACATGCCTGGAATGCATTTTTCTAAGAGCGCGCACCACCGGCACTTTGGGTGCAGGGTGTGTGGCCGACGGGATGATCTGCTCCGACCATGGCACTTGTGTGGCCAACAAGTGCAGCTGCAACAACTCACGAACGGGCACCTATTGCGACCTGGTCGTCTCCTCCTCGCACGACACACTGACCACTGCGCTTGCCGGTACGGCTTCGGGGCATAAACTCCCTCCCCTCTCCCCACATGTGTAAGCGTATCGACGCTGGGTCACACTCTCGCTGGGCTTTTCTCTGGTGATGTGTGCAGCCGTGCTGGTGCCGGGCGGCGTGATTCTGTTCCTGCTCATCGTCGCCGTGATCCTTTTCGTTCTCTTCGGACGGCGTCGAAGAGAACGGTTCGTTTATAGGACCCATTTCCCGTTTTCGTTATATCTAACCAACGACAACACAACTCCACACGACGCGATCAACGACACGACACGACACGACACGACCAGAAACGAGTGGGAGATCGACCTGGCCGAATTGGAGCTCGGCGAGCAGCTGGGAACGGGAGGGTACGCCCAATCCATGACCACGGCCACCTCGTCATATAACACCCCTTTGGCTCACCATCCGCTGGCCTCAGGTACGGCCAAGTCCATCGCGGCGTGTGGAAGGGCACCGAGGTGGCGATCAAGGTCATTGCCTCCGACAACGCCACCAAGGAGCTCGAGAAGAGCTTCAGGGACGAGGCACGCCTCCACCGCTACCCTATCATGCATCTTCACCATCGTACCGAGATCTAACGTCTGTGTGTCGTGCGGTGGTGCGTGTGCATGTGCGGTGGTGCGTGTGTGTCGTTGCGTTGGTAGGTTCGTGTGATGACGGCGCTGAGGCATCCCAACGTGGTGCTGTTCATGGCGGCCTGCACCAAGAAGGGGAGCATGTGCATCGTGATGGAGCTCATGGCCTTGGGTAGCCTTCACGACTTCCTTAACAACGATTTGGTACCTGCGGTGCCCTTCGCGCTGAGCGTCAAGCTGGCCTACCAGGCGGCCAAGGGCATGCATTTCCTCCACTCGTACGTTTCCACCGCCATCATCAGCGTTGTCGTCATCACCACCACCACCTAACGTTCCAAGTTGCTCAGGTCCGGGATCGTGCACCGCGATCTCAAATCCCTCAACCTGCTGCTCGATACCAAATGGAACATCAAGGTCCGCCACACCGCCACACACCGCCACACACACACACACACACATACACACACACACACACACACACACACACACACACACACACACACACACACAAAACACAACACACACACACCGACATGTTTAGTTTCGCTCGAGACCAACGCTCCCGCGTGTGTGCATATCTCGACTGTTCAGGTGAGCGATTTCGGTCTTACCAAGTTCAAGGCGGAGATGAAGAGGACTCAGCCCAACCAGCTGCAGGGCAGCCTCCACTGGACCGCGCCCGAAATTCTCAACGAGAGCGACGGCGTCGATTACACCCTCGCCGACGTCTACTCTTTCGGTGCGGCATTACCGCCGCGCGCTTTCACACCACGCATACCACACCACCATCTGCGGGCTAATATCGAGCGTGTGGGCTTCATCAGGAATCATTCTGTGGGAACTGGCGACCAGAGAGCAACCCTACCAGGGAATGAGGCAAACAACTTCCCTCGCTCCGTGTGTGTGTGTGTGTGTGTGTGTGTGTGTGTGTGTGGTGCTGCGTGTGGCGAGTGTCATCATTTTCTAATGAATTTTGATTCGGGCAGCCCGGCGGCGATCGCTGTGAGCGTGATCCGGGACAACCTGCGACCGCATCTGCCGTCCAACGATGGCGCGATGGCCCCCGAGTTCTTCCAGCTCATGGAGAACTGCTGGCACGCCGATCCCATGATTCGCCCCACCTTCCTGGAGGCAATGACACGACTCGCGTCCATGCAGGATGACTCAAGCACTCGGTCCTCTTCCTCCCGTACGTACATGTGTCGCGTGCGGTCGTGTGTGTCGCGTGCGTCGTGCGGTCGGGTCGCACGTGTCGTGTGTGTCGTGTGCAGTCGTGTGTCGTGTGTCGCATAGAATCGCTGACACACCCGCATGCGTGGGTTTGGCGTTGACTTAGTCCACCTACCGAGCGACAAGGGCTCATGGTCGTTGCACAAGGACACCACCTTGAGCACCCACTCCTCCGGTTCCTCCCGTTCGTCCCCCCAAACCACACACAGACACGGACCTCAACACGCTCACGACACACGCACACGCACACGCACACACGCGCACACACGCTTGGCTCCCTCTGTACAGAAGGTTCGAGCGTGAAGGAGCGCGGCGGCCTGGTGGGGGCCACCATCGTCGGCCCGCCCGACGGCGAACTCACGATCCTGTTCTCGGACATCACCCGCGCCGCCTCCCTCTGGGAATTCAACGCTTCGGCCATGAAGGAGGCCACCCTCCTCCACAACCAACTCCTGCGCTCCCTCCTCTCCAAATACCGCGTACCTTGGCCCCCCGCACGTTTGCGGTGGTTAAGGTGGATGCTGACGTCAGCATACGGTGGGTGGGTTCGTAGGGCTACGAGGTGGTGTTCATCAAGGACAAGGTGAGCGGCGAGGGCTCGTTCTGTATGGCCTTCCAGCAGCCGACGGACGCCCTGGAGTGGTGTATGGAGGTACAGCAGGAGCTGCTCAAGGTGGAGTGGCCCGAGGGGCTGCTCGACCACCCGGGCGCCGTCGAGGAGTGGGGCGACACCGACGATCGCGTCATCTTCCGCGGCCTGCGCGTCCGCATGGGCGTTCACCTGGGAAAGCCTCGCATGGTTACCTCCCCAACCGCACACGCACACGCACACGCACACGCACACACACACGCACACGCACACGCACGCACGCACACACGCACACACGCACGCACACATACACCGCACACGCTGACGATGCGGTGGCGATAGGTTCGAGATGCGATGACGCGAAGGGTCGAGTACATCGGGTCGGTGGTCAATGCGGCCGCGCGCATCACGTCGGTCACCAACGGGGGCCAGGTGCTGATGTCGAACGCGGTCTACGAGAAGGTCTGCGAGACCGAGCTGGGCCGGGAGAAGAACCGGGTGGTGCCGCTGGGCCGCCTGGAGATGCCCGACACGGCCGACCACAAGAGCACGCGGCTGTGGGAGCTCCGGGTGCGCGGGCTGGAGGACCGGTTCCTAAACGGCAACCTCCACCGCGGCCACAGCAACGAGAGCGAAACGCCGGCGACCACGAGCGAGGAGGACGGGTACCCGTGCATGTACCGTGCGTGTCGTGTGCTGTGCGTGTCGTGCTGTGTGTCGCGCGTGTCGTGCGTGTCTGACGTGTGGCGGTGGCGGTTGTTTTTGGGTCCCAAGGGGCGACTTGATGTCCGAAGTGGAGCCGATGGAGGACCGCATGGCGTTCAAGGAGGACAACTTCTTGACTTCGGCCAATCTATGCCGGTGGGTCATCGACTACAAGGAAATCCAGCTCGGGAAACAGGTAACCACCGCACACGCACGCACCGCACGCACGCACCGCACGCACACTCGCGCGATCTGTGGCTTATTAGCGGAGGGGGTGGGACAGGTGGGCATGGGGAGCTATGGAGTGGTCTACCGCGGGCGGTGGAAGGGCGTCGAGGTGGCGGTGAAGAAGTTCATGAAGCAGAAGCTCGACGAGCGACGCATGCTCGAATTCCGCGCCGAGATGGCATTCCTCTCCGAGCTCCTCCACCCCAGCATCGTCATCTTCATCGGTACCTTCCTCTTTCACTTGCGTGTATCGCCGTGTGTGTGTGTGTCGTGTGTGTGTGTCGTGTGTGTGTGTCGTGTGTGTGTGTCGTGTGTGTCGTGTGTCGTGTGTGCGTCGTGTGTGCGTCGCGTGTTTGTGTGTGCGGTGCGGAATGAGCTGATCGATGATGTGGGTCATGAAGGCGCATGCGTGAAGCGGCCCAATCTGTGCATCGTGACCGAGTTCGCCAGGAACGGATCGCTCCACACAATCCTGCACGACCACAGCATGCGCCTCCCGTGGCAGCAGCGGCTGCGCATGCTCCGCGACGCCGCCCTCGGCGTCCACTACCTCCACAGCCTCTCCCCGTGCATCGTCCACCGTGACCTCAAGCCAGCCAACCTTCTCGTACTCCACCATAGCCTACTGACCGCACACACACGCACACGCACCACCGCACACGCACACGCACACGCCATTGACCATGGTGGCGCCACAGGTGGACGAGAACTGGAACGTGAAGGTGGCTGACTTCGGGTTCGCGCGCATCAAGGAGGAAAACGCCACCATGACCCGCTGCGGCACCCCATGCTGGACTGGTATTTGTTCTTCGCTCTTCTTCTTTTTCTTCTTCTTCGCTCTTCTTGTTCAAAGCTGACCCTGGAGCCGCGTGTGCCAGCGCCGGAGGTGATTCGCGGGCAAAAGTACAGCGAGAAGGCGGACGTGTACAGCTTCGCGATCGTGATGTGGGAGGTGCTGACCCGCAAGTACCCCTTCCAAGGGCGCAACTTCATGGGCGTCTCGCTGGACGTCATGGAGGGCCGCCGGCCGCCCGTCCCCGGCGACTGCCCGGTCGTGTTCAGCAAGATCATGAGGAAGGCGTGGCAAGACACACCCGAGAAGCGGCCGGCCATGTCGGACATCCTCGCCACCCTCAACCACCTCATCGGCGACGACGCCAGTGGTGTTGGCGCCTGATGCGGCTTTGTGTGCTCGCGAAGCTTCGGGCGCGACATGAGGCCCAGGCGCCGCGAAGCAAAGGCGGCGACGACGAAGAGAAGACCAAGCAAGACGCACAAGAGAACCTCCGCGAACAGCGTTCGGGGAGTGGAGGTGTTCTTCATCATCGCCGTCCCGTAAAACGTTGTTTCTTTTTCTGTCTCCGGCTCAAAAAGCTTTTTAATGGGGTGCTTTGTGCTCTCGTGAAGGCCCTGAAAACAGATTTCGGTTCATTCGGGCCGGGGGACGTCGACGCCTGCCAACACGATCACACGCACACACAGAGAGAAGGTGAGTACTCTGTGAACGGTCAAGGTCACGACACAACACGCACGACACGCACGACACGCACGACGCACGACACACACGACCCACATGACAGACCCACAGTTAACAAAGCAAAGTACAGTACCCAGGGTCTGCATGAGCAGTTGCATGACATGGTCGCAGTGCGCAAAGATGCGCAGGTGGGCCGAGGAGTCGTAGGGAGTCTTCTGCAAATTGATGATCGCCAGCTTCCCTCCGCGCTTCACGCTCTTCAACGGCTGTGTGTCGTGTGTGTCGTGTGTGTCGTGTCGTGTGTGCGTGTCGTGAGTGCGCAGGTCACACGGAGGCGGGGAGATGATGGGCCAAGCTTGGTGCTTACCAGGCTGGCGGCGGGCTCCACCCGGAGGCTGGTGCCGATGGCGATCACCACGTCAGCCTTGCGGCTGTGGTCCTGCGCGTTGACCAGCACCGGCCGCGGCAGCTGCTCGCCAAAGTTGATGATGTTGTCCCCTAATCAGACCACATCATGAGTTATGCTCATCATCATCATCATCATCATCATCATCATCATCATCATCATCATCATCATCATCATCATCATCATCCATGAAAAGAAGTAGGGTGGCGTACTCAGTTGGCCGTGGTAGCAGTCGGGCTTCTCGCACCGTCGGCCCGTGCAGTGGTCGTCGTAGGGCTCCCTCTCGTCCCCGGCATTGTCCACCACATCAAAGTCACGAAAGTACTCCGCGCCGCACGAGTCGCAGATCTCCACGTAGCAGTTCCCGTGCAGCTCCGACAACTGCGTGCGTGTGCGGTCGTGCGTGTGCGTGTGCGGTCGTGTGCGTGTGCGATCGTGTGCGTGAGTGCAGAGAAACCACAAAACGAGTGAGCGTGTGTGGGTCGGGTGGTGATGGATGTACGTTGTCCTTGGTGATGCCTGATCGCAGGTGCAGGCCGTCGACGTTCTGGCTGACCAGGTGCCGGAGCACCCCACGCTCCTGCAGGGCGACCAGCGCCATGTGGGTGTAGGTGGGCACGGCCGCCTCGAGCGGGATGCCCTCGGCCTCGAGGCCCTGGTCCATCAGCGTCCACACGCCCTGCGGCCCGCGGAAGTCGGGGATGTTGGCCGCCGTCGACACGCCCGCGCCCGTGTAGACCACCAGGTGCCTGGCCCCGCGCACCAGCTCCGCCAGCGCTTGCACCTTGAGAGAGATGGAGGCGGGATCTTCGTGCACCTCGGTGGTGTCGTCGGGCACGCCGTGCTCGACTTCTTCTTCTTCTTCACCTACATCTTCGCCTTCCTCTACACGGCTTTCGAAATCGTGCGCGGGCTTGCGCCAGGGCGCGGCCGAATTGGATCTCTTGGGCTTCTCCTTCTTCTTGGTCTTCTGGTAGTTGGGCAGGGCGGCCTTCTTGTGCTTGCTGGTCTTGGAGGCTCGGGGCGCAACGCATTTGGCCTTGGATTGGATGGCACCGGCCGCGGCCAGGCACGGGATCTCCTTCTTGAGGTGCTCGATGAAGAGATCGAAGTCGGATTGCTCGCACTGCACGGTGCCAAAGATCCGCACCTTGAAGCGTCCTGCGCCCTGGCTCTCCGCCCGCCAACTGAGGCTATTCACAACGGCGAGCCCGTCGAAATGGGCCTTCCATTGGTCCTTAATCTCTTCAATCACATCATCTGCTGTCCACCGCTCCATGATTGACATTCTCTCAAGCTCCACTCGTTTCCCGAGGTACGTGCCGAGCTTCTGGCTCCCTTCCCCTCATCATCTTACAGTACTGCCCCTCCTTGTTCATTTCTCTGTTCCATTTCACCCAATGCGCAAGCTCGAATTTGTTTTAAAAAATAAAGAAATAAAATAGATAACTAACGATTTATCTCTTTTCCTTGTAGAGGAAGCGGAGGCAGACGTAGGCCAGGAGACGATAGCCCAGGATCATAGATGCCAGGATGCCGATGTTCTCCCATATTTCGATGTTCGCCATCCCCAAGCGCTGCAGCTGCACCTCGCCTGCGAGTAAAGATGTTGCACATCATCAGAGGCCATGATCACTGAAGGAGAAGCGAACGTAATGTGATGACGACGACGACGTACCGGTGGGAATACAGGCGGGATCGCTGGGCAGGCAGGAGAACTTGAGGCCCTCCAGCTCGTTTGTGACGAGGACCTCGTAGGCGTAGCGGAAGTAGGACACGTAGTAGAGCCAGGTGTAGTACACGGGAATGTTGTCCAGGTTGATGTAGAAGCCTGCTCGCATGTGCGGTGTGTGCGTGTGTGTGTGCGGTGTGTGAGTCTCGCACGACAAGGAGAGACAGCACAGAGATGGGCGAACGAGCGCACCGCCAAACATGAGGAAGAGAACGGTGGTGACGGGCGAGAGGATGGTGGCAACGACGGCGTTGGGCGACAGGGTGCCAATGAACAGGTAGAGCGAGGCCGCCACCGAGGCAAACGTCACGACCGTCAGCGTGTAGACTCCAAAGTTTTCGATCGTTGCCTGAAAGCCGCACATCCAGTACCTGCACGCAAGCCGGAGCGTTAGCCTTGACACCGAGCACTTGCGCACACAACGCAACGCAACGCATGGCTAACGCCGGAGGAGGTAAGCATCGCACGCGACAGCGCTGAAGAGTATCGGCATGACGCATTGGAAGGGGAAGTCGGTCTGGCAGCATTGCCGCGCACATGGAGGAGTCACAGGTGAGTGCGTGGACCAAAAAAAAACCGACTGACTGGGCAGGGGGTGGGTGGGAGTGTACAAGGTTCTTGGCAACGAAGTAGGCCGAGGTGGAATAGACGCCAGCCGCCCTCTCGCGATTAAACACGTCCCGCTCTTGCAGGACTGAGAGAGGCAAGCAAAGATTCGTTGGTTCGCTGACCATGCCAGTTGATGTCTGCGGAAAAGAAGAGGGAAGAACGTACACAGGTTGAGGGCGGAGATCATGCTGAAGGACTGGTTGGTCACCACGAAGAAGAGCGCGCCCAGTCGGTTCTATTGTGGTAGCCACACGTACAGCGTGGAATGTAAGGAAGGGGGGGGGGATGACGGCTACTGAAGGAATGAGGGGGTGGCCACGCACCTGAATAGATGACTGATCCAGACCGAGGTCGAAGTAGATGGAACCCATGAGAAGGCCCATGAACAGCGTCTGGATGACCAACACATACGTCGACTACAGGCAGACGACAGTCGTGAGAAATTCTGTGTGAGCGTGGTCGGCTGTCCCCCGCCATCGCACACATGTGTGCGATCCGCAAGTGTCGTGTCGTGTCGTGCGTGTCGTGCGTGTCTGATGCGTACCATGGGGTTGCGGCCAAGATCGCGTAGGTTGCGGAAGCTCAGGACGAAGAACTGCTTGAGCCAGCTCGAGGCGTACTCCTGCTTCAAGCTCTCGTCGACAGCAAGCTCGCCCCGCTCACTCTTATCCTTCACCTCCTGAATGGTGGTCATCGCCTTGCCGAGAAGCGAAGAGCGGTAGGCCTCAGCCATGTCGAGCGAGTAGTCGTCGCCCAGACCGTCGTCGTTCATCAGCTTGTTGTCGTCGTCGCCGTCGTCTTCGTCCGAGTCGAACTTCACGCGACACAGACGTCATAAGCAACATCACGAGTCTCGGTATCATTTCACAAGTCTTAGGCTGCCTACCTGCCGAGGCTTTCGGGCGATGTAGTAGGCGGGCGACTTGGCCAGGGCGAAATCGAGGGTGGAGCTGGTAGTAGTGGGTCCCACACTCAGTCTGCAGACAATTAGAGAATCGTGATCAGTGAAGATTGTTGGAAACGGTGTGCCACGCGTAGTGAGCCTGTACCCGGATTCAGCGTCGAGCAGGCTGGAAGAGGGCTGAAGCTTCTTCTGTGCGCGCTCGTATCGCTCCTGGTTTTGGATGACCACATCAACTGACGACCGACAAGTCGCCCACGATGACGGCTCATCGTCAGCAGCAGGGGTGTGCACAACATCAAACGGCTATGATCATAAAGCGTACGCAAGAAGTCGGCGGGGTTGATGAACGGCCGGATGTGGAAGTGGAGGCCGGCGAAGTAGGTCACGGCGTGTTTGGCTGGCCCGAAGTAGACCACGTCCCCACGCGACAGGATCATAAGCTGGTCCACGTTGTGGAAGATCGTCGAGCGGGGCTAATGTGTGGAATCCAAACAAAACAAAAACAAAGAAAAACTTGTCAGCTCGCCCTGCTCTTGTCACTACTGCAGTAGTGGAAGGGGTGGGTTCAACCTGGTGAATGGTGCATACGACGGCCCTGCCGTGCCCAGCGAGCGCAGAGAGGCGATCCATGACACCGAGCGAGTTGTAGCTGTCCAGGCCGGTGGTAGGTTCATCCAAAAATATCAGGCCTGGCGCGAACCAGAGGGTCAGGCTGGAGGCAACGTCGCGGTGTCGGTGGTGGGTGGGTGGGTGGGTTAGCGCGACGCACTGGGGTCGGTGATGAGTTCGCAGCCGATGGAAACGCGCTTCCTTTCGCCGCCGGAGATACCACGAACGAATTGGCCGCCCACTTTGGAGTCGCGCACCTTCTCCAGGCCCAGCTCTTCGATCACTCGCTCCACCTGGGAAAGACGGGGTTCGGACAAGCAGCGTCGGCATGACATCGACAGAGGGGCAATGCGCGTACCCTCTCCCTACGCTCGGCCATGGTGAGATGTGAGGGCAGGCGCAGGTGCGCGTAGAACATGAACGTCTCATACACGGTGAGACGCTCTTTCAGACAGTCGTCCTGTTCAGCCACACGCGCAAAGTCAGAACTGAGTGTGTGGTCTTGCATTGCCACGGGGTTTCATACGATGGGGATTCAAGAAGAATACCTGAGTGACATAGCCGCTCTGTCGCTTGTAATATTTATCGCGCCGTTGCCCGTTGACGAGGATGCGCCCGGTGAGGGTGCCCGTCTTCTGTCGACCAGCGAGTACATCGAGCAGCGTGGTCTTGCCGCTCCCTGCCCAATTCACACACGCGCGCGCGCGCGCGCGATTTAGAGGTTTGACTACTTACTGAGCGAAATCGAGGAAATACGCTTTGGCGCACCTGAGGCACCCATGATGGCAAGCAACTGCCCGGGCAGGACAGCACCGGAGACGTGGTTCAGGATCAGCTTCTGCGCTCGCTCTTCCTCGGGAGTGGGCTTCTTCATGCAAGCTACAGGGAAGGACCACCCAATGATGGTGAGATGGCTGATCAGAAGGAGCGCAAAGAAAGCTGTTGGTGGCACTGTGACTGGGTACCCAGGAGAGACCGCTTGGGCGCAAAGGAATAGCACACGTCTTCCCATGTGAGCGCGATGCCTCCGCCAGCTGACCGCACGCATATCAGTGACGCAACTATCATCACTTGGAAGGAGCGAGTAGAGCGTACATCCGGTGCTCTGAGCCCGCGCCGAGCGAGTCCTGCGCCTGTGTTTGATCTCCGAATCGACGCCTATCGTCGTAACTGCGTCAGAAGGCCATAGCCCAAGTGTTGAAACTCACGGCACCGTGATATTGGTGCGTACCACTGGTCCCTCCAGCGTGGCCGTCCAAGAGGCGCTTGCCTTCGTTGTGTCCGTCCAGTGAACCCTGGTAATGGAAGGGTCAAATTGGCCAACGTTACACAGATTAGTAATAGCATTTATTTGCTTCTTTGAAAAGTGGCTAAGAACCTGCAGATCGTCTTGTGAATCGAGCATCCTTTACTAAATTGATTTGATTGCACAACCGAAGAAGCAGAGGGTGTCCTCCCGACAAACAGTTTCGAACCTCGACTTATCTCTTTTATTTTTATTCTTTTGTTTCAATTATCATTTCCTTTGACAAATTCTGTGGCCCAATTCCTCACTTTTTCCTGGCTCAAGCCGTGCACGAAGCGTGCAGTACCGCAAAACTGCGGCCGCACAAGAACGTTACAGCACAAGAACAAGGCAGCAAGGAGAGGAGATTGCGACGTTCAATCAGTCTTCAGGCCGTCATTTTCATTGTTGTGTGATCTCGCAGCCTCAAAATGGGAGTTCCCGCTTTCTTCCGCTGGCTGGCACGCAAGTATCCCAAAATTATTGTCGATGTGATAGAGAAATTCGAGGAGGTAGATGGGGTGGAGGTGCCCACCGACACAAGTGAACCCAATCCCAATGGGCGCGAGTTCGATAATCTCTACCTCGATATGAATGGTATCATTCATCCATGTGCCCATCCTGAAGACAAAGTACCAATTCACAACCTCGTAGCGCTTCATCTGAGCGGCTAATTTCCAAGCCTTTTTAAATTTCGACTGATTTACTGATGGGCCTTTCCTCTCAGCCCGCCCCTGCAAATGAAGAGGAGATGATGGTCGCCATCTTCGAGTACATCGATCGTCTTTTCGCCATGGTGCGGCCGCGCAAGGTCTTGTTCATGGCCATCGGTACCACGACCCTAAGGCACCTACACGTAGCTCTGGGAAGAGGGAGAGCTCACGTGTCAGTGCATCTTTGTGTTGTGCCATGTGAGTAAAGACGGTGTGGCCCCGCGTGCGAAGATGAACCAGCAGCGCTCGCGTCGTTTCAAGGCCATCAAGGAGAGCAAGGAGAAGGCTGAGAAGGAGGCGGAGATCGTGCAGGAGATGATCCGCATGGGCAAGGAGATCCCTCCGAAGGAGGACAAGCCTCACGTGCGCGCCTCCTCACCCCTTGATGCACTCCACACAACGACTCGCCTTTCTCACTTCCCGCTTTCCTTTCTTCTTCTCTTCACTTCTCTTCCTCAGTTCGACTCAAACACTATCACGCCTGGCACGCCTTTCATGGCCAAGGTGGCACAGTCGCTCCAATACTACATCAAAGAGCGCCTGCTTACCGATCCCGGGTGGAAAGGCGTACGTTCTCCTGCGAAACGAGCTCGCGCTTGCTTTCGGTTGCCTTCAGACTTGAACAATGCCAATTCGTGTCTTCTTCTTCTTCTTCTTCTTCTTCTTCTTCTTCTTCTTGCATTCAGATCAAGGTGATCCTGTCCGACGCCAGCGTACCTGGAGAGGGCGAGCACAAGATCATGGACTACATTCGATATCAGCGTTCTCAGCCCGAGTACGAGCCGAACACTTCGCACGTCCTCTACGGATTGGTATCTTATCATCATCGCTTGCTCTCCGCATTGCTTCCCCCACATCCCTACTTACCCGCCTTTCCCCCCTTACGATTCGCCACACACAGGACGCCGATCTGATCATGTTGGCTCTCGCCACCCACGAGCCCCACTTCTTCATTCTTCGAGAGATCGTCATGCAAGCAAACGAAAACAATTGCTTCATCTGTGGCCAGCCAGGTATGCGCATCTTCACTCTCTCTTTTTGACCTCGAGCGATGAGCATCAATACTTAATCCCTTGCTCCCTGATCGTTTGTGTGTGTGTGTGTGTGTGTGTGTGTGTGTGTGTGTGTGGTGCAGGCCATCTTGCAAGCGACTGCCAGGGCAAGGCGAAGGAGAAGGGTAACGATACCGACACCAAGGCGGCCATCAGAAAGCCGTTCCAATTTCTTTACGTCTCCGTACTCAGAGAGTACTTGACAAGAGATCTGAAGCCCTCGCAAGTACGTCCTCCACTCGCACCGCGGTGCATGCGGTAGAAATGAATCATCGATTGATTGACTGATCGATCGCTCGATTCCCTCGGTTTCATGCGTGTAGGCTCAACAGCTGCCGTTCGAGTTCGACCTGGAGCGAATCATCGACGACTTCGTTTTCATGTGCTTCTTCGTGGGTAACGATTTCCTGCCTCACCTGCCTACGCTTGAGATCAGAGAGAACGCCATCGACATGCTGGTGCGAATCTACAAGCGGATATTGCCCACCCTGGGCGGCTACCTCACACACGACGGTGAAGTCGACCTGCGCAGAGGTGCGACACCCCTTGCTTGCATTATGTGTCAGTTAAATGCGTTACGATGCAATTGCTAATTCTTCGCCGTGTCAATATAACAGTCAAGGTGCTCATGGAGGAGGTCGGCCGGCTCGAGGACTCCATTCTCGTGGAGCGAAGAAGGAAAGAGCAAAGGGCCAAGGAGAACCGAAGACGGGGCCGGGAGCGAAGAAAGCGGCAGAGAGAGGATCTGGAGAACTTCATCGCCAACCCGAAGGACCAGGAGGCCAACACAGGAGGCAAACGAGCCAAGCACTTCGAGGTACGCGTTTTCGCCAGGCCTGCGCGAGGATTGCTTTATTAAAAAAACCCATTCCTACTATGATCATCATAGGAGGAGTCGCCATCCAAGGCTGTGGTTCAGCAGGCAGGCAAGGAGGAGCTCATCACGCCCTCCAACCTCGATGCTGCCGCTGCCCTCAAGAAGCAGCTCTTCGGCGATGACGACGGCACCACGCAAACGGAAACGGAAATGGTTACGGAGAAGAAGCCACCAGCCGAGATCCAATCGGCCAGCGCTGCCTACAAGACTGCCATCGCCGCCCAAGGCAAACCCCGCGACCCCGATGAAGAGGAGCCAGAGATACCGGACGACGTGCGTCTGGGTGACCCCGGCTGGAAGGAGCGATATTACAAGTACGGCGATAGCTAGCTTTTCCTCAAAGGCGCCACGGCCTACCCAATCACACTGACCGATTGTGTGTTAAACAGGCTCAAGTTCGATGTCGAGATTACCGACAAGGAGTTCATCAAGAAGGTGGCCATGGAGTACACGGAAGGCCTTGTCTGGGTGCTGAGATACTATTACCAGGTAAGGCGTTTGCCCAGGACCTGCTCCATTTCGGTGGCAATTTGTTCATTCATTCATTCCTCTTTCTTTTTCTTAGGGCTGTTCGTCGTGGGGCTGGTTTTATCCCTTCCACTACGCTCCCTTCGCCGACGACATGACTCTCATCGACGACGAGTCCCCCAAGCACGAACTTGGTAACACACCATGCTTGCGTCCGAGTTCCTCCGGAGAGAACGCTCACTTCTGGTTGTGTGTGTGTGGCGGGTCGTGTGTGTCGTGTAGGAAAACCGTTCAAGCCCTTTGAGCAGCTGATGGGCGTGTTGCCGGCTGAGTCCGGTACCTGTCTGCCCATGAAGTGCCAGGTCATGATGCGCCATCCTCAGTCGCCCATCATCGACTTCTACCCCAACGATTTCGCCCTCGACATGAACGGCAAGCGCTGGTACGAAGTCAAGCGTCTTACCACCGCAAAGCAGTCATTTCCTGACGTCTCTTGACCTTTGTTTTCTTTTTTCAGGGCTTGGCAAGCGGTGGCTCTCCTGCCCTTCATCGATGAGAACCGATTGAAGGAGGTCATGAAGGAGTGCGAACCGCACTTCTCGGCCGAGGAGCAGGAGCGCAACAAGCTCGGGAACCACTTGATCTTCGTGCACGCCTCCCATCCGCTCGCGTCGACCTTCAAGGCTCTGGAGGACGACTCCTTGGCGCCGGCCGCTGCCACCCCCGCGGAGGGAGACAGTGTCGCCTACTTGAGCGCTACCCCGCAGGAAGAGACCAAGTCGGCTGTTCCCTCGAACGACCAGGAGCCTATCGAGCACATGGGTACTTATCTTTAGCAAATGAAGCCAGCCTGGGCTGTGAATGGAATTGGGAGCTCACCGGTAGTTTTTCCATTCAATGCCTGCAGGCAAGAAGCTGCCCATTCCGGCGGACCTCTCGGGAGGGCTGACCGGGTTCCTCTCGCGCACGGAGAAGTTCTCGACGCCCATCGGCGGCACGATCCAAAGTCCGCTGAACGTGATGCCCGACGTGAAGAACAACCAGTCCTACTGCGCCTTTTACCACTACCCGGCCGTGCCCAAGGACTACGTCTTCCCGGCCAAGCTCCTCCCCAGTACGCACACCCTGCACCTTCATGTTAGCCACATGAACACTTAATGGACACTAAACCCCGACGCGCGCGCGCCGCAGACGTCACGATGCCGGCCCCGATCCTCACCGAGGAGGACCTCTCCGACCGCAGGCAGATGCAGATCAGTAGGGAGGGAGTCGGGCGGGTGATGGGCCATCACCAGCGCACACCCTCGGACCCGGGCCTGCTCGGCAACAACCCCCAGGGAGGTGGCGGAAGAGGCGGCTACCAGGGCTACCAAGGCGGAGGCCACTATGACCGGCCACCTCGGCGCTCGTACGAGAACGATCGTGGCGGCGATTACCAGCGCGGCGGATACGGCGGTGGTGGAGGCAGGGACAACTACCAAGGCGGCCGAGGCGGCCGATACGGTGGGGGCGGCGGCGATCGATATGGCGGCGACCGCTACGGTGGCGGAGACGGCGATCGATACGGCGGCGGCGGCGGCGGCGGCGGCGATGGGGGCAAGGCGGCGGCGGTTACAGCGGAGGCGATCGATATGGCGGCGGCGACCGCTACGGTGGCGGAGACGGCGATCGATACGGCGGTGGCGGAAGAGACAACGATCGCTATAGCAACCGAGACAACTACGGCAGAGACAACTACGGCCGGGACAGATACGACGGCGGTGGTGGACGGGGCGGTTACGGCGGTGGTGGACGAGGCGGCTATGGCGGCGGCGGCGGCGGAGCTTACGCCGCGCCCCAGGCGCCCTACGGCCAGCAGCCTGCGCCAGCCCCTGCGCCCTACTACGCGCAGCAGGCCGCCCCCGGGGCCTATACGCCCCAGCCCCCGGCGCCCTACGGTCAGCCGCAGCAGCCGCAGCAGCAGGCCTACTCGCCCTACGGGGTTCCGGCGGCCCAGGCGCCCTACAACCCCTACGCTCCGGCCGTTCCCGCCGCAGCGCCCGGCTACGGAGCACCGGCGCCCCAGGCCCAGGCCTGGCCCCAGCAACCACAGGCTCCTCAGGCCCAGCCAGGTACACAGAAGCCGGCGAATCATACCCCCTTCCATGTTTGATGTTTGACGTTCACTCTGCTGACCACGATGACGTTGTGGTGGCCAATGTGAACGTTCTACAGGAGCGGACCCGCAGGCACAGGCGCAGGCGATTCTGGCTCAGTTGCAGCAGCTGGTGCAGATGCAGAATCTTGCCGGCCTGCAGCAGCAGCGCCCACCGCAGTAATCTCTCTCTCCCCCCTTGGCACCAGCCACCCAGGGCCATGGCTGCAATAAACATGTTGGCTCTTGCAAGTTTGGCACGCCTCTGCGCGTGTGTGCGTGTGCGGTGGTGCGTGCGGTGGACCAAAAAAGGAAAAGCATAGGGAAAACGTTTTTTCCTCCAGTTGACTTGTTTCTATCAAGGCGAGCAAAAGGCAAACGATCATGGCGAGTCGCGGTGGTAGCGCCGCTCCCTCTTCTTCGTCTGTCCTTCCTGAATGGCGTACGTTTTCCCTTCTTTGCTTTGTTCACCAAAGCTTCTCATCTCGATTAAATAGGAGCCCTGTGCCCCAGCTTCGAGATTTGTGAGGTTTAATGAACAGGCTTTTGTTTTTGTTTTCCCTACATGTAGTGCGCAGCGTGACAGCGAAGCAAGCTGCTCTGGCTGGCCTGGGCGTGTCGGCCGCCCTCGGGTACGACCCACCTTTCCTCTTTTTCTGAGGCCCCTCATCTGTTCGCACTGAGCTGGCCTTGACCCCTCCTCCACACCGGCGCACCCCAACAGCTATGCCTACCTCAACTCCATGAGCCCCGACCTTAGCAAGGACTTCGGGACCATCATGCGCCTCGCTCGGGTGCGTCAAAGGCCTTTGCTTCACTCCTCCTCTACATGTAGACTGGTTCAACACTCAACACCCGCGCTTTTGCTCTCGTCCATGACGACTGCAGGTGAAGCGGAAGGTGGACTCGGCGCTCAAGAACAAACAGACCGTGGCCGACATGTTCAACGCGGTGCTCCAGGCCCACCCCAACAAGGAGGCCATCGTGTTTGTCGACAAGCAAGACCATCTGACCCGCAACACCAAGGTGAGCAACACCAAGGTGAGCTACACCTACGCCGAAGTCGAAGCCGAGTCCAACAAAGGTGAGGAGCGTGCGTGTGCGCGTGCGCGTGCGTGTGTGTTTCGCTGTCTTGAAATTAATTGGCTCTGTGCTACTCCAGTCGCCAACTGGGCCCTATCCATCGGGCTCAAGGAGAAGGACGTCGTTGCGCTGATGATGGACAACCGACCCGAGTTCATCTTCATGTGGTACGCACCGTCTCCATTCGCGCCTTACTTGTACAGCTCCTACTTCATCCATTAGCTAACGGTTGTCTTTTCGATCGACAGGCTGGGGATGACCAAGATCGGCGTCCTGACTTCGCTCATCAACACCAACCTGCGCGGCCACGTACACACAATCATCAAACCTCTCTCTCTCTCTTCTTTGATTTCTTTTCTTTGCCTGCACACAACACCACCTCATCACCGTTGTTCGCGAACCACCACCACCGATCTTGTCAGGTGTTGCGTCACTCGATGGCGGTGTGCAAGGCCACGCACTACTTTGTCGGTCACGAGCACATGGACGTGATTTCGCGCGAGTTGGTGAGCGACTTGGGCGGCAAGTGGTACTCGTGCGGCGGTCCTGCTCCGGAGGGGAATCTGTTCGATCTGGACAGCCTCCTGGCCGTCAGCAACAACACCACCGCCATTCCGCGCTCTTTCCGGGCCAACACTTCGGCCACCGACAAGCTCTTCTACATCTACACGAGGCACGTAACACACGCACACACGCACACACGCACACGCACGCGCACACGCACGCGCACACGCACACAGCCGCACACGCACTCACACGCACACGCACACTTGAGCTCATGCGTGGTGGTATCTATGGCTCCAGCGGCACCACGGGAGCGCCCAAGGCGGCTCTGGTTTCGCACCTCAAGTTCCTGACTGCGGGACTCGGCTTTGTGGACCTGATGGACGTCGGGGAGAACGACAGGCTCTACACGGCGCTGCCGCTCTACCACTCCGCCGCCACCCTCATCGGCGTGAGCACCACCTGGTAGCGATTCTTTCTTTCTTTCTTTCTTTCTTCATTTCTTTCTTTTTCCTTTTCTCTTGTGTGCTCCATGCCTGGATACGCCTATTCGCAGGAACGGCATGGGCACGCTGATTCTGCGCCGCAAGTTCTCGGCCAACAGCTTCTGGGAGGACATCGCCACCCACAAGTACGTCAGCACACTTGGGTTCCAGCGCCACATCACAACATAATCGTGTGTGTGGCGTGTGTGTGTGTCGTGTGTGTGTGTGTGTTGTGTGTGTGGTTAGGGCGACCGTGTTTCAGTACATTGGCGAGCTATGTCGCTATCTGCTCTCGCACCCGCCCAAGCCCTCGGACTCCCAGCACCAGTACGAACGCAGCAGCCCGCCCACCCAATTGAGAGTCACCACACCACACCACACTACAGCTCGTGCCGTGGTATCCGCTAATCCGCTTTTGTCTGCGTGTGTCCGGCAGGCTGCGTCTGGCAATCGGCAACGGCCTCCGCCCCGACATTTGGGCCGAGTTCCAGAAGCGCTTCAATATTCCCCAGATCGGTACACGTACTCACCACGCACACGCACATGCACTCACCACGCGCGCGCGCACACACACACGCACACACACACGCACACGCACACACACACGCACACGCACACACACGACCGCACACGCACACGACCGCGGCACAATGTGCTGACCTCCGGGGGGTTGTCTGCTGGGTCGAAGGCGAGTTCTACGCTGCGACGGAGGGCAACGTGGCGCTGCTGAACAGCTTCAACAAGGTGGGCGCCGTGGGCTACCTCTCGCCCCTCATCCGCATGGTGCACCCCGGGCGCCTGGTCAAGTTCGACGTCGAATCGGAGATGCCCGTCAGAGACCCCAAGACCGGCTTCTGCCTCGGTACGGCCGTGCACACTGATCGACTTGAAGAGAGCACTGCGCCGCTGGGCCGCTGCTTCCTGGGCGCACCTCACACGTATCCGCACGTTCGATGTCTGAGTGTAGAGTGCGAGCAGAACGAGATCGGCGAGATGCTGGGCAACATCAAGCCCGACGACCCTCTGCGCCAGTTCCTGGTACGACACATACACGTGCTTTGGGCCAGTTCGGGTGCTCTCGTGGGTTGGAATGATAGTTGGTGACACGACGCAACACACGACGCACACCGCACACGACGCAGGGCTATACCGATTCGTCTGCGACAGAGAAGAAGGTAACGGAGGCCTTTGGGGAACACACACACACACACAAGGTTTGGTTGGACTCACCAGAGGTGGGTCGTGTTGGTTAGGTCCTGCGCGATGTATTCACCAAGGGTGACATGTGGTTCAGAACCGGAGACCTCCTCCGCATCGATCGGGTTTCGCCTCTCCTCCTTCACCCGCACACATCACACACCGCACACACCGCACACACCGACACACACCACACGGTCGGTCTAATGTGGTACCTGGGCAGGAGGGCTACGTGTACTTTGTGGACCGGATCGGCGACACGTTCCGATGGAAGGGCGAGAACGTCGCCACGACCGAGGTGGCCGAGGTGATCACCACCGGCAACGTCGGCGTCCAGGAATGTAACGTCTACGGCGTCAAAGTCCCGCACAAGGTACACCACTCTGCTGTGCGTGCGTGCGTGCGTGTGCGTGTGCGTGTGCGTGTGTGGTGGTGCGTGGTGTCATGTGTGTGCCTCACCAACCGCATCGGCGCACAGGACGGTCGTGCTGGCATGGCCTGCATCATCCCCGTGGACCGGGCCACGTTTGACATGGCCGCCCTCTACAAACTGGTGAGGACGGAGCTGCCGCTCTACGCCGCTCCGCTCTTCGTACGCGTGACCACGGCGGCCATGGACGTGACGGGCACCTTCAAGCACAAGAAGACCGAGCTCGTCGAGCAGGGCTTCAACCCGCACGTCATCACCGACGACGAGCTCTACTTCCGGGACGACCTCAAGGGCGCCTTCGTGCCGCTGACCAAGGACCTCTACCAGCGCATCACCAACAACACCACCGAAGCCAAGCTCTGAATGTGGAAACAATATTGTTTGGCTGTTGACACAACACAGCAAACGAACGATTCAATCAAAACTCGATGCGCGATGGCGGGGAGGCGGCGGCGGGCTTGGCCTTGGTGCGCGTGGCGGCGGAGCGCTTGCCCGCAGCGCGTGCCTTGGCCACGGGCGAGAGGCCCGATGATGGCGAGGTCGTCGCGGTTGTTGTGGTCAACGACGGGGTGAGCGAAGAGGTCGATGCAGCGCTGAACGGGCTGAAGCCGGTGAACGGCGACGTCGACGCGGGCGAAGAGAAGGGTGACCCGAACGGCGAGGCCGGCGTCGGCGACGGTGAGGCGCTCGGCGAAGGCGAGAAGAGAGCCGTCCCCTCGGTGGTCGTTGGTGTGGCGTCGGTGCTGGCCGGGTCGCTCGCCGCCGGGGTGAAGGTGAACGACGGGCGGAAGAAGGGCGACGATGTGTCGGTCGTCTCGAACGTCGAGACGGCCGTGCTCTCCCAGCAGACCGTGAAGCCCAACGGAGCCGCCACCTGCCCTTCGTCGACCACCGGCGCCTCCGTCTCCGCCTCCGCCTCCGTCTTCACTTCCTCGCCTTCCGACCGGTGCGGCGTGACGTCCCAGCCACTGTCGCCCTTTTCTTCGCCCGACGCGTCGGCCGCGGCCGCCGGCGTGTCCAGATCTGCTGCCAAGGGCGTCGTCGTCGTGGTCGTTGTTGAGCTCTTGCTCCCCGGTCGGCGCGGCCCGCGGCCCTTGCGCGAGGCCGGACGGCCGCCGCCGGCCTCAGCTTCGATAAAGGCGAGGAACGAGGTCGACTGCGGCTCGGTCTGGCCGAGCTGCTGACTCGTCGGCTGCGGCGCCTCCGTCACGTTTGCCAACGCGAACGGGCTCCCCTGCGCGCGGAGAAGAACCGGTCAGGCCAATAGTCATCATCATCATCGTCATCATCATCATCATCAGGGGAAGAGGGCGCGTACGAGGATGTGCTGATTGTTGTGGAGAATGTGAATCCGGTACGAGTCGGAGGCCTCCTTGACGGTGTAGTGCACGAGGTACACCTGTGAGACGCGTCATCACCACCACCGCCGCCACGGGTTAAGAGCCGAGGCGAGATGTAAGGCCAGCGAGCGGCCGTTTGTTTGGGCCAAAACGTACCCCGACGCCCTGGTCCTCGACGGTGATGTTGAATTCCCGCTGGCTGGCCTCGGCTGACGACCAAAATAAAATGCACGAATTGGATGTCAGCTCAATACCACAACACGACACACACGACACGACACGACACGACACGACCAACGACACGACCAACGACACGACACACGGTACCAGCTTTGCTGATTCGAGATTGGATGACAGCCGGCGGAGGAAGCGGACGGCGCGTGCTCGCCACGGTGGTGGCGTTGGAGTCGACATCCAACAGGTTCCGCTTTCTTCTTCCCTCCTTTTCCTCCTCGCCCTCCTCTTCACTCCCCTCCTCGCTATCCTCCTCACTCTCCTTCGACTCTCTCTTGGTCTTCGTGTGTGGGTGTTCTTCTAGTTCCTTTTCCTTCTCGTTTTCCTTCTCGTTTTCCTCTGGCGACGTCGATCCGTCGCCGCCCTCGTCGGCCGGCTGGGGCGACGGACTGAGCGCGTCGCGGTTGCGCCGCTGCGCGCGCCGGAACGTACGCGGCAGCTGAGCCGAGGCCGGTGTTGCCGTCGCCCCGGCCGCGGCGTCGCCCGCACCGTCGTCAACCATCGGCGCCGCTTGCTCGTCGTCCGCGAGCTTGTGCCGGAGCTGGCCGAGACCACCAGCGAAGGCGGAGCTGTCCTGGACGGCTACGGCGCGGGTGGGCCGAGCCTTCGCCGGCGCGGGTGGTGGCCCACCGACAGGCAGCGATGCCAGCAGCGACCGCACGTCGTCGTCGTTGTCGTTGTCGCCATTGACGTCGTCAGCAGAGCCTTGGTCGGTGGTCCTCGTGATGACGATCACAAACTTGTCGCCGCCCTTGTCCAGCGGGTTGTCCTGCCTGTGCGCAACGTTTGGTTAGTCGACAGGAATGCTGACGTGTCATATAGAGGGACAGACAGAGAGGTGGGGCGTGGGGTCGGTACCGGTCCTTGGCCTGGATGGTGAACGCGGCCGGGCGGCCGATGACGGCCCGCTCGAGCCCGTCGCCAAAGGCCACGCAGTTGGCCGCGTGCGCGACGGTCGACACGGCCCGCACCGTGAACGGGCTGCCGCTGATGTGCATGTGGCCCAGCAGCACGCTCACGTAGAACTTGCCCACCTGGCGTTGCGTGTAGCGGGCCGTGTAGGTGCCGTCGTTGTTGTCGGTCACCATGCCCTTGTCCGCCTTCCAGTCCATGTGCGAGTTGGCGGACTCCTCCTGGTGGGAGAGGCGGACGACGAACCACTTCGAGCCCGCGCGGATGGGGCGGCCGAACATGTCGCGCGCCTGGATCGTGAAGGTGGTCTCGTTGTCGATCTCCACTCGTCGCAGACCCTCGCCGTCCGCTGTGCATTGGCTCGCGGCGTACGCTGCAGCCAAAATACAGTAAACATACATAAATATAATAATAATAATAATAGTACTTGAATTATATTATTATTATTATTATGATAAAATAAATGTTAGAATTGGCGGGTACCAGGCTCGACGCGCAGGAAATAGGGCGACCCGGCGATGGGCTCATCGCCCAGCTTGATGTGCAGGGAATACCGTCCCGACCGCAGCGCCACATAGCTCACCTACAGCGCCAGGAGGAGATGGTGATGAGGAGGGAGGAGATGAATAGGCGATGCGCGGAGGAGAGGTCGAGGACCAGGTAGGAGCCGTCGTTGTTGCCCAACAGGTGCACCGCCCGAATCCACTTGGAGGAGCCGGAATTGGTCACCACAGGCCGAGCCGCATCGCAGACCGCGCACGTCAACGTCTGCAGACAATCAGGGAATAAATAAATAAATGGAGCTTTGTTGTGCCACGCACGCACCACCGCACGCACCACCGCACACGATACAGGAACGAACCTTGGAGTTGAGCAGCGTGCATTCTTCGCATACCCAGAACTCGTCATCGTGGTACGCCAACCATTGCGTTTCGTGCTGCTGCTCCTCTTCGCCGGCCTCGGCGTCAACGATCGGCTTCCTGTTCCGATAGTCCTCTTCCTCCTTCTCGCTATCAACCCCCTCTTCCTCCACTTCTTCTTCTTCTCCTTCGTTCTTCTTCTCCTTCTCTTCCTCCGCCTCGAGTTTCTCTTTCGTCGCCTCCTTCTCTTCCGCGCCGCTCTTGTATTCTCCCGCCTGGGCCGCGGCGGTGTCGGACGTCTCCTCTACGGCCGCGGTCGTGGTGGTGTCGCCCGGGGCGGCGGTGTCAGGTGTGACGGTGCACGTCGTTGCGGTGGTCTTTTGCGCCTCCGCGACCTTCCGCTTCGCCTCGGCCTCGCGCCTCTTGCGCACCGCTCGCTCGGCGGGCGTCTCCTCGAGGATCTGGACCTTGAAGTTCTCGCCCCCGCGTGCGCACTTGTTGCCAAACTCGTCAAAGGCCTGCGCGCGTTCACCGCGGGCATTTGCGGGGTAAGCACCTCCAGTGGTGGCCACGCACTGCGTCGCCCCGGCGGACGAAGCACAAGCGCGTAGGTGGTGGTGGTGTGTACCTCGATCTTGAAGAAGGCCGTCTCGCCTTCGTACCCCTTCGACGCGCCAGTCCCCGTCGCCTTGCAGTTCTTGGCACAGGCCACTTAAGTCATGGTCAGCCACACAACCCGTGGGTAAAAGAAAAAAAGAAGAGCTGAGGGCAGGTTCACGCACCGTTCGACTTGAACTCTTGCAACAGCTCGTCGGACAGCTCTTGGAACCCTTCGGTGCGCATCACGTGGTCCCTCTGTCGATTATTTTTTCCCCGCACCCACCGCGGACGACGCGTCGTTAGGACACTGCGAAGGCAATCTTCTTCCCTCCAAGGGCGGCCTGGCGCAGCTAGCGACGTACCTGCTGGAGCATGTAGTTCATGGCGATGGTGCGCAGGTGGTGCGTTTGATACCGATGCGCCATCTCGAGGATGTAGGCGGCGTTGTCCTTGTAGATTCCCTTTTCGACGTAGCACTCGCACTGCTCCTGGAGGTGCGTGAGCGTGTACTGGTTGGAGATCATGAGCAGCTCCACCACGTTGTCCTCGGTGATTTCGACGACGCCTGAGTACAGGTAGTTGAGCAGCGCGTTGAAGGCCGGCAGAGTGATGTCGTGCACGTCGATCACCTCAGCCTGCCGGCGACAGCACAGCACAGCACAGCACATTCAATAGCTTAGCAGTGTATGGGCCTCTCGGCCCGCGCAAGCAGAGGAGCAGCGGGGCAATGGTTGGTACCTGCGACTCCCTCATGCCCGAAGTGAACATGGCGCGGAAGTGCTCGCTCCGGCCGCATAGAATCGCCTGAAGAGTACATGAGTGAGTAAGTGGGTGGGCACACCGGTACGTATCGCAGTGCTGGGCCGCCACCGGGTGTGTGTACGCACCTTGTGCGCCGGAATGAGTTCGCCCTCGACTGCGAACGTGACATCGGCGAACTGACTGCACTTGACGAACCGCTGCAGGTCCGTGTGGAATGTGTACGTCGTGGGCTCCTCCGGCTCCTCCTCCTCCACCACCACCACCTCCACTTTGATCTCCTCCTGATTCGACTTCTCAACACTTGGCGGTGCACTTGTACTGGCCTCGCTTCCACTCGATCCTGTGTTCCGTTCTTGCTCCGTTTCGGTCGTGGTGGTTTCTTCTTCTTCTTTCGTTTCAGTGTCGCGCTCCGTCGCGTCATCGGCCGTCGTGCTGGTCTCTTGCGCCACCTTCTCTTCGTTCGCTGTCTCTGCCTCCCATCTCGCGATCTCCTCGGTCTCGCACTGGCTCCTCGCCCGCGGTTCGGCCTCGGTGGCTTCGGCCTTGGCCTCCACCACTTCCTCCTGTGTGTCGGTCGTCTTAAGCGACTCAACCACTTCGTGCTGCTGCTCTTCCTTGTTCTCCGCCGCCTCGCTCTCTTCACTTTCCTTCTTCGCCTCCTTCGCCTCCCCTTCTTTCTCTTCTTTCTTCTTCTCTTCTTCCAACTCTTCTTCTGTAGCTACTTCTTCTTCTATCACTTCGTCGGGCCTGATCCTCTGCTGGCTGGCCCTCAGCGCGCCCCTGCTGGAGCTGAGCGGCCTATCGACGAGCAGTTGGCCGTCGGGCCGCCTGACCAACTGCGCCTCCGCTGCGCTGGTCAGGCGCGGATCGTGCGGCATCATCGCCTGGAGCGCTTCGACGTCCTTGGTGGCCAGGAGCTGTAGGTTGTCCTCCCGGAGGATGAACCCCACCACGGCGTTGTGCAGCATCTGCCTGTAGTCGAGCACCCAGGGCTCGGGCTTGTCGAGCACTTTGCGCCAGTGCGCGAGCACGTTGTCGAGGCTAAGCTCATCCTGGAACAACTCGACACATCTGCAGGCAGATAAAAAAACATGAGCAATTTAGCGATAACGCACTCAAAACACTCAACACGCGCGCGTGCGTGTGCGATAGTCGGGGTGTGTGCGGTTCGTACCGTTTCTGTAAGAGGGCAGAGTTGTAGGCCACGCCCACGCTCAACAGATTCAGCAGCATATCTATCGATTCCGGTACAAGGTCAGCGACAAACGATCTGCGACAGAGGAGAGCGGACGGCCGTGGGGTTTGTTGTGGGTGTCGCGGTCCGTACCTACGTCGAGGCCCTGTCGCGTGGTATCCGTGTAGAGAAAGTGCAGAAACTCGGCGAGCGTGGCTGAGTCCATTCCGCTGATGTACAGTTCTTGTTTGCCGGGGTCGGCGGCAAGGACCTCGGCGAGCTTCGGACACCGAGCCGCCAGTACCACCTGACGGACAGAGGCGATCTGGTGTCAACACCAATCAAGCAGACCTAGGCAGGCGCACCGCAGACTACGCGTAACCGAGGACCAGCGAAGTGTTATACCTTGTGCGCACGAATCGGTGGCTTGGCGGGCTCTTGCCCGCAGTAAACGTCGATGTCGAAAAAATCGGATTGCTCGTGCAGCAGCTTGCCCATTTCATCCCTGGTCGTAAGAATGTGAGTAAGGGGGAGGTTTACGCTCTTTCTCGAGCGAGCTGCTGTTGTTCGGTACCTTAACAGGGAGATGTTGGGATCCATACCCACGACCACCGTGGTGTGGTACCAGCCACAGGACACGTGCTGAACGCACCGATTGACCAGCGAATCGACCAAGCGCGGGATCTCCTGGTCGACCAAATCGCCATGACCTGCACAAGAGGAGTGGGCGCCTCTCGGGGTGAGTCCACTCATTCGGCTCCACCGGTGGCGGGCTTGGGAGAGAAAAATATACCGAGGGCGCCCAGAGAGCCGGCACCGAACGTGTAAACGCGACCGGCGTCGGTGCGTACGGCGGTGTGGTAGGCGCCACAGGACACCTCCACGACTCGCTTGCCCTCGAGCGCAGTGACACGTCGTGGCTCCACCACGTTCTTGCGCTCACCGTGGCCTGCAGTAGAGTAGCACGCGATGATGGTGATGTGAGCGGCTTGTCCACCTTCGTGGAAAGAAGAGGGGAAGGGAAGGGGCGCAGTGAGGTACGCACCCAGCTGGTGCCACACGGATGAGCCCCAGGTGTAGAGTTCGCCCGATTCGGTGACGCAACCCATGTGGAAGGACCCGCACGCGACGGCGACCACCTTTTTCCCTCTGAGGGCCTCCACTTGTTCAGGGTCCTGGTGGGAAGGAATCAGCGATCTACTCCTTCACCTTCTTCATCCATTCTTTGATTCACACGAAATGTACGCACATACCTGTTTCACACTGATGGCGTGACCCAGCGGACCGATGCCGAAAGTCCACAAGCCGCCATCGGTGGTGACAGCAGCTGCGCGAGGAGACGCGGTGACGTCACTAAAAGGTCCTCGAACGGGACACCGCGTGGCACACTTACACGGCTACTACGTACCGGAGTACATCTGGCCGACAGCGATGCTGGCCACCGACTTGCCACCAAAGTCCAAAAGCCGCCAGTCGGACTCCCTCGCGCCAGGCATACTCGAGCACATACACACTAATTATATAAATAATAAACAAGTAAATAATAAAAAAAGCAATTGGAGCTAGAGGGGAAAATGGCATAGCCAAAAGAGTTGTGAGTCACCTCGGCCATCTTCGAGCAGGGCAAGGATGTGGTCATCAGCACAGGCGACCTACAGGTATGAGGTGGGTGAATGTGCAGCGTGAGACGCGCTACATTCAGAAGAGCGAACCATCGCGTTACACATCGGCGGCTCAGAAGAAGACGAGAGCTGCACTGTACCTGCTTAATCACGACCGAGCTTTCGTCTTCGGTTTCAAGGACGGGCGGCAGAGAGGTCAAATGACCCGAGTTGTACACCTTGCCCTGTGAACGCGCCGAGCGACACGGTGAGCGACACGGAACCGGGTTGATGGGCAGTGAAGGAGAGAACGGAGGAGAGCGAGCGCACCACGCCGGATTCGAAGAGCAGCGCGGAGTAGGTCTGCCCGCACGACACTTGCACGCACTTTTCCTTGGTGGCGAGGGCTCGCAGATCCGCGGACATGCTGGTGCCCTCTTTCCACAAGTGGCATTCACCGTTGGCTGTACAGAGAGTGCACGCCATGGGGAACACCGACACGTCGGTCAGCAGCGGGTTGTGGGTGGTGTTAGTAAGGCAGACACGAGCAACTGCTCCGTTGGAGCCAGCACGAAGAGGCATCACGTCACGTCATGTTACCTGATGTGGCCCAGGTTTGGTACAGACCGGCCGAGACCTGCTTCACCTGCCTCTTGCCGAACTGCGTCTCCACCTGCGAGAAGAAGAAACAAAGAGAAGGGGGAGGAGGTGAGTAGAACCCATAAGAAGATCTTCAAACAAACGAGTTGGCAACATACCAACTTGGGAGTGGGGCATGGTGCGCCGTGCGAACCTGGTTACGTCAACAAATAAATCGTTGAAGTTAAATTCAACTTTAAATCGTTGGTTGGGGGGGGGCAATGGAGTGAACAGTACCAACGGTGTTGCCAAAGGAGAACACCTGCGCCACCTCTGGCAAATAAAGTTGTTGAGAAGTTCCCCCTAATGTAATGAACAATTGCACAACATCAAAGGCCGATGCGTCATACCCATTTCACTGTTCAGGGGTGCCTTTGTCACCGCGAGTGGCCCAAAATCAGTTGGGGCGTGGAGTTTGAGTTGCAATAAAAAAATCAATCCCTTCCGCGAAAGCAGTGGTCTTTAAATTTTTAATTCTTGCATTTTTAAAGACGTTTTATTTTTAAGATATTCCAATAATGCATTCGGCGGAACGCTGCACTTCTCCACCAATCACTCGCGGACGATCCTGCACTAGGGCAGTCCAGTGGCCATTGGACAAGAGACGCGTGTTAATTAAGAGATCCTGCCGACATTGACCCACCACACGGTCGCGGCCTTGCACATCTGTATCTTCTTCTCTGCCCACAGGGGTACCTTGAATCGATTTTCTGCCGCCGGGTAGGTAGAGCCAAACAAAAAGAAGACCGATTGCAGCAAAAAGAAGAAGATGGCACGCCTCGGCACGGTCGCTGTGGCGGTCGCGATCTTGATGATGGTCGTTGGCGGAGCGTGGGGCGACGTCTACATGCACTGCCCGCGTGGGTGCAACAACCGCCTCAACGAGGAGAGCGTGAATCGTAACAATAATAATCGAATGTGCGATACTCAGGTGCCGCCTCCTTCTTTACCACCTCTCTCATTAATTATAATAATTAATAATATAATCATCTTAATCTGCAATAGACGGCTTCTACGAAAGATCTTTTGATCCCTCACCTCAATTCACCGATTTGCATCAGCACCTGATGATTTCATATTTTTTCTTACCCCCCCCCTCTTCTACTGGATCCAAACAGAACAACGGTAAGGGCGGCTATGCCTGGGGTCCGAAGATGTACTACTACTCCGGTTCGCAGTTGATGGTGGAGTGGACCAACCAGCACGGCTGCGGTCCCGACAGCAAGCAGCGCAACGTCCACTGCGAGCTCATCCTCCAGTACACCTGCGGCGAGCAGGTCCGCGACGGCCTCACCACCGGTACCGCGTGCTCTCCCCGACCGCACACACACACGCACCACCGCACACAGCACACGCACCTGACAGTTATGGTCGTGTGGGGGTGCTGAACAGAGTCGATCCCGGATGACCCCAACACGTACAACGAGAAGGCGGCGGACACGTTGAACAACAACGGCAAGCAGGCCTACAAGTACGGCATGCACGAGTCCTACGCCTACTACCAGGACTGCAAGCTGCGCGAGCGCAACAAGGGCCTGTTCCTGGCCGACCAGAAGCCCGGCCCGTCGGCCCGCAACACGCGCCAGAACCCGGGCGGCGGCCGCAGCGGCTTCGAGTGCCCCGAGGAGCGCGACTACTACCCCTACTGGCACCCGACGCCGTGGAAGGACATCGCCGTGCTCACCTCGGACGTGTCGCGGTGCGACTACTACAAGGAGAACACGGAGAATGCCAAGGGCCGCGGCTACTGCTCGAACCCGAAGCTCAACAACGAGGCCCAGTGCAAGGCCAACAAGGGCACCTGGCTCACCGCGCCCGCGCACGGCGGCGGCCTGGACTGCCTCGAGGCCCCGCTGTCGCGCGACAACCACCTGGGCAACACCCCCACCGGCTGGGCCTCGTCCTACAACTGGACCATCCCCGACGACCCCAACGAGAACTGCGTTCTGCGCCTGCGCTACAACATCTCCGTGGGCGACTACGACGCGTGGAACACCTACAGCGACCAGAACCTCGACAAGACGAAGGGCATCAAGAGCCCCATCAGGAACAACCCCACCGGTACTCACCGCCACCTTTTTTTCCCCCTTTGTTTCAATCGCACACACACGGCACGACACACGACGCGCGTGCGCACACACACACGGCTCATAAAGTGGAATCGCAATGCAGTGCAATTCGAGAGGGAGGACACGCCGGTGATCAAGGCCCGGAACCTCACGCTGGCGCTCAACACGGCCCAGACCGGCAGGACGTTCCAGGACCGGAGCTACACCTTCTCCATCCGCAGCCGCCCCTCCAACATCGGACCCATGGACAAGATCTTCAACTTGAACGTTCGGTACGCACCACGCGTCGCTTTGATTCGCGTTGTGCGTGCGCGATGTGTGTGTGCGCGCGCGGTGAGCTGACCGAACGGGGCGACACACACACACACACACACACACACACACACACACACACACACACACACACACACACACACACACAGGGGCAAGCGCGGTAACATCGTGCAGGTCTTCCCGTGCGTGGAGTACGACTTTGTGCCGACCACGCTCAACGTGCGGCCCAACGACCACATCCACATCCAGTGGACCGGCAGCATCTACAACCCGAAGAACAACGACGGCGAGGGCACCTACGGCACGGACATGTCCAACCTGGTCCAGGTGGAGAACCTGGACGACAACGTGCCCCTCACCTACTCTGACTCGCGCCACTTCTTCGGCGAGGAGGCGCGCATGTCGCTGGCTCACCTGAACCAGAAGGAGTGCGACACGCTGGCGCAGCTCATCGCCCGGCTCGGCACCGACCAGAACACCATCAACCGCGACCCGCGCAATTGCGCCAAGCTCAACGCCGCCAGCACCTACCAGGACCAGGGCCTCCACAAGGTCGGCGCCTCCCAGACCGGTACGCGCATCCCTCTCCCTACATCGCTGTGCGTGCGTGTGCGGTCGTGCATTTGCGTGTGCGGTCGTGTGTGCGGTTTGACAACAAGCTGATGAGGGTTATGCGTTGCGTGGCGACAGGTGCTTACATGTTCATCAGCACGAGGAACAACAACTTCAGTAACAGAAGCCAGAAGATGACGATCATCTCGATCCCCTTCCTGCCCGTCTGGGCCATCGTCCTGGTGGTCCTCGCCGGCACGGCCTGTCTCGCCTCGATCGGTCTCTCGTGGTTCGCCCTCTGGGTCCGGTACCACCCCGACTCGCGCGCCGCCAACGTGTGGAACCGGATGTCTGTCAACTAGGGACCCCCCTTCCTGGCGCTGAGGCCTTCGCCTCACTGCGTGTGTCCCCCCCCCAATATTTAAAATGTAATTTCTCCTCTTCTGCCGTTGCTTCCTTGCGTCTGTCTGGTGCGAGACACAGATGGGTTGGAGGGGATGCCATTGAGAGATCTGCACCTGGCCATGGTGGGTGAAGGCCTTCTTGCGGTTGAGGAAGAGCCTTCAAGCTTGGGGGCAAAAATTTGTACTTTTTTTACGATTTTGTAGTCATTCTTTGTTCTTGATCTGGTGCGTTGATGAACTGGTACAAAGAGAGTGGTCGAGCGATGAGCCTTAGAAGAGGTGCGCGAGGGCGTCCACGAGGAAGCTGCTGAGGCCCGAGGCGGACGAGGGCTCCTGGGAGGGCTGGGGCGAGCGTGCGGCGGTTGGCACAGCAGAGGGCGAAGGGGTGGTCGTGGGCAAGGAGCCGAACGACGGCGAGGCCGTGGGCGAAGGAGTGGGCGAGGTGCCGAATGACGGAGAGGCCGAAGGCGATTCTACCGGTGATGCCGAGGCCGAGGGGGAAGGGGACGCTTGGCCGTAGGCAGCCCACACGACCGCCAGAACGAGCACCAGCTGAAGCAGCAACACGGTGGCAAAGTTGTTGGTGAAGCGAGCCATGATCTATCGTGATGTGTTGGTAGTAACTGTGGGTTGGAGTTGGTTGACGCGAAGGCCTTGAGTATGCAGATAAACTTGGTGTGAATGTGGGCAGCGCCAAGGTTTTATAGGGAGCATCGGCCAATCAGAGACCCGGCCGTTGCAGCACGCATCGGCAAGCTCGAGTTGGTGGCCTGAATCGCTTCTCTTCAACGCCGCGGCCTTGAGCTGAAACTTCTCCTTCAATGCCATCAAGGGTCCCCGGCCACGATGCTCGCGCCTGGGCATGTGCCACGCCACACACGACACGCGCCAGAACGCCGCGTGATCCAGCAGGCCTCAAGGTCTCTCGGCCCACACTTTAAGAATTCAAACAAAGAAGTGAAAAACTCGCGTGTGGTTGGTTGCTTTATGCGTGCTAGCGTTGCGGATTGGCTCGCAAAATACAGTGCCACGTCAGCAACAATCTTGGGAAAACCGGCCGAGTGTATTCGCCGAGGCTGGTGTGTGTAGGCGTAGGCCTGCCTCGCGAGTGTTAGAGGTGGGCGATGTGCCTGGCGCGAGCAGCAGCGACGACGACAGTGGTGGTGGCCGGCTGTTGTTGGCCGTCGGCGGTGCTGATGAGGGTGTCGTGTAGGATGATGTCGCTGGCCTTCTCGCCGATCATGATTGCCGGTGCGTTGGTGTTGCCCGAGATTATCTCCGGACACACGCTCAGGTCCGCCACACGCAGGCTCTTCAGCCCGTGCACCTGCACCATTCACCCCACGCTGTGAGTGCGTGTTCTTGTGCGTGTTCTTGTGCGTGTGCGGTGTCGCCCGCAGCATGTGCGTACCCGGAGGTGAGTGTCGACCACGGTGGTCTTGTCTTGCACTGGCCCCATGCGCGTGGTGCCGGTGGGGTGGTACACGGTGAGGCAGTTCTTGATGACTAAGGCCCGCACGTAGCCATCGCTCTCGGGGTCCGGGTGCCGCTTGAGCAGCTCCTTGTCGTACATCTCCCGCCCGCGGATGCCGTCGAACACCGACGACGCCACGATCTGGCGCACGAGCCGGACGCCGGCCATGAGCAGCCGGACGTCGTCCTCCTCGCTGAGGTAGTTCGGGTGGATGCGGGGAGGGGCGAAGGGGTCCTTGGAGCGCAGCCGCACGCTGCCGCGGCTCTTCGGGTGCAGGAGGGTCGGCAGGAGCGAGAACCTGCAAGTCGCATCACCACCGCACACGCACACACGAAAGTTAGATCGATAGCGCACGACAGCACACGCACAGCCGCACACGCACACACGTACCCAAACTGACTGGTTTCGTAGTCTTCGATGTTGAGGCCGAACTGCGCCTTGACCTTCTCGGGCTCCATGCCGGTGAGACCCGAGCAGAGGCAGTGGATTTGCAGATCGGGAATGGGCTGCCACGCAAAACCCACAAAGCACATTGTGTGTTGTGTGTGTGTGTGTGTGTGTGTGTGTGTGTGTGTGTGTGTTGTGTTTGTGTTGTGTTGTGTGTCACACGACTGAGTGTTAGTTGACATGACACGCAAATTTATATACGAGAGGCATGAGGGCTGTGTGGATCGTCATACGTCGGGCAGGTGACAGTTTTCGGTGCGGATGAAGGCCATCGACTCGAGGGCCTGGGAAGTGTACGGCCCCTTCTTGAACAGCAGGTACCGAACCAAGTTGCCGATGTTCTGTCGCGCCCATTAAAACAAAGCTAGTGAGCCGACTGGTCAAAAATTCGTGGGCTCATGCTCGGTGAGATGGGGTGGTGGTCAGTGCGCACCTCGACCACGGCCTTGTCCATCGTTACGGGCTTGAGCGCGGAGAAGGCGACCGGGACGAACAGGTGGTCCTGCATCTGCTCGCCGACGTACGGCATGTCTCTGTTTGGTGGTGGCGCATGTCACCGAACCGCGCAATAGACATCAGCCGTGTGTTGTGTGTGCGTGTGTGTGTGTGTGTGTGTGTGTGTGTGTGTGTGTGTGT